GTTGAGAAGACGAATGATCGCGACTATGAGATTGAAGAAAGAAGATATCGCACAATGGAATCTGCTGCAAACAGGCTACAGAAGGAAGCAAAGGGATACCTGGATTCGTTACGAGGTAAATAGCCATCGTGCAATCTTCCAAAGAATCTGCTGCTAACCAGGTTGACAGCCATGACTGCCTCTCAAATGAGAATTGCGGAGACTATTGATGCTTTCTATGGTGATGCTGGAGCCAAGGATGGCGTGAGCAGGAGCTACAAACAGGCTGTTGAAGATCTAGATGCAGAGACAATAAAGGCACTCGATGGACCTTACAGGTTCGTTCCACCGCCACCCATGCACCTCATCAATCAGATCAGATATGCTAACATTACTTCCTCAGAACGACCGTCCTTGACCCTATTTCTCGTTTCTGCGCATACTTCCCTGATATCAACGAATGTATCAAGAAACGTAACCACAAACTCCTCGACTACGATTCCATGCGAGCTAAAGTCAAGAAACTCGTGGAGAAGCCCGACAAGGATGCCTCCAAGCTACCGCGCGCTGAAAAGGATGCGGAAATGGCTAAGCAGGCCTATGACCAATTAAATGAACAGCTATACAATGAGCTACCGCAGCTTATTGACCTGCGTGTCCCATATCTCGACCCGTCTTTTGAGGCTCTTGTCAAGATCCAGCTCCGCTTTTGCGCTGAGGCGTACAGCCGCATGGCCCAGGTCCAGCAGTATCTTGACTCAGACACAAGAGAGGAGTATGCATCTGGCAACCTAGACAATAAGGTTGAACAGGTACTGCAGGAAATCAGAGATTTAAGCATTGCCGGCACTGTTTGATCAGGGCTGGTGGTTCTTCGTCCCTGCTTCTGGTTTCTGGTCTCTTCTCTCTCTCTGCTTTTGTCACATGAAGTCATGTTTTAGCGTGTTTTCAATATATACATCAAGTATAATATTCCACCCCCCAATTCCCCCCTTCTTCTGCCATCTTGCGCTTCGCTTTAATTGATTTCCTTTTTTTGCTCTTTCTCTGCGAGGGCTACAGGGCGGAGATAATGTAGGAATATATATAGACAGCTCAGCTAGCTCTGTAAGGGTATACCTCCGCACCCCTTGCTACATGAAACGACTGCATCAGCCTACTTCCGATCCATGCTCCGGCGTTCAGTCCCCTTAAACGGTCCAAAACAAAAAAGCCAGCCAACCATCCGGCTGTTTCGTCTTATCCTGGTCTGCCTTGAGTTTTTGATACGATCGCCACAGACCCCGAGGCGTCTAATTCATAAAACTTTTCAAACTTTCCTGATCTTACCAGCAATATCCTGTCAAAAGCTCGATGGCACTAGACCCCGAGAGGAAACTGCATACGTGTTGTGCTAGCTTTGACGTGGGGATTTTTTTTTTTCTCTCTTCGTTTTTTCTCTCTCAAGGTGCTTCCTTTACGTATATCCATGTCATACGGCGATGGATTGCGCTTTGCACCTTATATTCTTACTGCAGAGCATGCTTTTCCTGCCCGGCGGCTAAAGCAAATTAAGGCTTGTCCGTGCCGTCTCGAACTGGAGGCCCGTTTAGGCGGGTATCAGCAGCGACCTGCCGTTACTTGCATCGTGTATCGGACATGGTTACCTATTCCTTCGAGTGAGCGTCTTTGGGTTTCGGATGAAGGTCTCGTTGAGCATCAAATGTCATGGATGAGACAAGTAATGATCCTGTGCATGGGATATGAGTTATCATTAAGCAACGCTGCCCATTAACTATTATAAATAGAAAATGAGAAAATCAGCCCACCTATTTATGCTTAACATATTCCTGATAGGCAGAGAGTTGCACAAGGGCTTAACTTAATGGCTCGACCTTGTATTGTAGACTCACCTCTGAGAGGATACCAGTTGATGGGTAGTCGCGGAATAAAGCTTGCTTGTTTTATGCAAGATACATGCTTGTCATCCCGTATCCATAAGAAAAAACGCCCCTCCATACTTAGGTGGTAAGTACAATGTATGGATGTACATAATGTACATCCTGTTCCCTGCAGATACGGTATATCTCAATGATAAGCACATCGAATATTAGGTGCATGCTCTCGCATACTCCGGATGTGCGCGCATTGTATCAGGAAGAAAGGGATCCTCATCCACGAACCGCCCCGGTGGCCCGACGACGCACTCGCATAACAGTGATAACTTAATACCCGGCCCAGAATCAGAATCAAGGACAGGGTCCTCCTCATCCTCACCAAACAGCCCTTGAAGAAACCCTTGCATCGCCTATTTTTTTATGCGAATGAATATCTCACGTGATTGGTAGATCTCGCAAGGGATGCCAGGAGCAGCCCTGAAAGCAATGGCCCGTGAGGGATAAGATCCCATGCTCCAAGGCGTCTCCTGGCGCCTTATAGTTCAAGGGACCCCCAATCGCTGCGCTGTCCAGTTGGAAGTTCGCCATTCCGTCCGAGCACCTTCGCAGCCCCGAGACCCCCCGGTACCTGTCAGTCAACTCCAGTTGGAGCGCCGCCCATTCTCTTAAGCAGCTAAGCGAGTCCCGTTGACTCTTTTCATCTTGAAACCCGAGACGTTTGTTCGTGCAATTTCTCTTGGATAATATCGTGCCAACACAGTATCCAAACCCAACTGCATCATGCAATGGGTTGTGATATGGGCGAATAGGGGTGTTTATGCAGCAGCATATAAACAGTAAAAGGCCCGTGCGTCTGAAGAAACAAAAAGGCCCGTTGACATATGATGATTACTATGTACATCGCCATTTTGACCGAAACAATGCAGCTTGAAACAAGGAAGCTCTGGGTCCAGTCCAGCTCAGAAAATAGGCGGTGGGGATGGAAGCGGGCGTAGAAGCTTCCAGTGGACAGTAAGAGCCGTTTTAATCGCCTCCTCCTCCTTGGGCGAGGGGAGACAGCTGATACCGGGGTAGCCCTCTCGCCTCCGCCCTCTCAGGCAGCCACAACATGCACACCATTTCACGGGCAAGGGCAGACTCACGGTCGAACCCGGATAGCGGCATCACGGGGAGGGTATATATGTAGCCCGTCGTTTCTCCAGTATTGTATTAATAATTAATGGGCGAGGCGAGGCAAAGCGGCCGTTAATGCTAAGACAGCTAATTATTAGCTATATTAGTCAAATAACACTTACTTAGCTATTTCATCACCGCTCGCCCGCTCCCGAGAAGCTAATCCTGACTTTTAGGTGCGAGCATAAGACAGGCCATGGGTATATTAGTGACGTTTTGTGCTTGCGTGGCTAGCCCGCTGGACTCATCGACCTGACCAGATCCTGTTCTGCGCGTCCGCGGTTGATATAAGAGCGATCTAATATAGCCTGGGAAGCGGCTCTGCTGGCGCTAAACCGTAATAGGCAACTCGCAACTCGTCCCTGAAGGCCCCCCTGGCAAAAGTGTTAGGTAAAAGCGCCCTTCCTTGCGGATGATAACAGAATGAGCTTTTAGGGAGCTGGAGTGATGGCTGTTCTGTTGGCTTGAGAAAGTCAATTAGATGAAGGCTATAACCTTGTTCGTTGAAGGGTGGGTGGGGGGGGTGGTTCTGGAAGAGGCCTGTATCTACGAAGGTGGGTGGACTTTGGTAGGAGCTGTATAGAAGGATTGAGCCGGATCGACAACCGGTGATTGAAAGGAAGATTAGCTGAATTGAATGGAATGGGATATCGTTGATTCATAGATAAAAACAGGCCAAATCTATTCGTACATTGTTCATTAAGAGCGTAGCTTTTGAAGTTAACGAAGCAAGCAAGCAAACAAACAAACAAGCAGCGCATGTAAACACTTACAGCAGTACAAAGGAGAAATGGATATGAGCCAAACGAATGAGAAAGAAAATAAAATAAAAAAAAGCAAGGGGAGGATAAATGTAGAAGTAGAAAAACAAGGCGCACACACGCATGTTTGGGTTGGCAGCGGCAGTCGACATCATAAGGAAGAGTCGTCATTTTTATCTTGATCAGTTTTTTGAATCTCTCATTGCAGGATGCAGAGTAACTTCATTCGTTGCAGGACAGGTATACCGGAAGAGAACACTGGCCAAGGGGGTTCCTGTAATTGTAATTTTGACAGTCCTCAGGGGGAGATATGCTTGATTGGCTTGGATTATCCACGATTAGGCGCTCGGGAGGTGTCCAAACCACTCGGTTAACGGGATCAGATCAAGGCACCGTCCAAGCGGAAGGCAGATAAAACAAAGCAAATAATAAAAAGAAAACAAATAAAAACAAGAATAACAAGTAGTTAGGGGAGAAGAAAAAGAAAGCAGAAAAAAATAAAAAAAATAAAAAAGCAAGGTAACTGGCAATTTTAAGGCAATACAGCAGCAGGTCCATGAGAAAATTTTTTGCTAAATGATCAGATTTGCCTCCCACGCGATTTTTTAGACCAAGAGGAAGAGACACGGTCTCGTCAGGATTCCTCTTCCAGTAGCATAAAAGGAAAATTTGGGAATGGGAACAAGGACTGTTCCTGTTCCTGCTGGGGGTGGGGAAATATCGGCCGTTAAATCTCCGAAAAAAAAAAAAAAAAAAAAAAAAAAGGACACATGCTCCGTGGGTAGTAGATAGGTGTGTGTGCGTGTCTAGTAGGGGGGCGGTGAGAATCCGGGCGGTAGGATGGATTCCAAGTCGGATTGAGTCAGGCTGGGGATTCGTGATTTCGTTCGGAAGATAGGCGCTGTGGTTTTGGGAAAAGGAGAAAGGACAGATCGAACAACATAGCAGTAAAAAAGGGGGGTGTGTGAAAAGCAATAAAATATAAAGTAAAAAAAACGAAACAATTGCGAACACCTTTGGTCACGTTCTCGCATCAAGTCATTGTATATAAATATGACTTGGGTTCATTGGCAAAAATAAATGTCTCGCTTGACCTCATTACTCCTTGTTTATCGTATGCAAATCCAAATCCACCACGAGTTCAGCTGCAAGGGGGGGCCGCACAGAGTATCATTGATACCGTCATGATACGTGTGCCCTCTGCGTGTCGCTATGAGCCTTTATCCTCCTCTGGGCTTGGATCGGGCTGTTCTGGTGAAATTCGTTCCCGGTTACCAGGCGATTCCGGTTTTGATGGGCCAGAAGGCGTTGTTGTGGCTGCTGATGGCGCGGTATCCAGTCGTTGGCCACTGCTGCCTGCTGGGACTTCTGTCTGCGGATGATGAGCTCCTTGAGCTGGCCTGTTCGGGTCCCTTGACTCTACAATCATGGGTGATTCCTGGAGATGGCGGCCGCCTTCAGTTCGCGGCAGCAGTGGTTGTTGTTGTTGTTGTTGTTGTTGGGGTCGTTGCCCTCTTTGAACTTGTATGTCCTGTGTCTGAGATGGAGGAGTTTCGGTCCCATGATACTGTACACTCATTGGGGTCGGGGGATCGGGTTCACGCATTTGCTCCGGAGGCGCTCGCTGGCCCATTGCAGGAGAGTAGGGCGGCCCCTGTGACGACGTACCGGGAGAAGTTGCGGGTAAACCTCCCGCAGCATATCCTGGTCTGGGCGTCGTGTTGTTCGGTTGTTGAGAGGCAGAATGAGCCTGGGATCGGGATTCCTCAGCTATCCGACGGCGCTGCATTTCGGCCTTGCTTGGTCGCCCCCGTTTACGAGGAGTGTCTCCACGAGGAGGATCAGGGGCGCGAGGAATTGGTACACCAGTACGAACCTCGGAGATTGAGTATCGTGTGGTATCAGAGGTATGGGGTTTTGGCTGGATGGCACGGGGAGCAGAGGCCAGCGGCCGTTCTCCAGACGGCGCAGGTCGTTTTCGGATTATCGGAGACATCTGCAGCGGAGCAGGCGGGCCGGGAATGCTCTGTCTGTACTGGCTCGCATATTCCTGCTCCATGCGATAGAACGCGGTCTGACAGGAGCTAAGTGATCGGCCTAGATGTATAAAAGTTAATAAAACCGCTGTTATGACAGGAGCGCAGAGTGATTAAACACGGGTTTATCTGAATCCATGCATTTCACTACTCAGAAAGAGGGAGGGGAGAAGGAAGTCGGTTTCTTTACCTGGCGGAAGTGGTATCTCCATCCAACTTGGGGCAATGCGATTCTCTCTGATGATACTGAAGAGGTATGCAGAGGAGATGCCTGCTTTCTTCAATATCTCCGTGAGAAGAAAGTTCTGTAAAGAGAGACAAGAAAGAAGGACAGAAGTCAGCGAATTGAACATTTGAAAATTGGGGGAATATTTTTTTGGTATGAAAGTAGTACCCTCTCCTCCTCCGTCCATAGTTTATCCTGTTGATGGGACATATCCAGCTGGTGGTCATGTACAGTGTGAAACGGTAACGTAACGAATGCGCATATGTTGGAGAGTTCATATAAAGAAATATAATATATAGAGAAAAAAAACAAACAAAAGACCGGAGCAAGATACAGAGAAAGGAGAGTCGTCAGCGGAGTTCGCAGAAAGTAGGCCGAAAGAGACGGCGGCGGGAAGCTCCAGTAATTAAACCACGACAGGGCCGGCACTGCGTCGCGCGGAGAGAGCGAGAAAGAGAGCGAGCGAGAGAGATGGACTTGATCGGACGAGACGAGGCCGGTGCTACAGCCAGCAGGGAGCTTTCCAGCTGTGCGGTATAGAGTAGAAGAAACGAGAGTAGAGAAACGAAGGCTGGATTTGATGGTAAACAACAACAGACAGCACCGAGAGAGAGAGAGAGAGAGAGAGAGAGAGAGAGAGAGATCCAACCAACGGGCAAGGAAGGTAAACAACCAACCCCACACAGCTCCAGGACGTGGGGGAGCGCAGGAAAGAAGAATCCCGGGCGCGCTGGAGACGGGTTCGAGCAGGAAAGACGCAGACGCTCGTCTTCAGTTCTGTCTGGATATGGCCGTCCTGTTCTCTCTTGTTGCCGGTTGTCAATCTGTCGGTTAGTCCTCTCGGTGGCCTGGTGAATCAAACCAAACCAAATCAAATCAGTGGCGGCGCGCGAGCCCACGCGAATTGGCCGAGCAGCAAAGTATCGATCAGCCTGGTAGCAAATAATAGTAGTAGAAACGAACGGAAGCGTGAGCGCAGGAGTTGCCACACGCAATTGACACTCCACTCGGCGGCAGAGACAGGCAGCAAAGGAGGCAGCGCGGAGGTCGAGAGGAAGGCAGACAGTGCTCGGTAGGTAGTTATATATGTGAGAGACAGAGGGAGAGAGAGACAGAGAGAAGTATGTGAGTGCGTGAGTGTGTACAGCGGAAATAAGTACGGGCGACCAGACTGGATTATGTTGGTACAACAAGGATACTTTCTTAGCCACGAGGACGGTCGTAGTTGTCACCCATCGAGAGCTTGACGGGGATGCAGGCTTGGGGATTGGGTGAAGCAGGCAGGAAGAATAAGAAAAAGCAGGAGAATTAAAGCGCAAGGGAAAAAGAGAAGAAGAAGAAGAAGCTCGTATTTAATTCATTCGTAGGACAGATGGATGTTTGGGTGTGCGACAAAGAAGGTGGTCGATTTCGCATTGATTGATGTCTTTGCCGGCAGAGGTACAGAGAGGTAGGTACTGGTGACGGCGAGGCAAGTAGGTAGATAGGGGAATCAACAATGAACACACTGCTAGGAATGAATATGCGACTTCGTTATTCCGGCAACATCAAGGAGAGACTTGAAACGAGCGATAAGAAGGCGAAGAGAGGGAAACCAGGGGCCAGAGCAGAGCAGATCAGAGGGGGGGGGGGAGGAGGAGGAGCAGAGAGAGCAAAGGGAAGAAGGGCCGAAGCGCCGGAGGGCAAAGGAAGGCCAAAGGAAAAGAAGGGAAGAAAAGAGAGAGACAAGACAGGAGAGAGAGAGAGAAGAAGAGAGAAGAAGAAGAAGAAGAAGAAGAAGAGAGAGGAAGAGAGAGAGAGGGAGAGGAGAGTGTGAGTGAGGGAGTTGGTGATATGATGGAGGTTGGAAAGTCCGCGAAAGAAGAGACAAGAGACAACAACAAAAGAAGAAAAAGAAGGTTGAAGGTTGATTTTTTATGGGGATCAATCAAGGGAACGGGAATTGAAATAATAAAATAAAAAAATAAAGAATTTAAAAAAAAAAAAAAAAAAAAAAAGGTAACTCGAAGGTACCGCAGCGGTCACGGCAATACCGTATAGTAAATAACCAGGAGGGCCTTCGTCCTTCTTTTTGAGTTCGTTCGGGGGAGTTGACTCGTTAATATGGATGGGTAATGGGTACAAGGCCCCCGGGCGAGGCGGCCATACAAGATGAAAGTACCTGTCCCTGTCCACTGTCCACTCTCTCTCCCTCCCTCCTCCCTCCTCATCCCCTCCCCTGGTGGGTACGGGTACGCTCTTCATGCAAGAGATGAATCCAAAACTCGCCAGGCTAGCCCGTTGCAGGCATGCAGGCAGGAGTTGCTTGGGATTATTTCGAGCAGCGAGCAGCCAATCAGGGCCGGCGGAAAATCCAATAGACGGGCCAGCAAGGCTTGAAACACCTTATTTAGCCTGGGCTTGGGACTGGACCGACCCTTCTTCTTCTTCTTGTCGCAAGGGAAGGGAAAGGAGAGACAAAAAAAAAAAAAAAGGGAGGATAGAGGTCGATATTTTGCCCATACAAGTTACTCTCCCGTCGTAACTTATTATTTCCTTTAGTCTAACTGGTGGATGGGCGAGGAGGAGGAGTTGCTGTTTGTCGCATGCAGGCCGCACAGGGGGAGGAGGAGATCGAACGAGCATGGAGTTGATTAGCCTGCTTAGAATAGAATATCACTCCGAAGGGCTGGTCTGCCACTGTGCCTTTCTTTCTTTTTCTTTCTTTCTTTCTCTTTCCCTCTCTCTTTTTCTTTTCTTCTTCTTCTTCTTTTTTTCAATTCCTTCTTATCCTGCTTCTTCTTCTGTCGTTATCTTCCGGCTCTGAGGAACATCCGGAGTAGCTACGGGGATGCCCAGTAACAATCCTTCCATGCAGCTCCCACAGGACAGGTGATACCGACGCCGGGTGCCAGAGGGAGAAACCAGGGAGTGGAGCTGGCCAGAGGGAAACCTGCAGAGCTGCACGGAGTAATAATAATAGAAAGAAAGAAATAAACACCAGTAGTCCTTCGTCGTTGCTAGTGAGCTGGCTAGCTGGTTGGCTCTTCGTCGCCTTGCTTTTCTTTAGTCCGCCTGCCTGTGGCTAGTTATCAAGCGCCGTCTAAGCATATTTCGTGTGAGCATTATCATCAGTATCAGTTTCACGCTCCGTGGCAAATGATAGTCCCGGGGAAGCGCTGGCAACTATCAACTATGCAAGAGTAACAGCTGTTGGGGCCAAAACTTTGACCGTTTTTGTTCGATGTGCACAGGAGGCAGCGAGGGTGTGCAGTGCACCTCAAGTTTAAAAAAAAAAAAAAAAAAAAAAAAAAAAAGAAAGTTATGTGCAAGTATAATAATATTTTGTTTTCCCTCGGTCGATATTGGCTGGAAAGCTTGAGGGCCGGGAGACCGACCTTAGAACCAGCGATCATATAGCCCGTTTATGGTTTGCCCTGTGTTAATTGATTGGACATGCTGGCCCAGGAACGAAGCGCTCCAGGCGTCGGCTTGCCTAATAATGATTGGCCGTGGCTTCGTGATAAGGTGTCCCTGTGTGTGGATAACGTCGCTTTCTGTTTGGCTGTTTTTGGTGCCATGTAACGAAGTCACTCCTGTATTTCAAACGAAATCAAAAGGGCCCTGAGACATCTAGAAACAGGAGCAGCCCATACATACATCCATACATACCGAGCTCGTTCTTGTGTAAAAAAAACAAAAACAAGAAACAAAAAAACAAAAAAGACCGTCTGTTCTCGAAGTTTGGCAGACAAGCCTTGGTCGCACAGAGCGTCAACGAGGGCAGATTTGGAGCCCTTCGAGGAATTAAAACCCATGCCAGCGAAGATGTATGCGCGTTGCGTTGCCTTTCCAAACACCACCCCCCTTCCCTTCCCTTCCATCTTGTCTTTTTCTCTCAGGTGATTTATTTTGTCGGCTGATTCGACACTTACGAGCAAGGCACTCACTCTGACTCTGTCGCAAGACACCGCTTGTCCCCCTCACAGGCAAGCAGATCATCCGCCCTAAACTGGACTCAGTCAACTGCCTCGGCGCCACAAGCTCGCACACCCTTCCCTTTCCCTCCCCCCTCCCCCCAAGGCTATTCTCGGTTTGCTTTGCCTGCCCGCCCATTAATTCTGCTGAGCTGTTTAGGTTGGACTTCTCAACGGGAGATATGATGGGTCCGACGTGGAGAGGTACGGAAAGATCTGTAATTGGAGGGCAACACAGCCGGGGAGGAACCATGTTGCAGGGGAGCTGGATGATTGGAGCCGCCCGCCCTCCCTTGCCTGCCTGCTGCACAACCCACGAGAAACAAACAAAGAGACAGGCGGGCGGACAGGCGGACAGGAGGATGTCCAGAGTCCAGCCGTGATGGAGATCGTTGGGTGCGCAAGAGTCAAGTGTCAGAGTTGCACCTGTATCCGCACGCCGGCGGTAACTTAAAATAATAATTTATATCATAACACGACTCTCAGAGCCGGCCACAGAGAAGAGTACATACTTAGTTAGTGAGCTTGTAGTTATCGACCTGGCCCCCTCGCGATGGAGTCAACTTGGCGGCATGAGGTGGCTTCCCCTACTTATGGACATCCAGTTAGTTAGCGCGGTCCAGCCCATACGCTCGATCTTACTAGGGGCAGCAGTGGTACTTCGTACTCCATACGGATACATCCTGCTCCTCGACGGCCTTCGTCCCGCTGTCTATCTCTTCTTGTCCTGTCAGTCTCTTTTTGATGGACGTTGAGATCGGGGTCCAAAGGGGGAAGTTCTTAGACACAACAGCCAATCACAGGTCAAGAAAATTAGCTCTCAAGGCAGACCAATCATATTTGACGAGTCGACGGACAGTCATCAATGACGTCTATAGCTTTCTACAGCGTACTTGTAGTTAACGTGCTTCAACCACGTAGATACATATATCACACCAACATGAGTGCAGTCACTACATGGACAGATATCAGAGTCACGGATGAACTGTGCCATTTCTATTATATCTATCTTACAACGCAACACATCACTTGACAACAGCTCTTGGCTCGTAGAAGAGCCTATTCCTCCACTTCTCTTACATCCTCTTTCGACATATACGATCTTCTTCTTGTAGCATGAAATTTAGCGGGTTGAAGTCCACTGCGGCTCTTTGGATATGCCGTCAATTATGGGCATCGTGTTGTGGACTATCTGACGATGAAGAAGTCGAGATTCCACATGAAAGCCATATATTTGAAAATGAATCCAATCTCACGGAAGTTCAACTCGAGCCAGTGATAGCTGAGCCACAATCCCCAGTCCACTCCCTCAGCGCCGATATCCTGTACTACCTTGTAGTATCCTTCCTGCCCCTGGTGGATACAGCCTCGCTTGCACTGACCTGCAAAGCCGCTTTCATAGCTGTGGATGGAACAAGAGTTCTTCAAGAGTTGCGAGCCGAGCCTTCATATCGGATAAACTTTCTGCAGCGGCTGGAGCTCGAATTTCCAGACCATATCCTTTGCTATCTCTGTGTAAAATTTCATCGCCGGTTACGGGATATCTGGCAACCCTGGCTACCTTGTAATTCTGAGTGCGGGCTCATACACTTTGGGCAGTGGAAATTTATATTCCCCTATAGGTATGCCAAAGAGGTTGTGAATCATTATCGGTTTGGTCCACGACACGGACGCAGCGAGCATGATCTGGTGCCCCAGACGCAATATCCCATGTTCGAACCAGATAAGGACATCAAGGGAGTTGACTGCATGGATATAAAGTGTGTTGACAATGGGGGTGGCGTCAACCTAAAATTCAGGCGGTACGTATGGGTGGAATATAACCTGTCAAATCCAGTATCGAAGGCAAGGGCAACTCAAGTAGCGTTGATAAACTATCCACATCTTTGGAGTTCATTTGAGATGGCATTTAATTTGACCGAGGAACTCCCCCCCACGTGTTATAGGTGTGAATGGTGCGGCGCTGAGAGGGAATACTCTATTATTCACCTCCGCGATAAACCTGGATATGCTGCTCTTCGAACCACTCTATGGGAAAATGTAGGCCAGTGTGAAAATACAGAGCATGGGGAGTGGTATCACGTTTGCCGAGGTTTTTTGGAGATAGACAAGAACCACTCTATCCCAATAAACCAATGTGAATTAACACATTTGCATGACTTTGTCGATTGTGTCGCCCCTACCGATCGAGAAAGGCATTGGGACAGAGAATGAGATAGGGCATTGGCACTGGCAAATTGAGAATAACCCCGGTTCCAGACCCTCGACACAAAGTAATATCAGGGGGAAAAAAAAAAAGAAAAAAGACAAAAAATAGACATGAAAATGACTCTCACATGGAGAAAGACAGACAGTTGATATGGATGTTAAAAAAAAAAAAAAAAAAAAAAAAAAAAAAAAAAAAAGAAAGGGCAAGCCATGTGAGGTACAATAGCTCATCTTCGTTTCGTTAATGGCCAACAATGTGATCACCAACTACTCGTCCCGATCACCACGAAGAGGTGTGAGCTTTCGACCGAGACGCGAGCGTACATACATGCGTGCATACATACATACGAACAAAAGAAAAATCAAAAATACCCGCAGGTACAGAACCGAAGTCAGCTCGCAATGACACACCGCATAACTCTCCAAGGGCAAGCCCAGGGAGGAATTATGCAGGGGGAGAGCTCGGGGGAACCAGCCGCACCACTAGTCGGGACCTTGTCCAGCGACTTGCGGGTTAGCCGGTTGTCCAACCAGAGCAGGAATGAACTCAATGAGCCGGTCAAGCGTTTCGAGAGTTCTTTTCTGACTGTCATTGAAGGCATCAAGCCCCTTTTTGAAACCGTCCTGCTTCTCTATAACTTTCTGGAGCGAGTCCGAGGTTGTACCCCGAAACGGCTCTCCGTCCTTGACTTTCTGCATGAGGTTATCAAGGGTGGACTGGATTGTATCCTGTCCGGCCTTGAGGGTCTCACACTTTTCCTCAAGAGTGGCAAGGCATGTGTCAATGGAAGAAAGATGCGCCTCAACAGTCTCGTGATGACTGTTAATGCTAGTCTTTATTTCATCTACACTTGTCTTCAGATCGTTATAGTTCTGCTGGTTTGGCTCAACGTGAGACTTGATGCTATCAACAACGGACTTCAAAGAACTGACGTCCCGCCTGATTGTCTCAATCTGTTCTTCCTGAGATTTGATAATCTCATCTCCCGTCTTCCCGAGGTTCTTGAACCACAATACAAGCTTCGGTACTACCGTCACCGATAGTACCGAAATTATAAGACCAACAAGTGGAGAGAAATAGGCCATCCACCTTGCGGCGATTTGCCCATTAGTCTCACCTGCCGCGGCCCCGCCTGCAGTGGGGGAATCTCGGGCAGTCAATGCGGGTGCTGACATTACACGGGAGGTTCGGGTAGCAACAAAAAGGACAATCAAAAAGAGGCCGAGGGTCTGGGGGCCCATTCTCGCTGGGTATTCTTGCTGGCCTGTATGGCTGATGGTATGCTGCAGAGACGGAGAGACAGATGAACGGTAGACCGGTAGGTATCTGGTTTCAGCTGGGGTGGGTCGAGAGGGAAAAGAAGAGGAAGAGAAGAGGAAGAGAAGAGACGAAGTTCGTGATGGAGAAGCAGGACATCGCGTTAACGCGGGGGTTTCCTAATCGGGTAGACGTGACGGTGAGGGCAGGAGCAAGCACATGACATGGAAGGCGCTAGTAAACCAAGACAAACGTAGGCGCAGGACAACCATTGACCAAAAGAGAGAGAGAGAGAGAGCAGCACTGCCGACACTTGTGGCCCAGGGGACGCTCTATTCAATGACCATCTAGGAGAGAGCTATTGATGGATTACAAGGCACAGATGGATAGTAGGCAGTAGCAGCAGGAGAGATATAGAGCTACTCGCTGGGGTATAATTAATGCAGTCTACGGAAACATTTGGGATATCATATATGTCTATGTTCCTATGTTCCTTCAGAAGTCACGGAGGTATAGAAGATGCATGGAGAAAATAATAACTCGCTCTCCATGCTTGATGCTTCTGGCTTTCCAGCATCGAGAAAACTGGGTATAGTAGGGAATCCCGTATATTCCAGCGCCATGGGAATACATAATATACCATTCTCCCATACAGTAGCTTGTAGCTCACTTTGCTTTCCTCTGTGCACTTGAGTGCTGGTAAATATAGCTGCCGGAAGCAGAGACGTCGAGGACTGCGTGGCTCCTTTTCCTCCTCTTTTTATAGAGGACGTCGGTATTAGTCATCACATCAAGATATGTCACGTGCATATTCCGCATCCCCGGCGCATAAACTTTCTGTCAATTACCGCTAGTAAGTTTGAGCGTATCTGTCTAACCACACTAAGCCAGATTTAGTCTAGCGGCGCAGGCTGCATCTGGTGGGCTTCTTAGCTTCTTAGCGCGTTACTAGCCAGGCACCAGAAGCCGAGGCGGTAACTCAAAACGTCTACATATTATTTCCATGCAGGCTGCTGCTCGCATTCGTGTATGGAGGACACAACCTGTAGGTAACTACCTAGGCAGTGAGGTAGGTAGACTCTCGTGACATTCCGCCTCTTCGGCGTAACTAACTTCCTGGGAATACATCGTTGGGAGGTCAGGTAACTATGTACTTTCTTCCCGGCTTGGCCCTTCGTACTTCGTGATGCTCTCTCCCTTCATGCGCTACCCTTGAGGTTTCCTCGGTCTCGCAACGGACACTATTCAGACCGAGCTAACAAAAGAATGTTTCAAAGTCTCCTCGGCGGTTGGCCGCGCTGCCGGATTGATAATGAGGAGACTCCTCGGAGCATATTTCCCTAGGAAGCTGTTGTAACTCGTCCTGCAGGGATCAAACCGTGATGAACGGGACATCCACTCCAGTCCTAAGATGTGTATATCCGGTTTGTTCAAGCGCCGCGCCCAGTTCAAAATGATCCTTATAGTCCGGGTTATCTACAGTTCCACCAATTTGAATATATTTTAGGTATAGAAACTCATAGCTCATCGTGGAGATTACAGACATCTACATGAGAATCCTCAGGGTCCAAAACCAGGATTTTGGCAAATTCCGCAGCCCCCACAGCATCAGTGAAGAGCGGATCAATCGAGTCGCGGATCATACCAACATGGTGAGGGAGAACAGTAGCAATCGCGTCACGAATGATTTCAAATGCTGGCTTTGGCGCTTCGCCACTCATCACAATTTCACCCACAGATTCAATATATCCAAGTGAGTCACGGTCCTTGAAGTCTTGAATTGCGCTCTGCAATTCGAGTCTGTATTCATCCAAATTCTAAGAGAGCTACTATTAGATCTCACACTATGTTTGGAAGGATTATTCGGCGGTGTGTTCAGCACTTACACTGTCAAGCAGTCGCTTTGCACCAAGACTGGGTAGCCTTACACTGTCCAAGTCCCCGAATGTGAACTCCCCCACTTCTGCCAACATAATCTGTAGATATTCTTCATTATAATCAACAAATATGATCAGAGGGAGGTCATCTTCAACATTGCAGTTCTTCGGATCTAGACCGAAACCTTCGCACGAGTTGAGTCCGTACGCAAAACGTCCAACATAGAACTGTTTCTTGACTTGCCAATACTGAATACTGTTTTCAATATCTGAAGCGGCACTGAAAATCATGCCCATCGAACTGTCGTTGAAATATTGCGGAATGGAAATCGCGGTGATATTTCGAGGCTCACCCAGGATGTTCAAAACTTCTTCCTTGGTGCTGCGTATTACCGTGCGAAAGAGCTCCTTATAATCAGGGCTGATTTTTGGCCTTGAGGTTGGAATGAGAGATTCACCGTCCCGGATGTACCACTCCCCTGCATGTTGACTTGTCTAGGGCTTAGCCAGGTTGCAAGAGGGAGGAATAAGGCAATAGACGGTTCATGAACGTACACTATGACCCCTTCATTTCTCTCTGTGTCTTCCATAAAGGCGCGGTACTCGTCACTCCCCTTGATGCTGGTGACTGTAACCGGCTTGTCGTCGGAGTCGATATAAGCAACTTTGCTAAGAGATCCCAAACTTCAGTATTTTACAGGGTGCACTTGTTAATAAAATTGAAGACCCACATGTATCTTGGGCCAAAGCTGATACCAAGGGCTGTGAAGGCATTAGCATGTTTGCCATCTTATCTAACTGTGAGGACGCAGTCATACGGTATGGTCCGGTGGTTGCATCGGCAAAGACGACGGAGAGCAAAGATAGGAGGAGATATAACTTGGGTAGCAAAGCGGAAGCCATGTTGCTGAGATTCAACAATGCTAAAGGGACCGTTGTATAGAGTACTCTCTAGGACAATGTGTTTTGTAGTTAAGTTAGCTCTTAAGTCGATACGAAGTTAACGTGTTAAATATGGGGGAAACGGCGAGAAGGAAGCGATCTGGATGAAACAGCAAGACAATAAAAGAGGCCAGTTTTATAACCAGTTTGCCTCTCTAGTAGTTAATTAGACACCCTAGCTGCACAGCCCCATGCGTGGTTTAATGTTGGATTACCGTGCATTGATGACAAGTAACCAGAGTACAAGTCAGTTATATATAGAGAGTGTTAAGTCAAATATAGAACCTAAAAGCGACTTATCCCTGCCCCAGTTATCCAGTTAACAACGAAGTAGTTAACTAGTTAGTTAATTTAGTTAGTTAACTACGTAACTAATCAAAGCTGAAACTTGAGGTAAAAACTTACCTCTTATCTTTACACCCTCTCTCAAGTTGTGAGCAATCCAGGTGCAAACACTGCTGAAATGCATTCGGAGGTATAACCACAAGCGCAGGTTGAGCGCTAACAATTAGTTATGGATGAGCTGAATGCCGTCTGCCTCTACGGCTGCTCCAACTTGGCCATCAAAGTCAGTTAACTAGAGATCCTCCCTGACATGCACTGCGCCGCCGTTTGCTGTTAACTGTTGGCGAGCTAATTTTGTATATGCACCCATCCCCAAGGCTAGAAAAGGTGAACTGAATCATGGCGTATGTATGCCTGTTATACCCTGGAGAGAAACCCATGAGTGGGTTACTGTGCAGAACCGCAGGCCCAAAAACCGGGAGAGTAGGGCCCATGGGCGGTTACAACACCCGCCTGCCGAGGCCATTTTTTCTTGTGCCTCTATCTGCTGCCGGTGCTGCTGCTGCTATTTATGTTGTTGTTGTTGTTGTTGTTGTTGTTGTTGTTGTTGTTGTTGTTGCAAAGTACACCTGCGGCAGGGCTTGTGACCCTGGCGTTAGGGGCTGAATAGACGTCTTGATTCAATACATAATTCTGAGACAGGAGATACTCGGGACCTCACATGAGCCTACCGCAGGCCGAGTGTCACGTCAAAGGAATTGATTCCCTGAGCTTTGGACCCGGGTTCCGATTCTCCCAAATCTATTTAATGCCCCAGTTCCCTTTGTAAGAACCCCCCCACCACGGGGCTACTCTTATTTTGCTCTATTTTCCCATTCAGATATCCCATACTTCCTAGATCTAAGGAACCTGGCAATATCATGATTTCCTCACACATCTTGGTCTACATTCTCCTGACTGCCCTGGTAGCAGCAAGTCCATTTCCACGTCAACCCAGGTCCGAACGAGATATTGAATCCATAACCTTTCATAGTAAGTTGCCCCAATAGCTATCTAACTAACGGCTTGAACCTTTCTTTTTTTTTTTTTTTTTTTTTTTTTTTTTTTTTTTTTTTTTTTTTGTTCACCTTAGTAAATGTCTCGTTTCCTACTCACTGGTTGGATATAGCTACGGACATAGTTGCGGATGTGGACTTTAACGGGAAGAGAGTGAGTGGCTTACACGCAATACAATAACTAGATGGAACAATGGTCGCTAACGGCTAACACATAGCCAATATACGAGTTATTTCATAAATTTGCTCGACTTTTCTTAGATACTACACCCATTCAAGGCACTGGACCAGAAGTTGGAGTGAATATGGGTACCGCATATAATGGTATGTTATCTACAATGACGAACCAAAATTGTCGTAATGAAGTTCACTAACATGTCTGCAGCTGATAACTATGCCTGGTTCTTTACCTATAGGTGGTTTCATAGCAAGTGGAGCTGGGACTCTGACGGTAAATTCCGTAAGAGGGGGTCGTTGGAGGCAGAAGAGGAGGAGATGGAGCCTATGAACGACCTTTCCGACGCCGTTGATGTTGAAGATATCCATGCGGAGGATGCTATACTCCCGATAACCTGCCGTGTGAAAGATGGAGACTACTTGCACGCACGCTGCGACTATATTAACGGTGAATACAACGAATTCGTCAAGAAGATAAAGGAGCCTTTCTGGGCGCGGTATAGCGACTGCATGCTATCGTAAGGATACTTACTCAAACTCAGGTGCATGAATTGAAGCTAACATATTGATTACAGAGGAGAATGCAATCTCTCCTTGGATGGCTACGTTGTAGACCCGAAATGTACTTGCACCTGTGATGGTGAGCTCACATCTCTCAGAGATCCGAGGTGTGAAGGCTTTGCGGGCTCACTTCCAACGCCCCCTCACTCGCGAGCTCACGGTATATAAACACAATATTAACGAGCTGTTTTCGGTAGCTGGCCAGCAATTTTTATTTTTATTTTTATTTTTATTTATTTATTTGTTCATTCATTTATTTGGAGTTTTCATTTGGGCTGTTCCTAGGCTTTCGCGATGTGATGTATGCTCCATGGATTACTCTAGACGACCTCAGTATATATAGATCGATGATGCAACAACCAACTTTGAGTCGGGCACAAAGAATTTGGTTAGCTCTATATTATGTGGTTAAAATTGCTCCCTTCGATACGCTAGAAAGCTGATCATTCTTAATGATAAATAATACCATGACTAATGACTACATTCTCCAGTTCTTTCTACTTGACCGCTGCTCTAGCTAGTGCAGCCGGCTAAGAGCCGTTCAATTTCTACTACTAACTAGTTAGTTATATGATGCATCACAGCGACCCAATATCAGGCATTTGGCTGAAAGAACTTAAGAAACTAAGATCTTCTGACATAGACCTAGCTTAGAGGGGTGACGACTATATACTATAATGACCTAACTACTTCGATATGAGATAACCAGCTGGTTGGTTAACCAATACCACCAGTTAACTGGTTAACTACCTAACTATATGAAATCGCGGGACTTTAAGTTTACATAGGCGAGGCAGGGGCAAAGTACACGAATATGGCTCCATTTCGAATATTTTGATCATATTTCTTCTTAAATGGTTGTATGGAGTTGTTGGTTGCCCTGTCACCCCATCTTCAGTGTCCTCCAATGACCTGGAAGGGACAATACCGCACAGAACAAGTGATTCAATACCGATACATAACATGAACTATGAAACACTGGAAATTGTCTTCTTCCCCTGGTCCGACACAGATAGGTTGCAACCTCAAGCTGCTGTCACAACATCTCTGTCCCTTCCTGCATACGCACGATACTGGAGTACCACACGTTGATTCATGGATTGACGAGTACAGGAAACGCCGTGTATCAGCCTGCAGAACTATTCCTGGTCTGCCTGGGCGTATTAATTTAATTTGACGATACGAGGGATCGGTTGCGCATTCAATAACTAACTACTTGTCGATCCAATCAACAGATAGTTAACTATCAATCAGCCTTACCCGCAAATCCCCCGTGCGTCTCACGAACGTCTTGAAACCCAGACGCTGCCCACGAACCAGACAGCAGCGCTCTGTTCAACATGCGCACGAAGAAGGCTATCAGCAGTTCAAATTAGTCGAGCCGTGGGCATTGGCTGTCCCCAGTCTGGCCTATCAGATCGTCGCTCCAATTGGAGACCTGGGAATTAACGCATCTTCCCGATCTCAGCCTTTCAGGTCGCATTTTCACATCCATCTGCATGATGAGCGGCTACTGGCTTTTCTATCTTCAACGAGCCATACAGAGATGAAGGATGAGCTACTGATACTCCGTACTTGCTTTTTCTTTAATTTTCACGTTCATCCTTGACTGTTTTCTGTAAGTTTGGCCCCTTTCCCCCTCATTCAATTCATGTTTAGCAAGAGCTCCAACAATCCGTCCCGTGGCCCCAATATCGCTGAGACCCTTCTCTTCCGGCGAGGTCCCATTTGATATTATTTCATTAATTTTTTCCCGGAGCACACACATCTGCTAGCCTGTTAGGTCTCAAAAATGTGGCCCCGATCTTGGTGTGATGGAGCAACGACACTGCCAGCGTGCTAAACCAATTACCCTTCATTTTAGCCGTTGGTTCGACGTTGTTTGCAGTTATGTCGTGCATTTTATCCGGATCTTTACCAAAATACACTCAGATGATTGCCAGAATCTTTTAGCGTTTAACATTTGGCTATTTCTGAGTCTTCACACATTTGCCTCCGATCGTTGTTGTCATACCGTCTGCAACCAACAGGTACCATTACCCAGGTATATAGGGTGAATGTGATCCTACCAATCACTATAGACAGCATACAAGTTAGATCGCTATGTGGTTCTAGCCAGAGTCCAAATATCCTCGATTTCACACTTGGATCGTGGTAGTTGCTGCTCGTAACCACACACCTACGATCTTGGTGGAGGTGAACCACAGTTGATCGAATTGAGTGGTGAATGGCAGCACAGGATAAGTGCAATACGTTGGCATAGTGCCCTTGCCTACCATGTCGAGATGAGACTTCCACCTCTTATGGGCGCCCATAACATTCTCGGCTATTGCTCACGAGCCACTCAGTGCCTCCTTAGGTAAAGGCAGATAATTGGGTATCAGGGTCACTAGAAGAAAAGCCTGTCTGCGAGGTACTGTCGAGGCAGGAGTCGGTGGTCTGGGGATGATTGTTTTCCCGATGTACGTACCACCTCCAGTAGGATCACCAGTGTCTGTTCCGTTTGAACGAAAGGACAGCGCCAGTAGGTATTATTAGTCCCAGTCCCAGTCGCAGTCCTAGTCAGCGTTAGAGTGAGGTTGAGCTGGGGATGGAAGCGGTCGTCGGTCTTCGTTTGTTTCTTTTTTCCTTTTCCCGCCAGGAGGTCCTTTGGAGCTAGTGCTATTGCCACTCACTTAGAGCCACCGCCCTGTCCTGCAACTTTTTTCCTTTTACGTAGAGAAACCTCGTCCAAGGGCCTCCTCTTCTTTCAACGTCAGTTCATGATTTTTTTTTTATCATTCACCGTCAACCAACGCTGGTATACCCAGCGTCTACTGGTCTCACCCCTTCGCAGAACTGTTCGCAAGGGGAAAAAATAAAGAGAAGCACATACACCTGGAGAGATTATATCACTGGTTTACCAGGAGCCATTTTACACCTGGTTTTGACATCGAGAAAATGCCTGCAGGAGACTTATCATACCACTGCTTGAGGAGTTAAGAAGGAAAACACAGCCTCCGAGAGACATACACTTTTAAGAGGCGCATCTACCCAGACGGATAATCATAGAAGCGTTAAGTGACGCCCTAGGAGATGCTCTCTGGGACTGCTTGATGCTGGCTGTTCACGTCTCTTCCTTACAACAACACCGGGCCAACAGCTCTCTCAAGGGAAAACCTCAAAAACACAAAGACATCCATAGCTAAATCACCACCCACCCAGTCTATCCCCCCTCTCGCTGCATCCTCTTCCTGCTCTGCTCTGTCTCGTTCACCTGCAGCCTATATCACCAGCTCTAGCTAGCCCGCGCCTGGAGGTCGGCTCTCCTCCATCGGGCTTGATCCTTCTTCTCCTGACCCTAGTATTTCCACTATTGCCACTGCACCACTCCCTTTTCATCGCCATCCCCCCCAAAAGAAAAAAACCTCGGAAAAATCTCCAATTCAAAAGTCGACGACCTTGAACACCCAGGAAGGTCGACGTCTCAACCCCCCTTCACGGCGTCGCTTTGCGCCCCGACGTCTCTTTCACCTTGCCTCGCTGCTCTCTACCTGCTCAGCCCGGAGGCAGCCACAGCTTATCACTTTTTTTTGTCGCAGTAGTTAGGGGCTGCTGCATGGTTGAAGGGTGTGTCTTGGCAGAAGATTTCTGATCCAAAGCACCAGCGACAGGCCTCAAAAGCCGTAACACACCAGGAGCGTAAAAGAGTGTTGATGAAGGACCTAGCGTCACAAATCTTGTCCTTTCCAGTCTCATTCACTGGATTCGATCATTACTTATTTGCAGAATAAAAAGCAAGAACTCCGGCCAGGCGGTAGACGTCTGTTCCCGCCGGCCTCATGGCTCACCACGATGATGTTGATGTGAAGACAGAATCGGTGGCAGACGCGGTAACAGACATGAAGCTGGAGCGAGAGGACTCGGAAGAGGGTGTGTCCCTCAACGGCAAGGCCTCTAGCAACGGGGAGGCCAACGGCACTCCCGCCACACCTGCCAAGTCAGCAGCTTCGTCTCCTCCAGATAGGCCGTCTTCTGCCCTGAAAGATGAGGAATCCGAAGAAAAGGTTGGAGGGGATATCACCGTCAAGCAAGAACCAGGCCAACCTCCCAAGCTGGCTCGTTCTGCTACCAAGAAAGTTGTCCCCAGGAAACCTCAGATGTTCGACCATCTCCCTGACAGCACTGCAGAGGCTACTGCTCTTTTCCAGGTGATAGATGCATGCACATATTCGAATAAGAATATGGGCTACACGGACCATGCTATGGAATGTGACTGTGCTGAAGAGTGGAGTAAGTAGCTCCTGAATAGAGACTTATTTGTCTCCCACACATTCCCCCATCTTTATAGATCTAGTTGCTACACTATTGTTCTATCTATCTATGCTCTGGGCTTTTTTTTTTTTTTTTGGTTTGCTTGATTATGTTGGGTATTTTTGAAGAGACTAATCTGGCTGCTATAGATCCCAAGACAGGAATAAACGAGGCCTGTGGGGAAGATTCAGACTGCATAAACAGAGCTACAAAGATGGAATGTGTTGATAATTGCGGCTGTGGTGACAACTGCCAGAATCAACGCTTTCAAAAACGACAGTATGCCGATGTGACAGTTATTAAAACAGAGAAAAAGGGATTTGGTCTACGAGCAAACACCGATCTGCGACCCAACGACTTTATCTACGAATATATTGGCGAAGTCATCAATGAACCGCAGTTTCGGAAACGTATGATGCAGTATGACGATGAGGGTATCAAACATTTCTATTTCATGTCCCTCAACAAGGGCGAATTCGTCGATGCAACAAGGAAAGGAAACCTAGGCCGCTTCTGCAATCATTCCTGCAATCCAAACTGCTACATCGACAAATGGGTCGTTGGAGAAAAGCTTCGCATGGGCATATTTGCTGAGAAACACATCAAAGCCGGCGAAGAATTAGTCTTCAACTACAACGTTGACCGCTATGGTGCTGATCCACAGCCATGCTATTGTGGCGAAGCTAACTGCCTTGGCTATATTGGTGGGAAGACACAGACAGAACGAGCAACGAAGCTATCGAATGCCACCATTGAGGCATTGGGAATTGATGATCTGGATAGCTGGGATACCGCTCTTCCAAAACGGCCCAAAAAGAAGAAGACCGCTGAAGACGACGAAGAATATGTCGACCGATTCCAACCCAAGTCGCTGGATGAAGAGGGTGTCACGAAGGTTATGGCAACTCTCATGCAATGCAAAGAGAAATGGATTGCTGTAAAGCTCTTGGGCCGTATGCAGCGCTGTGACGATGAACGGGTCATCAACAGAATTGTGAGGATGCATGGTTACCAGATTCTCAATTCCCAGCTTAGTGCTTGGAAAGAAGACTTCAACGTCGTGCTGCAAATTCTCCAAATCTTGGATAAATTCCCACGGCTTACACGAAATAAGATCATTGACTCCAAAATTGAGACCACTGTTAAGCCATTGACCGAGTGTGGTGAAGAGCGCGTTGAAAAGCAAGCTGCTTCGCTACTCGAGACTTGGTCGGCGCTGGAAGTTGGTTACCGAATTCCTAGAATGAAGAGAGACCCTGCACTTACAGCCAATATACCTTCCGCAAAACAATTCGAGCGTCGAGAAGTAATGCGTGAGCGTGAAGATCGCCCTCGAAAATCAGCGTCTGAGTCTCGGGATAAATCTCCAAAATCACCTTCGGTTGATCCTACCAGAGTCGCCCCTCGAGGCCCCGCAGCACATGGTAGGGGTGGAAAGAGCCACAGGAATTCATACCACCAAGGCCCACGACCGTTCCGTCGACCGTTTAACCCGCTCCCTTCAGGATGGTTCGCTGCAGAAGCTAATGGGAAAACATACTACTACTCTGCTCGGGGAGATACTACTTGGGTGAGACCAACAGCACCTGCGCCACAACCACCACCCCCGCCGAAGCCCGAGTCAAAGGATAAGACATTGCAAGACATTATCGATGGGATAATGAATTCAAAAGAGGATACCCCGAAATCTAAGGATAAAGAAGTATCCGCTACTCCAGCAACTCCCGCTGATGTTCCTCAAAAGAAGGAACATAAACCAAAATGGAAATCATTAAGTGAAGAGAAGCAGAAGAAGATCTATGAAAACACAGTAAGTCAATTATTGACTACTTGGGCTAGAAATATATATATACTGATAACAAGCAATATCTAGCTCTTTCCTCATGTCAAGTACGTTGTGGATAAATTTAAAAATAAGCTTCCCAAGGATGACCTGAAGCGCTATGCAAAGGAGGTAAGCCACCTATGTAATAAATGCTAGATGTGCTACAAGCCTAATACTTACCTGATATATAGGTTGCCAAAAAGCTTGTGAACTCTGATTTCAAAAATAACCGTGTGACTGATCCTACTAAAGTCAGTGAGAAGCAAATAAAGCAAGTGAAGAAGTTCTGCAAAGAATACTTCGAGAAGGCGGTTGTGAAGCACCAAGCCTACGAGAAGAAGAAAGCAGAACACAAAAGAAAACACAGCAAGCCGTCGGGCAGCATTTCTAATTCTAAGGAGCCGGCCATCCCACCTCCTACTGACAAAGCTGATGAGAGTGATGCTGCTGATGATGATGTCAACTTGTCGGACAATGATGAGCCTATCCAAGATGATGTCCAATGTTCGTCACCTAGGGAAGATGAATCAATGACACCAGGGGGGAGCCTAAAGAGAAAACGTGACATTGATGAGACAGTTGAAGAAGAGGATAACGACACCAAACACGATGGTTCCTCGTTATCGAAACGGCAGCGTTCCGAATCCCCACCTGTTCCACCACCTCCTCCACCCCCGATGAGTCCTGATAACTCAATGGAAGTAGATGACATAGACGGGGGTTTCAAGAGAAAGATGGACGAAGAATTTGAACTTGAGGATGAAAATACCCCTTGCTCAAGGTCACCGGGAAAGTACAATTCCCATGGATCATCGCCCCCACCTTTTCCTCCCCCTCCTCCATTGCCAGCCGATATGCCTGATCGGAGCATCGATCCATACAGAAATGAGCAAAGCAACATGGATGACGAAACCCCCTGATCATTCAAATACAGCCTTGCTATATACTTCTTTTACACACAATATGCAGTCTGGCTACCGCGATTTTGACCCTGATTGAAGTGAAGGAAATTTACTCTTCACCTGCCTACTCTTGAGATGAGCTAGCATGGCGAAAATCTACGGACGAGCCGTGCAGTTACGGCCTGCTGCAATCTACCTTCATATTCTTCCTCCCTTTCCTAGACCTACCCAGAGCACTATTTCCTCTATTCAAATATCCTAGCACTTGTTATCAAGCTGTCCTTTCCAACTCTTGATAACAGGTATAATACCCACCGGTCTTCGTTGTTCGATTCTTCTTGATATACCATTTCATTCCCATTTTTTTGTCCCCTTTTTCGCACCTTGGCTTATCTTTGGCTCATTATTTCTTCCCCCTTTCCCAGAAACGGTTCTTAGGCCGCATTACGTTAAAAACACCGATGAGCGACATTTAGTTGGCTATGGAGCATATTCTCTGTATCGTACCCATTAAGCGGTTGCTTCCCTTCTGTTGTTTCCCCCATGAAATATGTTTTATTAGCATCTATTTACTTTGCCTGTTCCCTCAAGTTAGGACAAACAGCCAGTTAGATAAAAGGAAGAGCCAACATAAGAGAGACAAGCTACCAAAACATATGATTATTCCACAACCGGCAAACCACGGTCTTTTCGCAGCTGGATGACTTCTATTTTCCATTTCTGAAACGCAGCTATCCGCTCCTCAGAAGGGAGATGCCCAAATGTGTCCATCGGATGACTGAAATTCAGTCTTTCCAGCTTCTCCGCAATATGGATTACTCTGACATTGACCCCGTTCAATCGGATGTCTATCTTTCCAATTCTTTCGAATAAAACCGAGCTATATTGCGAAGTATGATAGCTCATACCCAGCATAAATGAAAGCCGCATAGTTAAGTATCTCATCAGCCATTCTGGCCGAATGACTATTCGATGAACGTCCTCCCACCCATCTATTTGAGACGGCATACCTCGGCACTCTTTCCATGGCTGAAAAAGACCACCTTCCTGATCAGCGGCCCATTTATAGTAGATATCATCGGTGGCAGTGTTATCTGTGGATTTTTGGAAGTCCAGTATTAGAGTACCCACGGTGATTCCTCTATTACTGCCGCCTAGTTGAGACAAAGCTTCAATGACCGGGCGTTGGGTGGGTTTCTTGCTTGTCCACATCTCTGGGCCAGGGCCGTCTCTAAGGAGATTCACTAGAGGACGGTAGAATGCCCATTGTACTTCTGTTGGGCCCATGTCACTCCTGAATGCGTTCACGCCGCTCATGCTTGCTTTGGTAACTGGACAGGTTCCAAAGGCTTGAATAGTCACAACCACATTGTCGACTCGTGGAGATAGAGCTGGTACGCAGATATGGGATGGCCACACGTAGGAGTCGTCAACGAGCATGATATCATAGGTGTAGGTCAAGTTTCGGCGCTTTTTGCCTGCTTCATTCTCTTCTTTGGTTCCTTTGAGAAACCTGCCAATTGCCGCCTTAGTTTCAGCGTGGAGTTGCTGGTTGACGAGGAGGAGGGAGAGGGAGTTTGTGATATATCCTTCATTGGATAGGGGGTTAATGTCCGGATTGACTGATTTCGAACGTCCTGCCATCTGAGCTGGCCTTTTGGGTACTGGAACCCTGGTGGCTATGACGAGCTCAATGATGATGTCCCGGATCTCGAGCGGGATATTGGTTAAAGTGATTCGATCCATCCTTCTGGTAATTTTTGAAGTGTATAATGATGGTGATGGTATCAAAGTCGTGTTGGCTTACGGTATGGGATACCTCCCGGCATTTGTGTAGATGAGTTGGATTTGATAGTGGCAGAGGATGAAATTGACGATCACTTACTATTTCTCAAAGTGACCAGCCTATTGACTAATCGGCAAGGAGAGGAACACACTTCCTGCGGATTGTAACACGCTTATTGCTACAGGTAGATAAATATGAAGCATATGTCATGGACGTATTTTTTTTATATATATTCCAATAACCAATAGTCGCGTGAAAAGGGGCAGATTTTGTCTAGAGCTGGAACTTCGTCCGGACCTTTTCCATGCGGCCCTTCCACTCCCAATCCTGGCCACTCTTCCGCTGAATACCTTTATCTATTCTTCGTAGTTTTAATGTAAACCGGGGACCAAGCTCTTGTAGACCTGCTCGGATTCCTTCCACGCCTTTCATCTCTACTCCATTTGCATCAACAACGCATTTCTCCGTCTCTCGTTTGTCACGGAATACATATCGATGCCGCCTGACAAATATATAATCACGCTGGTTATGTAGTGTGACCACTTGCCTTCCCTGGAACTCTGGCTGAGGCGGGAATAGCGTGCGGAAGAGATGGGCTGTTAATAGACCAAGGGGGGTGCGGAAGTTGTTAAGTATGAGTTCGGGCCAGTGGCTGGTTGGATTTCCGTGTCCGGGCAGCTTCTTGCCTTCTATCCAGTTGCTGATAGAGAAGTGGAATGTCGGTCCAACGGGGAGATGTACTATTGTCAGCCCAGAGACTCGTTTCAGGTCCTCCTCCAGCACCACAACAGCAGTATAATTTCTATTCGCGGCAAACGACGATATCTCGCGCACCGAGAATTTATGGCCATATCTATGCGCCGAGCGGCGGATATAGACACTGTTAGGGAAGAACTCGGTCAGGACCTTGGCTTCCTTGTGTAGGGTTGAGTTAAGAGAGGTGGTAATCAGTATTTTCGGCGGCGGGGGGGCTTCTGTTGGGAAGAGACTGGGGAATTTGGCTGCAAGCGCATCAGGCGCAAGGTCGATATTCGTGCTTCGAGTCGACTGTGTAGGACTCGTTGCTCGCTCAGTCGCAGAGGGCACCTTGTTCTTCCTTCTGTCCTTCCCGGCTGGCTTTTTGTCTTTTTCTTCCTGCTCGTCTCCCTCGTCGCTGTCGCTGTCAAAATCGATCATGCTATCAACGTCGTCCGAGCCATCACCACCTTCGTCTGCGTCCCCGTCTCCGTCTTCACTGTCTTCTTTATCATCGGGTATCAAATCGTCTTTATCCTTCTGTTCCTGCTCTGTCTCCTGCCTCCGTCGCTTTATCCTCTCCACGTCGAAACTCAAGCCCAGCCCGTCTTCAACGTCACTACCGGCGTCATCCCACACTCGCTTCCGTTCCAGCGTCAGCGGCACATTCTTCTTCAGCCGCTCGGCCTTTAGCTGAGGGTTCTTCGCCTCTTCTTTCCGTCTGGCAAAGCGCAATGCCCGTGTCTCTTTGTCCTTGGTCTGTTTGCGCTTGATATGAAGCTCCTGTCTCTTCAGCTTGTTCCCGGGCTTATAGTCCATCCCAGACGGCCGTGGCCCGCTAGATTTGCCCATCTTCAACCCTCACGCCGTCGTCAACCCTTTTTTCTCAAGTTAATCACTCTGTCGATAAGTTTGCTTTTTTTTTTTTTTTTCCTGTTACTTTTTTTTTGAAGCTCCACGAAAGCTCGACGGAAGATCCTTTTGCCGGTTGATATCGCTCCAGTCTAGTCCACGCCGTTCCTGGGCAGAGAAAAAAAAATTGCCGGGTGGAAGATAGTCAATAGTCAATAATAAATCAATTGTATGAGCCTTAGACGCTGTATATAAAAGGCATTCGCTCTCTGCTGTCTCTCCCTCTGCCGTTCTGCCGTTCTGTCGCTCTGCCTGCTGCGCGCCTGGGTTGATGCGCCCTCTCCAGCTCCCTCGCAACCTCTGCCCGCGGCTCTGCCAGCCCCTAAGCGCAGGCCGAATAAGCATAAGCAGCATAAGCGCAGCCAGAGGACGCTCCGCCCCGCGGCCCAGTCCCGTTCCCAGTCATCGCGGGCGCCCCTTCGGCTTCCAGAGCGCACAAATATCGACAAAACCACCCACACGACCGCCGCCCGCTGCCCACGCCAACGCCATCATGGCCACCACCAAGTCCGGCCAGCCCTTCGACCGCGCCGTCTGCGAGAGCCTGCTGCGAAGACGCCTGTTCTACACCCCTTCGTTCGAGATCTATGGCGGGGTATCTGGTCTCTATGACTACGGCCCGCCGGGCTGCGCTCTGCAGGCGAACGTCGTCGACCTGTGGAGGAAGCACTTCGTCCTGGAGGAGGACATGCTGGAGGTAGACACCTCGATGCTCACCCCGCATGAAGTGCTCAAGACCAGCGGACATGTCGACAAGTTCGCCGACTGGATGTGCAAGGACCCCAAGACCGGAGAGATCTTCCGCGCAGACCATCTGGTGGAGGAAGTCCTGGAGTCGCGGCTGAAGGGCGACAAGGAGGCTCGCGGCCAGAAAGTAGTGGTCGACGAGGAGAAGGACGCAAAGCGGAAGAAGAAGGTCAAGGAGACCAAGGTTGTCAAGCTGGACGACGCCGTCGTGGCCGAGTACGAAGAAGTGCTGGCTCAGATTGACAACTACGATGGCCCAGAGCTCGGTGCTCTCATCGTCAAGTACGATATCAAGAACCCTACCACCAATGGCGAGCTGCTGCCCCCAGTCTCGTTCAATCTCATGTTCCAGACGGCCATTGGCCCCAGCAGCAATCTTCCCGGCTATCTTCGACCTGAGACCGCCCAGGGACAGTTCCTTAACTTCCAGAAGCTCCTCGAGTTCAACCAGCAGTCTATGCCCTTTGCGTCTGCCTGCATTGGCAAGTCCTTCCGCAACGAAATATCCCCGCGATCTGGCCTCTTGCGTGTGCGTGAATTCTTGATGGCGGAGATTGAACATTTCGTCGACCCTGAAGGCGGGAAGAAACACCCTCGCTTCCATGAAGTGCAGGACGTGGAGCTGGAATTCTTGAACCGGGAAGTTCAACTCTCCGGCAGCACGGCTACAACTAGAATGAGCATCGGAAAGGCTGTCTCTACCGGTCTAGTGGACAACGAGACCTTGGGCTACTTCCTTGCCCGTATCTACTTGTTCCTTAAGAAGATCGGTATCGATGAGTCCAAGATCCGACTGCGTCAGCACATGCAGAATGAAATGGCTCATTACGCAACCGACTGCTGGGATGCCGAGTTGTTCACCAGCTACGGCTGGATCGAGTGTGTTGGCTGTGCTGACCGAAGTGCCTACGATTTGAGTGTTCATAAAAAGAAGACTGGTGCACCACTCGTTGTCAGACAGACCAGAGCCGAGCCCCTTCGAATTGAGGAGTGGCAGGTCGACATTGACAAGAAGAAGTTTGGACCTCGCTTCAAGAAGGATAGCAAGACTGTCGAAAACGCAATTGAGGCCTTGACTCAGGATATGCGAGAGAAACTTTCACTAGACCTTGAAAAGAATGGCAAGATAGAGATTGAGGTAGACGGAGTTGGTGAGGGCAAAGTTGAGATTGGCAAGGACCTTGTTCAGATCGAGAAGCGGATGAGAGTAGAAAATGTCCGCGAATACACTCCCAACGTTATCGAACCGTCGTTCGGAATTGGTAGAATCCTTTACTGTTTGATGGAGCATGCTTACTGGTCTAGACCAGATGATGAGGCTCGTGGTGTAAGTGCTAGTTCCCCCCTTCCTTATCTTCAACTGTCATTAGCATAATGCTAACAATTGCCCGCTAGGTCCTTTCTTTCCCACCTGCAGTGGCCCCTACTAAGGTCCTGCTGGTCCCTCTCTCCACTCATGCATCTTTCCAGCCACTTATCCAACGCCTAACTCTCAAGCTGCGTCGTCTCGGTGTCTCCAACCGTGTGGACGACTCGTCCGCGAGTATCGGTAAACGGTACTCGAGAAACGACGAGCTCGGAACTCCCTTCGGTATCACCGCCGATTTCCAGTCCGTGAAGGACAACACCTTCACTCTCCGTGACCGAGACACCACAAAACAGGTCCGCGCCAGTGAAGATGAAATATGTAACGCCGTCAAGAGCCTGGTCGACGGCGAAGAGACCTGGGAGGATGTCTTGAAGCGGCTGCCGGAGTTTACCGGCCAGGAAGTCGAGTAAACTCATGCACTCCTTAGCTACAATACACTATATAAAATCTATTGTACGGAGTAGTAAAAACCACAAAATCCAGAAATAATTTAATATATCAGGAAAAAGCAATATCGACTCGCCTTTGCTAAATAACTAAATGTGATGTCATTTTAAGGTCTTTGAGCCGCTCGTCCCAAAGCGGTTAGTAGGCCTGTCCCCCAAGGAGATCAAAACAACTCCTTTAATTTATTCTCCAGGCACGAAGATGCAGGATTGAACATCGAACGACCAAGTTCTGCGCTCTGGCATGGTATAATGGCACCGAAGATATCTTCGTCCAAGATAACGCTTTCATGCCCGCTTTTTGCGGCTGATTTCGACCCTCACAACCATGGCTTTCTGCTGGTAGGAGGGGGCGGTGGTGAAGGACGCAGTGGCGTTGGCAACAAGATTGTAAGGATAAGCCGTTCCTGGGAAGATGAATTGGAGGCGCAGATATGGCTCTGATCAATGCTAGTATATCATTTGCTAACATGGACTGTCATTTTGCTTGCTTAGTCCCTTCTCGATACGTCTCGGCGCGACGCTATATCGGAGGTAGTCGACATCGAGCTCTCCCGGGATGAAGATTCGGTCACATCTCTAGGTATTTTACAATGCAGCGATCAAGACGTCGTGGCGCTGGCCGGAATAAACAGCTCGCAGGCGGAACAAAAACGAGACAACAATAAACACCTACGCTCCTTCGAAATCACATACCCTCCAAGACGAAAGGCTATTACAGATTTAAAGAACGGGGACTACGGTGGCGATGATGGAGCGCAAGTCAATGTTGGCGAGCCGAAGACAAGAGCTCTATCTCAGGTCTCGTTATTCAGGAAACAAGAATCAAAATCGACCGAGGGAGAAGCATATCAGCGCATATTACGACTTTCTCCCTGGAAAGGCGAAGACGCAAAGCGCATTGGTGCAATCGCAACTGGCCTTGCTCCCCGAGGAGAACTTGTGTTCTTTGAAGCGGACGCACAATCTGTATCCGCACCAAATGTTTTAGGACGTATCATACTGGGACCACAAGAAGAGGTGGAGGACGTGGATATCATAGACACAAGCGAGGACGGGACCTTCAAGTTCGCATATACGGATGGAAAGGAGGTCTACCTTGCGAATATATCGATGTCCTCGAAATCCAACTTGCATGTAAACTCTATATATAAGGTCGGCAGAGGACCGAAAAGCAGCAAAATCAGAGCTTTGCGCTTTATCTCTCCAAACACCCTTCTCCTGCTGCAGAACTACCCTGGCCGCACCGGATGCGAGCTAGTGGTTATATCACTCTCCGCTCAAATGTCTAAATGGATGGTTTCCCGGAGACGAGGTCTCCATAGGTCGATGAAGATTGGTCTAGGCTTGGATGTTTGTCGACTATCCGAGTCGTCTTCTGGAGAAAGGCAGTGCATCATTGCCGTATCAGGCAGTGATATGTCAATCGAAGTTCTGACACTCGAATCTGCTTCCAAGGGCCAAATTGGAAAACTACAACACTATACCACTTTCACAGATGTCCACCCGTTTTCAATGACAAGAATAGCGTTCTCGACCTTTATTTCTCCAGCTTTACCTGTCACCTCGGATGTACGGCCCCAGTTTGTAAAGCTGGCTTCTGTCAGTGTGGGGAATACAGTTATAGTTCACACCTTCCCCCTATCTCCATATCCTACTACTTCAAAACACCCACGGTACGTTCTGGTGATGCCCGGCCTCTCGGAACTTGCCAATACTATATTCAGCTCTCTCGTTGCCATACTTGTTGTCGCGCTGGGTGCTTTCTTCCTGCAAGCCTTCACGGAGATCCGAGGCGGTGTTCCCCCTACTCTAGGAGCTACGAACTGGCTTAGTCCGCGTCTCCGGGAAATGCTTGCACGACCATACATGTTCGAAAACGGCCACCCAAATGCTCAAACGACTATCCCATCATTAAAAGACATCCCTCAAGTCAAGACATCCCAACCGCTCCGAGACTTGGTATCTTCACTCTCACAGGCTCAGAAGGGCGACTCCTCGCCTACTTCCGACCAGCCGCCGGAAGCCATCGTTGTCCATGACCTTGGTACCGAGATATCAGCCAAGTCCACTGTTCTGTCAGACGATGGGGAAAAGCACGGAGTAGACCACTCAAAGACCAAGAAGTGGGAAGATCTGACTGATGAACAGCGCAAGATATGGAAGAAAAAGCTGGCTGATGCGGGCCACTGGGCATTGGACGAAGGCGAAGTGCTACTCCGTGGCGTGCTGTTTGGCGAATTGGCTGGATTTGTTGGTCAGATTATGGCTTAATCTATGCATGCATGTAAGGACTGACATAAATATATACGAACGACACTTTCGGGACTCTGGTGCTATTACGACTTTCTTATTGCTAGGCGAGTGCGTGAGCTTGTATAATGACTGGGACCGAACCGTTGGTCTCTTGGTTTTTAACTGTTATATCCCGGTGGGTTTACGTGAGAAGATGTGTAGATAGCATTATATGCCAGTTATGGTTCATGAGCAATGAATTTTTTTTTCTTCTTGCTTTCTCTCTGGACTTCTGAAGTATGAATATCAAATCGGAAGATGAGGATTCTGAATTAAACAGTGCAAGTATAAAGTATTTTTCATTACTTAGAAATAGCATCGTATAAGAAACTATTGATTAATCCTAAGTTATTTTGATCAACGCCCTGAAGGGCCAATTAAGGAAAGAGGTCATAAGCAGGTGCAGGCAGGGCAGTGCAGGTCTTTGAATCGCCGATTAAAACAAAGCAACGAATCACTTCGCTAGCTAATAATTAATTATCGACCTCGCTATTCTCTCGCTCCCACGCATGCAAAAAAGGGGGAAAAAAAAAAAAAAAGAAAAAAAAGACGTCTATCAAAGCTTCGTTCGGATTCCCAAGTGCTCCTTTTATCATCGTTGTTTCATTATAGAATCGTATATTTTGGCCATAAGATACCCAGAGCAGCAAGAAGTCGGAAAGAAGCAGAGAAGCAAGAAAGAGAAAATGAGGGAGATGAAGAAAAGAGATCATCAATCGACCAAGATGGAGAAAGGGATCGATGGGAAAAGGCGGGAAAATGGAAATCGAGCAGTACATACAGCGGGAAAGCAAAGGAAAAGGGAAAAAACAAGAACAAGAACAAGAAAAAAAACCCCTCCTCCCGGTGCATGAGGTATATTTCCTCCGTTTCGTCCCATGAAAAAAGTAGAAAAGAAGTGAGAAGAAGGACACGGAGGCGGGGAGGAGAATTGGTCGAATTGCAGGGAAAGAAAATGGAATAAAAAAAAGGGGAGAAATGGCGGGGAAGGATGAGATGAAGAGCCCCTGGTTGAGTTGAGAAAGAAGGTAAAAAGGAGTAGTTTTTTTTCCATGTATGCGTTTCGTCACGTTAGTTGGAAGAGTTCTTCTTGAATCGTAGGAGCTCGGCGAGGCTGGCCAAGCTGCATCCGTTCTTGAGGAACTCGTGGGAGAGTAATTCATCAGAGGAGGCACGGCTTCGGACATCGACGCAAAGACATACGCTGAGGAAAGACTTGAGTTCCTTGCTTAGCTTCTCTGGCTTCTTGAGACATGGGGTTCCGTTAGTGGCAATGAGGTAGAGTGCCTTGAGCGGTTCTTCGTTCAGATATGGTGGTTCAGATTCGATCAGCTCAATTGCCATGATTCCGAGGGACCAGACGTCGACTCGTGGGCCATATTCTTTCTGTTTGACGACTTCGGGGGCCATCCAGTAAGGAGTTCCCACCATTGTGGCACGCTTGCTCTTGGACTCGGTGAGTTTGGCACAGAATCCGAAATCAGCTGTAAACATGTGTTAGTAAGTGGTGCTATGATATGATGTTTGTGAGCGGGCAAAGGGAAGGGAGGCTTACTAATTTTCACGTTTCCTACCCTGTCCAAGAGGACGTTGTCACTCTTGATGTCACGGTGGATGATGTTTTGGCCGTGTAGATGGGCTAAGCCTTTGCATGTCTAGGATCTTGGTTAGTAATGGTGTGTATATACCATGCAGGCTTAGACAGCTGGGCGCGCCTTACCTCGTAGCAAATGGTGGAGATCTGATCTTCTTGAATAACAGGATTTTGCTCAATGACGTCGGTCAAGGCACCGCCCTCCATGAACTCCATAACAACCCACAGTTCATTGCTGGACTCCTGCAAGAATGAGTCGAGGAAGTTGACAATGTTCGGGTGCTGGCTGTCCTTCATGACGATGATCTCGTTGACAATGAGTTCCTTGCGAGGCTGGCTCCTTAGGTCCATCTGTTTGATAGCAACCTGTCCACGAGGGCCGTGTGTGCGGTACAGTTCACGGGCCACGGGAGAGCTTGCGTTCTCCTTGACACGAGCAACGTACACGGATCCAGAGGCGCCCTGCCCGATCTTTCGTTGCTTGCTGTACGACTCGTTGGGGTTCTCCTTTGAAACGACCTGTCTGAGCTTCTCCATGACCTCGCTCTCGGACATGGTTGACATGCGGACGTCCTTTTGGCGGGAAGGGTCTGGCTTCTTGGCCAGAGCGGCTTCAGCTTGACGGACACCGTCTGGGACTCCGTTGGTCTTGTTGGTATTGTTATTGTTGTTGTTAGTGGTAGTAGTAGCCCCGTGTTTGTTGGCAACGTTAAGAGGCTTAACGGCCTGAACAGGAGCAGGGAGACGGCTTGGAGGCTGGCCAGACGCAGCAGAGCCGTTTGGCTGGCGTGGTTGGGTGCGAGCTGGGCTGCGGCTGTCGTTTCCTGCATAACGCGAGCTGGAAGGCTGCTGTCGGCTCTGGTCTGGACGGGGAGCACTTCGCTGAGCTCCGTGATCGTCTCTGGAGTGTGATGGTGATGATGATGATGAGGGGGCCCCGTTTCTGGGTGGAGAGGGAGCAGGACGCTGGGCAGTCATCTGTCTGGAATCCTGCTGTGGCTGTCGAGCTCTGTCGCCTGAAGGGGCCTGGGGAGCAGGTCGTGAAGGGTTATATCTGCTGCTGCTAGATGTGCTGGGTGACTCCCGAGGACCACCATATCCACCGAGCTCCTGCTGAGCAATTGGCACTCGGGTCTTGGGTAAGGAGGCATTGTATGCTTCCTGTTCTCTGCGGGCCTGTTCTTCCTCACGCTGTCTCTGTGCTTCACGAATACGACGAGCTTCTTCTTCCATTCTCCGCCTCTGGTCTGGATGGGGCATCTCCTTGGACCGGTCCTGGCTGTACTGCTGCTGGTCGTATGGCCGGTCAGCGGGGTCCGAGGCCTTGCGCTGTGAAGATGACGGCGCAGGAGAGCCGCTGCCGGGGGATCTGTCGTCGTGTCCGCGCATAGACTGGCTGGTATCTAGACGCTGAAGGCCAGTTGGAGGAGGAGGTCTGGGGGGAGCTACACCACCACTACCACCGCCCCCATGGCTGCGGAGAGGCTGCATGTTATGTGGAGCGGGGGCAGGAGTGCTCATGCCCGGGAAATACTGAGGGTTCTGCTCACGCATCTTGATGTCAGAGTAGAACTCGAGCACCTCGATGACGGCCTGGGGGTTCTTCTTGTAGTCTTCCTTGGTAATGGCAGATGCCGTGAGCAGCTTCTCCCACTCTGGCGGGAGGCCGACAAAGGCACCGGTCTGGGGGTCAAACCCGACGTGAATCTGGTGGCTGAAGTTGGTCGGGTTGCTGACACCGCCCATGCCGGGACATCGTTCGTATATCTTATCGATCCAGTCGTAGATCTCGTCGTCGCTCTTGACCTCGCAGGTAATGGTCTTGGTAGCGACGTCCCGGCCCCCCAACGGGCTGCGGGCATTTGCATCCTTGGGGTTGGCCACTCTGGTGATCTCGAAGGCCATCTTGGTATCCTCTGACCGGGTCACGTTCATGACGTTGCTGAGCTGGATGGAGAGCACACTCTTGCCCGTCTCGTTCTTGAGGAAGTCGAGGCGGAACTCGCGTAGAACGAGGTAGCGCTGGTTCCAGCTGGCGAGGAACTTGTCCTCCTTGCACCGCACGTAGCCCTCCTTGATGACGGCCACGCCGCCCTGGCCGGTCGTCTTCTGGCTCAGCGAGAGCGAGGAGGAGTTGGGGAATATCGAGAGCGCGGGCGTCGACGGCGAATTGATGTTCATCCGGTCGAACGTCGTCGCCGCCGAGTTGACGGCGGCCATGGTCGACACCGAGCTCAGCTGCGGCCGGTCTGTAGGCGGGCGAGGCGCCGGCCCTGGGTTCATGAACTGCTCGCGCGAATACATGCTGGATAGGCGGTCTCGTTAGCAACAAACGCAGTCCGGATGAGGGCGTCTCTGGGGTGTCGTCTGCCTGCTCTGCTCTCCGCACACGACGAATCCAAGGCCGCAGAAGTTGTTATTCCCGTCCTGCTTGCTTTTTCCTCGCTGCTGGCGCTCGACATGGGTTCCCTAACAACGCTCGCGCCGTTTCCCGAGGGGCAGAGCAGACAGACAGACAGACAGACAGACAGACAGGAGGGGGACTCACTTTGGAGACGAAGCCATGCTTTCCGCAGAGTGAGAGAGCAAAGACTCAGCAGGACATCCGGCAACACGACCTGCCACTGGTAGCAGCAGAGAGGCGCCGGGTCGAGGAGTTGGGGCGGTCTTTTGCGTTGCGCGTGAGGGAGAGCGAGAAGGGTGGGTTTTCAGGTGGCTTTTAGGGGGGGGGGCGAAGGGGAGGAAGATCCGGTTTCGGTTTTTGAGGCGGTTGGGCAGAGACAGCAAACAACAACAGGCCGCTGGAGGACCACGCCGGGCAGGACGACGACGCGAGGAACAAGCGACGACGACGAGGACGACGAGGACGACGAGGACGACAAAGTTGAGGACGGGAATAAAGGTCGAGGATGGCGGTGATGGCGTATCAGAAGCGAGACGCTCGACTCGACGGCAGAGCAAAGAGGCGGCGGTGGTCAGTCAATTGTCGGCCAGGGGGGCGCTAGGGAGCGATCAACTCGGCTGCGGGAAAGGGACAGCAAGACGGGCTTGATATTGCTCCAGGCAGCGACGACGAGACGAGCAGAAGAAGGAGAAGAAGAAGAAGAAGAACGAGAAGAAGACGAAGAAGCCGGGAAAGGCTCGGTCGGCGTCGACTCGAGCCAGCAAGCTGTCCCCTGCCTACCCACAGGATTATATTGGTTGCTGGTTTGACGGGCAAAAGTGATACAGTCCCCTGCTCCGCCGGAGGGAGGAGTCGTGCCGCCGGGTGGGCCTCCCAGCTTATAAAACAGGCCCGGAGACGGGCATCAAGAGGGACGCAGAGGAGGAGCAGAACCAGACAAGACTCGCTGCTGTGGCCATTCACCGTTCGCTGCTCAATTTGCCTGCTGGGGGAGACGTTGCAGGGCGGGATGCTACTACTACTGCTGCTGCTACTGCTACTGCGCATGGAGTAGTCAACTCTATGCCGGCTGCTCGCTCAGCGGGAGCACAGTAACATATCGACAGCAACAGCTCCAGGACCCTCTGTTAACTACAGGGTACAACTTAGCCCCCCCTGACCAAAGTTGGATTTTAGTCAACCTCCTCATAGGCGGAGTTCCTGGGGCGAAGTTGTGGTGGATGATGCCGACCATCCAGGGGAAAGGGGGGAGGGGGGAAGAAGGTCTTCTCCCTTTCCATGGCTCTTCTATCTATCAGATCCAGGCTCGAGGACCAGCCAATATATTTCTGCTCCGGTGCAACAGAGCCGGGCCTGCCTACGCAGTACCGTCGATGCATTGCGGTTGAACTTGTCCCTCTTACGCTGCAGTAGTGACTGGAGCATGCATGCGGTTCGAACTATGGAGTGCGGGTACATACATGCCTTACATGCATCAAGCTACGTTAAAACTGTTTCAACTTCCGGCGTAGCTGGTTATATATATAAACTGGCTAGCCCCCCTCTCCCCTATTTCTTTTCTCCTCGAGAGCCCGTTGAGACACGCAGAGACGAGACGGGATATGGAGGCATGTTCCATATATAATATACGCACGCTACATCCACAGCAGAGATGGTAGTACGATTTGTCCAATTTTAAGCGGTTTCAGTAGACGTGTAGGATTGGGACCGCAGGAAAGAAAAGAAGAAAAAAAAAAGAAGGGGGGGTTAAAGACAGCAAAGGAGCCAAAGGAGAACTTGCTATGGGACAATATTGATGATATTCCTCGAGGATTTCCAAGGACCAGAGGCGAAAAGGCGTGGATTAACACAGGGATCCGGTATATTATGGCGGAAGATCACCAACGGCAGAGAGAGAGAGAGCAAAAGCTCGTACATTTATATGCAGGCCAAGATAGGAAGCAAAAAAAAAAAAAAAAAAAAGAGAAGAGAACGAACGAACCAGGATAAACATGTCTGTGAGCCAGAGTCTAACATATTATATCATGACTCCGATCCAAAGGGGTAGTTGAATTTCAAAAGGCCGTTCAGACCCCCTACCCAGCCGTCAGCAGCGCCGCCCTCGCCAACAGTCTTGCGCATCACACACGGCACACCACCGTACCAGGCACCGTCGACGACCCGGATGTCCTCGCCCCAGACACGCACTTCCATGCCCACTCGCAGGCCCTCGCTCATGGTCACCCCGTCTATGCTCACCTCGACTTCCCGGCCACGATTCTTCTCGCTGAGCCGGAGCGTCACCGGTGTTCTGGATGGCACGACCAGGGACCGGAAACTTAGACTTCGTGCACAGATCGGTGTAAGCAGCAGGGAAGAGACGAGAGGGTGGATGATGCTCCCGCCGCATGAGAGGCTGTACGCTGTGCTGCCTGTGGGTGTCGCAACGATCATCCCGTCCGCTACTGCTTCGGTCAGGAAACGGCCGCCAACAAAGACCTCCACAATCGCCAGATGAGGCTGTCGGCCGCGGTGGATGACTACCTCGTTCATTGCATAGACGCCCGTGTCCGCTTCCTTGGGCGAGGTCAGCGTCACCCCGTTGCTGTGTACTGCTTCGCCGTCCGGTGTGAACACTCCTACTCGTAGCCGGCTGCGGACCAGGATACGTGCACTGCGTGACATTCCCATCGATTTTCCCCGTAGCGTCGACCACCCTCCACCTGCATCAGCAGCATCAGCAGCAGCAGTAGAGATACCATTGCTTTCTCCATTTTCGACAAGAGAGGGAGCTCGCTCGCCAATTCCGGCACCAGACATGTAAACCTCCCGAAACGCTCCCTTGTATTCTGAGAATTTCCACTCTCCTAGGAATCCCAGCGTGCCCATGCTGAACGAGAGTATCGGCGGTACGATCTTGGATGTTGCAAACAGTGAAGACGCCCGTAGAATGGTTCCATCTCCGCCCAACGTTACTATCAGGTCTACCTTTTCCGGAGGTATCGATGACTCGACCAGATTGGTATATACCGGAAACGGGAGGGAGTCGTGTATCTCCGTGGCCGTATCTCGTTCAAGTATCACTGATATCGGCGAATAGTTCGATTTTATATGGCTATAACCATTGTCAGTACCGCTTCCCCCTTTTCTCCATCATTTTAGAACATACTTTGCGAACTCAACCACCGACTGAGTCACTTCCGGAGCACCCTTCTTTTTCATCAACAGAATGTTCCTGGGCGGCCCAGGCCATTTCAGAGCAAGTAAATCACTTCCTCCGGACTCTATTCGTAGATTATCTCATGGTTAGCAGTCAGAAGGCAGAATACCAGCTAAAGGACCAACGCACACCTTCATATTTTGGAAACACCCTCCCAGGAAGGGTTCGGATGTCTTCTATCTGTCTCAACCTCGAGCTCGCAGAGAATTGGCGACGGAAGACGGAATAGGGAGAGGCTATAGCAGCCGATATATTGGTACAACGCTTCATTGCAACAGTTGAGATATGACTTGTTCTTTTTTTTTTATTTTCCAGTGGAAGGGCGTGTGACAGTGTGTGTGCTATGACTATATCTATGGCTTATCAGTATAGATTCTGGCTATGCATGAAGGAATAAATGGGACCATACAGTATGTATGTTAGTATCCCTTTTTCGGCCCCTTCTCGCTCTTCTGGCTCTCCTGGCTCTTCTGACTCCTCTTCCGCAAGCGCCTCGATATCTTGAGGCTCTCCATCCAGAGGAACTGGTCTCTCCTCCGTTCGATGCGATCAGGTGAAACCCTTACACCGATGGATAGGCATGGCCCAGGTACGTCAAACAGCTGTTCAGCTCCGTCTACCGCCGTCTATGCCAGCATCCTGAACTTTCGTCTCTGGTCTCTTTCTTTTGCTTCCTTTCGTCGTTCTTTTCGGCTTTTTCTTATGACCTCACGACGCCAAGTCCCGAAGTCACATGATTACTATTTCCGGATTATAGTTTATACTTTCCGTTGATTACTCAGCGACGCTTGGGCCGCACTTTGTTTTAACTTTTTATTGATAGTAGAAAAAAAGGCCAAGTTTGATATTACGAAGAAGAAGAAGAAGAAGAAGAAGAAGCAGAAAGAAAGACGGGGAGATGGAAGTGTGGCAGCATGGTAGGACAAGAGTAGGACGCCGTGGAAAAGGTCAGAAGAGACAAAAAGTAGAAGTAAAAGAGAAGAACCTAGGGAAACAAGAGCTTGGAGGAGCCAACTTGGTGTAAGCAACCAAGCCAGGACTAACGAAGGGGCAGTGCTTGCCAATTTGTTGCCTCCAGAGTTGTTGTCAGGCAGCAAGACGGCCAGTCCCAGAACTTCAGACTTTCCTTTGTCTCTCTGTCTCTCTTTGTTTTTGTTCACTTCTCACATCTATAGCTGCTTACTTTAACCATCTCACAGGCTTGTTTGTGAGAGTGACGGCATCACACTTGGTTAACACGTGGCTAGCTGTGCCTCTAGAGCTTGCTTTTGCTTGTTATAAGAACCAGCGATCTGCTAGCTAGCAGCCTCGGAACGCTGCGGCATCCTGGCCTGGGATCTGAGAAGAAGGAAAAAAAAGAAGCTTGATATAAGACTCAGCCCGGGCTACAACGTCGAAGATCAACAGCTAACTCCCTCTTACTACTACTCACTGTTGATGCCCCGAGCAAGACACCGAAAGATGGCTTCACAGGCCAGGAACAGCGCAAGACCCGAACTGAAGAAGTCATCAAGACATATGTACGAACGAGAGCCGGCAAACTATGGCATCCTCGTCCAGCTTGTCCGCAGCTTTCTCATAGTTGCCTGGTTCTGCTGCTGCTGCACCTGCATCGTGGTAGCCCAGGTCGTCGGCCTGCCGCTCTATGTCATCAAGAAAGAGTACTTTAATGCATGGATCGCCCTGACCAAGGAGTCCTTTGGCCTCGCCATCACCGCGCTGACCGAGTGGAGTGCCCCGACCCCGGTGCGCATCAGTGGTGACCGCAGTGTCCTCGGCCAGGTCACTCTCACATCCAACGGAGGCATCAGAACTAACTTCCCTGAACGTCTGGTCCTGATCGCAAACCACCAGGTCTACACGGACTGGCTGTACCTCTGGTGGGTGACTTACACCAACAAGATGCATGGCCACATCTATATCATTCTCAAGGAGTCACTCAAATATATCCCGTTGGTTGGTCAGGGCATGACCCTCTACGGGTTCATCTTTATGGCCCGCAAGTGGATGGCAGACAAGCCCAGGCTGCAGCATCGTCTGAGCAAGCTCTCCATCAAGCGCGGAAAGTCTTCATCTGGCAAACCTAAATTCGACCCCATGTGGCTGCTCATCTTCCCTGAGGGGACAAACCTGTCACTGCATACCAAACAAGTCAGCGATGCTTATGGAGAGAAGAAGGGCATCGCTCCACTCAAGCATGAGCTTCATCCACGCTCCACGGGGCTTTATTTCTGCCTTCAGCAGCTCAGGGGCAGTGTCGAATATGTCTACGACTGTACTATGGCATATGAAGGTCCACCGTAAGTTTTTCAATTACTTCGCGCAACAATACGCAATACAGCTACTATCTATGCATTATTGAGACACTAACATTTTCGTATAGAAAGGGAAGCTTTCCCGATAGCTACTTCACCATTCGCTCTACCTATCTCAAGTGTCGCCCGCCAAGGGTTGTTAACTTTTATTGGAGACGCTTTGCATTTGATGATATCCCGCTGGAGAGCCAAGAGGAATTTGAAGCCTGGCTATTTGAGCGCTGGGCCGAGAAGGACGAACTCTTGGACACTTTTATTGAAACTGGCAAATTCCCGCCCTTTGAGAATTCAGACCTCGTAGAGATGGACCCAAACAGTCCTGATATCCAGACCACCTCTGGCAAGAATTACGGATACGTCGAGGGTGTGGTCCGACTTAATTATTGGGCCGAGATTTGCAGGGTGTTTGCCGTTCCTGCTTTCATTGCTTTTCTTATTCATATTTACCGACGGTATTACGGCTGAATGACTTTATGCTCTTACCTGGGAATTACAATAGCGATGTCTTTTTTCTTTACCCTTTTAAACGCTTATTCCCCCGTTTTATCTCACTTTTTTTGGAGGCGTTCAAGTTGATCAAGGGCAAGGGGGAGAAGTTATGATGGATGGCATAGAGCTTACTTGGGCGTTGGCTGGCGACGGAGGCACGAATTCTTAAACACCATAATAGCTACCAGTCCCCACGGACATTACATTATATCCCTATTACGGAGTACTCTCTTCCTCGCTTCTTATTCCTTCTATTGTCCTTCGTCCTATTCTATACCTCGCCGCCCTCCGCCTTGTCTTGTCCTGTCCTCCCGTCTTGATATCATCACGTGATGCCAAGCTTTTCTACTGGAGCTTCGACTTTCGTATATCAAAAAGACGAACAAAATCCCAAGTGTTGCTTCCGTCGCTTTCAGCTCGTCCTCTTCATTCTCTTCCTCTGCGCAAGAGGCGAATCCAGTCTCTCCCTCGAGAGTCGAGCCATCCTTCACCGAGCAGACGATGAGATCTTCCTGTTTCTCCCTGCTCTCCTAATCAGTTTCTTCTCGCCTCGACAAGCAACGAGCAGCACCCTTTGCGCGCCCCGTCATGGCGCCCCTTCAGAACGGCCTTGCCAACGGCAGCAGCGCAAACGGGCCGGATACCATGGTCAAAGACACTGGTCGTTTCTCCGATATCCCTTCCGCCGTTGATATTCCAGCCTCTACTTTCGACAGCGAGGTCGAAATCAGCTTACAAGAACTCCCCGACGACCCTACAGAGCTCTGTACCCTACTAGACAACGAAAAAGCCGCGAAGAACTTCTGGGTTATTATCGCCCTGGCATACGCTAAACAGAAGCAAATTGATCATGCTATTGAGATTCTTACCCGTGGCCTTGCCTCCCTTGCGCACGGCGCTACAAAGGAAAGGCTCAGCTTGCTAGGCTGGATCTGCTGGCTGTACCTGATCAAGAGCAGACAGGCTCCTCGAGTTGCTCCAGAGGGCCAGCTGCATTCCGAGGCAAAGACGAAGGAGTTTTACTTACAGGCTGCTACGGCGACTTTGAACGAGGCTTCACGCTTGAACCCTGCTTTTCCTCCCTTGTTTCTTGCTCGCGGTGTGCTTTCTATCCTGCGTGCATCACTTCAACCTCCTTCGAAGCCTCTCAGACCCGGTACCATTGACACTTCGGAACGAGTTGAGTCGCTTCAGCAAGCCATAAAGTGTTTTGACGAGTCTGCAAAGGCGTTTGGAGGCCGGAACATTATGGCTATTTTGGGTCGCGCGAGAGCAAACTATATGCTTGGGCGTTATGCTGAGGCTTTGGAAGGATACCAGGAGGCTTTGGTGAAGATGCCTAGCATGAGAGACCCTGATCCGAGAATTGGAATTGGATGCTGTCTTTGGCAGCTTGATTTCAAAGATCAGGCAAAGGTGGCATGGAACAGGGCCCTGTCGTTGAACCCTGATTCAAAGGCCGCTAATATCCTTTTGGCTGCATACTATCTACATGACAGTTCTCGCCATTCGACAAGCGATCCAGAATTCAGTTCGCTTTACAAGACTGCTATGACTCAATACACCCAGAAGGCCTTCAAACTTGACAAGGAATATCCGATGACCTGTGCCACGTTCGGCAGCTATTTCCTTCTACGAAAACATTTCCCAACTGTCGAAGCCCTTGCACGCAAAGCTATTGAGCTTACGGATGTCAATGCTATTGCAAGTGATGGCTGGTATCTACTAGCTAGAAAGGAGCACACTGAAGGTGATCCGGAACGAGCGCTGGAGTATTATAACAGATCAGACCAAGCAAGAGGTGGAGCAGATAAGGGATACCCTCCGGCTAAATTTGGTGCAGTCCAGATGCTGGTCAGGAGGAAGGACTTTGATGGTGCAAAATTCCGTCTAGAAAAGATCATTCAACAGACAAAAAACCCCGAAGCCATGGCTCTTCTCGGATCTCTTTATGCAGATGAAGTGTTTGCGGCAGCCAATTCGAAGGAAGACAAGTCGGCAGAAGCTAAGAAGGCGATCTCGCTACTCGAATCTGTACGAACCTCCTGGAAAGCTGACAAGAAGAAACTCACTCCAGACGAGTCTGTCTTGCTCTACCTTGCTAGGTTGTACGAGACTTCTGCGCCGGACAAGAGCATGCAATGCCTCAACCAGGTTGAAGAAATGCAGCTGGCTCAAATTCCCGATGATGAAAAGCCAGAAAATGTTGAAGGCGAACAGGCCATGACTGATATTCTTCGCGAGAGGCTCTCGCCTCAGCTACTTAATAATATCGGCTGCTTCCTCTACCAGGCCGACAAGATTGAGCCGGCTAGGACCATGCTCCAAACTGCTTTGAATGCATGTGTACAAGCGCAGGAACGTGAAGACGCCTCCGACACTGATGCATATGTTACTACCATCAGCTATAACCTTGCCCGGACATATGAGGCAGCAGGCATGCTAGATGAAGCCAAAAAGGTTTACGAAGGGTTGCTTGAGAGACATAGTGATTATGTCGAAGCCAACGCCAGACTCACTTATATTTCTCTCCGTCAAGATCCCAGCGGTGAAGGCTCAAAGAAGATGACCAAGCTTTACGAGACAGAAGCGTCCAACATGGAAGTGCGGGCACTTTATGGTTGGTATCTCAACAAGACAAAGCGCCGTGTTGCCAACCTAGCAGAGGACCATGAGCAGCGGCATTACAAGCATACTCTACAGGGTTACGACAAGCATGACCGGTACGCCCTAACAGGAATGGGTAACCTGTATCTCCTTACAGGTCGAGATATGAGACGAGACGGTGAACAGGAAAAAGAGAAACGGCACAAGATATATGAGAAGGCTGTTGAATTCTTTGACAAAGCTCTTCAGCTTGATCCAAAGAACGCTTACGCAGCTCAAGGTATCGCCATTGCTTTGGTTGATGACCGCAAAGATTACTCGACCGCTGTCCAGATATTCTCAAAAGTCCGAGACACTCTACGTGACTCAACTGTATACCTGAACCTGGGCCACGTTTTTGCAGAGCTGAGACAGTTCACCAAGTCTATTGAAAACGTATGTTACTTCAGACATTACTTTATCTTACTTTCTATGATACTAACCAGCGGATAGTATGAAATCTCACTCTCAAAGGATAGAGCCAGAGATGCTCAGATCCTTGCCTGTCTCGGCCGTGTCTGGTTCCTCAAGGGCAAGCAGGAGCAAAACCTGACGGCCATGAAGACAGCGCTGGAATATGCGGAGCGCGCCCGCTCCGCTGCCCCTGACCAAATACATCTCGAGTTCAACATTGCTTTTGTTCAGAACGAGATAGCTCTCCTTGCAATCAGTCTTCCTGAAGGCCAGAAGTCATCTGAAGATGTTGAAGAGGCAATGAATGGCCTAACGGCAGCAATTGAAGCCTTCGACAAGATTGCCAGCTCAAAGAACCCACCTTATCCTCGCAGTTCACTAGAATCTCGAGCAACTATGGGTAGAAACACTATCCGTAATCAACTTCAGCGAACTCTTCAGAGCCAAAAGGAATACGAAGAGAAGAATGCCGCCAAATTGCAGCAGGCCCGAGAGCTCCGTGACGCAGAATTGAAGCGTCGTGAAGAGGAGAAACGCAAGGCCGAAGAGGCAGAAAAGGAAAGGAAGCGACAGATCGCTGAAGAGCGCCAGCTCATGATTGAAGAAGCTGAGCGGCTCACTGCTATCCGCATTGATGAAGAGAGGGCCAGGGAAGCTGCCGAATACACTACTGACAGTGAAACCGGAGAACGGTATAAACGGCAACAAAAGAAATCCAAGGGCGGCAAACGAAAGAAGAAGGCAGACGCAGAGAAGAAAAGACAAGACAGTGAACCACAACGCTCCGGTTCATCGTCTGATGAAGGGGAAGAACGCACTGCTGCCCCCCGAAAGAGAAGACGTCTTGAACGACGCGGAAACGCAAAGTCGAACAAATACAAGAGCACTGAAATTGTCGTTGACTCCGACAGCGATGCAGAAGCCGCTGCTGAAGTTAACGGCGACAAGGCCAGCTCGCCGCCAGCAGCTCGAAACGATGACGACGAGGACGAAGACGACCTTGTTCAACGACGAAGAAAGAAAGCCAATTTGCGAATTGAAGATGACGAGGACGAGGACGAGGAGCCGAAAGCAGCTACCCCTGCCGGAGATGATGATAACGACGACCTCTTTGACGAGAAATCTCCGGCAGCTGGAGACGAAGCTGACAAGGATGTTGATATGAAGGCCGCCGAAGAGGAAGAAGAGGAGGAGTGAGCTCCTCCTGTCGCCTTCTATTTACTCGGACTATGTACTCCGTACGGATACTGCATACTCAATTCGTCTTCTTGCGTATAACCTACAACAATTTCCTTCCCATTTCTCGTGTTATTTAACGGTGGCGTCGTGTGAATGTTATTCCGGAATATCAAAGCGGTCACTTGCATTTCCATTTACCCTTGCTTCCCCCTGTATTCCACTTCCCTACCTTCTGTCTTTCTTGAGTCTTCCAGATAGCAACGTCCTTTGTGATATGGAACTGCAATTTTCAACCAAAAAAATAATAATCTCATGTTGCACTGGCGTTTTTTGTTGCTGTTCTCCCCCTTTTTCCTTTGGCAACCAACGACCCGGCAATCTTTCATCACCAATATGTGTACTTTTAACCAGCTTCATTTTCTTGATTAACCCTGTTTTATAATAGTCAGTCAGGCCAGCCAGCTTGCTAGCTAGCTAGCTACCCGGTGGAGAAGCTAAGCACAGCCCGATTTAGTGTACCAATTTTCCAACTGATCAACGTCCGCTCAACCAAGAAATCACCAACCACCCCATCCCAACACCGCTATATGGAGTAGAAGATGAGATACTGAGATCTAGACAAGGATAAGTGGAAGCCCCTCAGTCGCGCATCAAGGGATACCAGAAGAGAAAATAATAATGAAAGAAGAAATCTCAACAATAGTCCATGTTGACAAGCCCCGCGCCGTCAAGGACCCTGAGTATGCCCGCTCCTTGAGCAAGACACCCTCGTTTTGTGTCTACGATGAGCGGTTCATCGGAGACGTCGTGGGCTCGGATCCAAAGATACAGCTAGTCGACGAGCGAAGGGAGAAAGGAGAGCAGTTCGCTCATGAAGCAGGCGTATACATCCGCGAGACCAACTCCGTGTATTTCACTTCCAACTTCCAGACATGCGATCCCATCGATCTATACGCCATAAACTGTGACACGCATGAAATCGAGAAACTCGACTATCCAGATGTCGTGCAGGCGAATGGAGCATGCAGTTATCCTGGGAAGACTGCGTCTACCCATTCCTCTGGTGCTGGAAACGGGGGCGACGAGCCAGATCGTCTCCTCTATTGCTCCCAGGGTGACCAGTCAACCCCATCCGCCCTTGTGCTAGTTAATCCAGTTACCAAGGAGTCCGAGATTCTTCTCAACAACTTTTACGGCCGAGAGTTCTCCTCTGTCAACGATGTCGTGATCCACCATGGCACAGGAGACGTTTGGTTTACGGACCCAACGTATGGCTTTGAGCAGGGTTTCCGCCCTGAGCCCGTCCTACCAGCGCAGGTGTACAGATTTAGACCTTCTACAAAGGACTGCTACGTTCTAGCGGATGGATTTGATATGTGCAATGGGCTCTGCTTTAACCCTGACTATACCTTGCTATACGTCACTGATACGGGGGCCGTCAAGGCTCGAAGCTATTCCGGAAACGGACGCAAGTTCCAAGCCAAGTATCAAAACGCTGGGACGATATATGTCTATGACGTGGTTGATGGAGGCACCCGGATTGTCAACCGGAGGATGTTTGCGTTTTGTGATTCGGGGGTGCCTGATGGGATCAAATGTGATGAGAATGGGTATGTGTATTCCGGCTGTGGAGATGGAGTTCATGTTTGGGCCCCGGATGGGACTCTTGTTGGCAAGATAATTGTTGGATGCACCACGGCGAACTTCTGCTTCGTCAAGGGTGGTATCTGGATGTTCAGCGAGAAGGACCTGTACTTCTGCAAAGTTAAAGCAAAAGGGGCCTTGGTTAAGATTGAGTGCGAGTAGGGATGATACACGGTCTGGAGATAATCCTTGAATCGCTGGTATTTTGTGCTCATACCTAAATTGCAAGTTTACAACGTATAAAGGGTTAAAAATAACATGAAGTTATATGGTTATAACCAGTTTTGCATTTAAGTTGTGACATCCGGTCACATTCGTCAAATTTATTTCACCATATATATGCCCAACAAACGGTGGAGGATATCTAGCAAGGGAACAAACATCAGGATACAAACGGAAAAATGCAAATGTACATGGTAATATACAGCACGCAACTAACCATACGTCGAGACAGATTCTAAACATCAGGGGCTCGTTCAAAATGTGGTGTCTGAGCGTGCCAGCTATTTTGATACTAAAACTCGGTGTTCCAGGTAGGAGGTGACATAGAAAGGAAGTCAAAGTTCTCCAGGTTAAACCACGAAAGCATATCCTGGGATCCGATCTCGGGGTTTGAGGTTGTGGGTGGAGGAGGCATGGAGGCCGGGATAGGTGGCTCCCGGTTTAGAACTCGGTTTACAGGGTGGCCGGAGCTTTCAGTTGCGATTTGACCTTCACAACGCTCGATCATCTCCTGGAGCCCCTGAGCAATGCGATGCACAAGGTGCTGTTTGGCGCAAGGACAGTGTTGAAACACTTCCAGAACGCGTCGACTAATCCGAAACACCAGCTGTGTATCAACATGCACATGCTGTCTATTACGTGTGGCAACCTTGAGAAGAAAGACAGCCGCAAACGCAAACATAGTGTGGAAATAATGCGGGATTCCAACAAGGTACGCACGTAGTTCGTCAGATTCAATAAGCAGTTCGAGAATGGAGATTGCCGTTGCAACTGCACTGCCTGCAATTTCCTGTAGCTCTGGAGCGAGTGGTACGTGGGCAGCTTCCACGTTTAACCCTCGGAATGCATGGGAGCATATAAAGAACTTTGCAAATCGGAAATGCAGTTTAACAGCCTGAGATGGAAAGTTTCCAAGCCATTTGTTCCTTGCTAGTCTTCCCGTCCATGCCTGGGACCATCTGTCTAATTGTGCAAGGTAATCTCGAAGTTGTGGGATGAGTGATAGGGGGATAGGTTTCATTGCATCCACCCCATACGTCTGCCGTACCTTTCCCAAAAGTAAAAGGAGGTCAATATGACTGATTAACCTCAGGTCTATCTCCCCTGAAAAGGGGGAGGCCAGGTGATTCTTCCAGTTGATATATCCAGGCTCCACACCACAGGCTGGAGAGCCGTGGAGTATCGATATTTGCTCATTGGCTAAAAATATCAATAGCCACATCTGTGACTTGCCGAACCCTTCTTTATCGGTCTGTGGCTGATTCATATGCGCCGTATGGTACTGCATCCCAATTGCTTTTCTAAGGACGAGACCAGACAGAACCCAAGTCAGATTCCCCAGCCAGTACGAGCCCATACACAGGGCCTTGATATCCTCTACCCCCAAATGAGTACGAAACATGAGTGACGATGTTACGCTGCGGAGCTCTCTGCTCAACTTATCATAGGCATCTGTACCCAGAGGGTCATGCAGAGCTGCTACTGTGCATAGGGTTAATGCAAGTAGTGTAGATGTCTTGCGTACCTCGCTGATGTCTGCGTATTTTTGTAGGTGGTCATAAAAGAAGTGGTCCAGTCGGGTCAGGTATGTTTTGGTAAGCTGACCAGCTTCTGCTTCGGTAATTACTCCCCGAGAGACAAAGTCTGGCTCCATGACCAAGCCTGAAAACTGGGTGGTCTTTTCGTGCACCTCGCTGGACTTGGTGACTTCATAGAGAGACCGCATTGGGGCGGAGGCGAGTGTATCTTGCTCCATGGCAACCTCCAACGTATTGGGTTGTTCATCAGCCTGTTCACGCTGGGAGGCTTTGCTATCTTCCTCTTTCATGCTCAACTCATCAACTGCAGATACAGGAGGTAGTGATAATGCTGCCCTAGCTTCATTTAGGGCCGTTTGAAGGTGCGAGAAATAACGGTTCATCCGAGAATTCCACCTGTAGAAGTGCATACATTAGCGCCTGCAGCCCTGTATATATAGATGCCGGTGTATATATATATATCATACCTAGCCTGTTCCACCACAATATCCTGAATAGACTTGTTTGGTGAACATTCCAGACCTCGCTCCGCACAGCGTTTACACGGTGGAGTGTCATCGTCCATAACACATTTGGTCTGTCAATATATATCAGCAGTGTTCTATGGAGATACTCAGTGGTAGAAACCTTTCTATACCTTTTGTTTCCTACACGCGGGACATGCTGTCGACTTGCGGCTCGTCACCGCAACGCTGATCTGGGGCGATTCTGGAGGAGCTATGCCAAACGAAACCGGAGGGGTATTGGGGGTCTTCGACAAGCTGTCTGGAGATCTATACATGGCTGTATCGCTGACGCTGGAGCCATTTGGCGCAGAATGCAATGCTTCAAGTGGTGGCGGTGGGTTCGACGGGTTGGAGGAGAGCTCGGCCACAGACCACGGACGCTTCCGCGGCGGATTCATCGTGCGCCCCAGTGGCTCGTCGTGGCCCGGCTAGTGACTATCACACAGGTCGAAGAGTATATAGCGTACGATTCGAGGTCCTATAGTATGGCATGCGCGGTGCGACAAGGGTCATGGATATGGATGGGACAAGCTGCAGTCATCGCAGGGGAAGAGACGCGCGCGGGGGGGTCTCTTTGTAGTTAACTATCTAGCTGGCTAGCTCGCAGCCAGCCAGCCATCCAGCCTTGCCACTCCTTTCAAGGCTTCGCCGGCCAGGCTGAGGACGCAGACGAGAAGAAGCGACGGCAAACCACAGCCAGCAGCAGGCGACGGAGCAGCTCAACGAGTGTTGATGACGCTGAATCTCGCACGGAGGATCTGCTAACCGCGAAATTAAGGTGAAGCTGGCGCATATGGGGAATCCTCAAGCGCGGTGGAGTCGACCGAGACGCGGGACGGCCAGGATGTCAGCGAGATACCGCGATATCAGAGCAGATACAGGCATAGATACAGGGCCTATATACGTTGAATGACGCGGGAAGAGCCTCTACAGATATACAGCATGCTCGGGGTGTACGCGGATGGCCAGAGACAGGGCCAGCTCCTGGAGGGCGCGCTGCTGTCCCATAACTAGCGGACACCGGACGACGGATGAAAGGAAGAACAAGGGACACCTGCTGCGAGGTTGCTATGCTACGGTGGCTATTATTACCTACCTAGACATGCTGCTGCCCTCGGATGGACGCTGATATCTGCTCGAACGCTGTCGAATAGGGGGATATATGGCCCATAGCTGCTCCATGGCCCATAAAAACAGGCCTTAAAAAAAAAGGCCAGCCCACCAGATGACAACCAACTTGAAGCAATTGGTCCGCCCTCATCAGCCTATCTCGATTGTTCATCCTCTCGCTTGTCAGCAGAGAAAGCGAGGAAGAGAGCCCAAGCCAATGTCCGTAGGTGACACGTCTCCTGGTGGGCTGAGTCCTCGGTTGCTGGAATAAGGCATTGATATCGCCAGGAATATAAAGCAAACCCGGGAGTTTCCTTGACGTCTTGTTAATGGATTAATCCAATTTGCTCCAGCGTATGTTGTCTCGGGACTGCAGGAAGCCGTCAGCAAGCTGCCACGAAACCTCGGAATGGAGTTTACCGTTAATATCAGGCTTCATCAATAATAAAAGAAAGGGTCTGCAAAAGAAACACTCCGTGCTTCATGTGCCAGTATACTCAGATACGATCTGATCAACTTTAACACTCGCTCTCGGCTGCAGGTACGGCTGATTTAAAATATTTTTTTTATTATCCTTTTCGCCCTTTGCTTCGGGACCGCTTTCCCCTGCCTTCTTGCAAACGAAAAGCAGTGTATACTTAAATATAGACACGGAACAAAACTGGAAGGGCCAAAAGAAAATAACAAGAGCTTCGACAACGTCAATCTCTCAACCATTTTCTGAGGCTTGACAGCTCGGTTAGCTAGCTAGCTAATCTTCAGCCACCAGGGCCAGCTGGAATGTGCTTCCGCTTCCCCCCGCGGTGCCTGAAGGGGGTAAAAGAAAGACACAAAAAAGAAAAGCGGTCAAAACTGCCGACTAGCATCCCTCGACTTCGACATCAATTTCGACCTTGGGAAGATCGGACGCATTATTAATTGGCGTCTCGACCGAGTCATGGTTCAATATCAGTCATGCCCACAGTTACTCCAGGTCAGGCCAAGTTGGTGGCTTATATGATGCCATTCTCTTTTTTTTTCTGTTTCCTTTTCAATTGAAAAATCAATTCCAAGGGTGAGAGACAAAAGGAAAAAGGTACGTCAGACCGTATAGCGATGGGCTTCCAACTTTCAATCCTCGTCCTTATCAGATGATTTAAATTGCATATTGGATGGGCAATCAGGCCAGAGTGGATGGAGGGGCATTCTGCATATGTATACTTACACAGACCTGAGTGGATGGAACGACAGACATGAGCCCAGGGTAGAAAAGCAATTGGTTGTTACACATCAGGGAACAGTCGGTGCCTTTCTATTCAGCCAAGACAGAGAGACCAGGGAGTTGAAGTCGAATCTACCCGCCGAAAGATGCCAATCCCCTTCTTGAAGGATGAAGAGGATGAATGAGGTTGGATAAAGGCTGAAGAATTGAATCGGCCCCCTCCTGCGAACCCTTCACCAGATCAACAAGACTTTCTTCCTTCGATAGGGGTTGCAGGGAGAGAGCCACCCCATGTCTATATTTCGATGGAATAATGCTGCTTACAGCAAATAGATGCATGGCAAACTGAGCGAGATAAACATTCCCAACCGCACCGTCTTTCTGGAAGAGATGAGAAATAAAACAGGAATACGCAGCATATGCAGCTATCTCTCCCATGTCCTGCATGACACCCTAGCTTCAAGGCACGCACCAGCAGACGCCATTAATACATTGCCATAATTGACAGCTCAATCCGAGGAAGCCACCCAAGAAATCACCAGAGTGGGAGTTGAAGTGTACAGAGAGCAAATATATCAAGGCTGAAAATGCTTAAAAATAGAAGCATAAGCCTATTTTGCCGATAACTTTACATTTTTATGCTTCTTTTCCCATGAATAATATATTAATCATTGTTTTGTTTTTACTTACCATGAGGAAATACGGTTAGGGTTCTTATTCCGAGGTTCCCCATACGCGTGCATTTCCCTGACAAGGGCGTACCAGGGAGTGGATGTCGTGGGCGTCTCTCTGTTGCATCAAGAAGAAGAGGGAAGGAAGAGAGAAAAGAAGACGACCCGCGCTACGACTCGGACCGCAAGGAAGGCTGCTCCGGGCATACGGAGCTCGAACCCTGTACCCTCCATCCAAAAGAGCGCTCAAGGCCGAGGATGGCCCTTCCATACACTTGTTCCTTGCATACCTAGCTCGTTCGCGGGGACGAGGACACCCAAAGCATAGGCAGTTTAAGGCTCGTATTTCAGAGAGATCAGCCAGTCCGGTCTTTTCCTCTCCTTCCTTTCTGGATTTCCCTCCATGGTGATAGGCCATAGCCAACGAGGAGTTGGCGGGGGGGTTGACATGTTGGTGGAAATAGCACCCGTCTGCTAATGACAAGGTCCTCATGTGCTGCTGAGATCAGCCCTTGTCTAGATCCCGCCCGCCTGGAGGGAAATACATCTCGGACGCATGTCAGGCTAAGATTGTAAATTGTGCTAATAATAAGCACCATTTCTGCAAAGCTGGTGTGCGACAAAATATGCACAAATGTCATGCCATTGGAAGACACTTTTTTTGTAGCTTCGGCTCAGGGTCGTGTCTGCACCATCTGGAACAACCGTAAGGATCTTGCTTTGCTGACTTCACGAGAGAGAGGTGTGAATATATCCCTGTGTCTTGGATTCTTGGGCGTGATCGTTCTATATGTGCGTGATTGTACCATGGGCAGGGTCCTAATTCATGCATATGTTCCTTGCTCGACCGGGTATCCATAGGCTGAAGAGCCCCTGTTCGGAGGATGGGTGGATAAGCACAGGGATTAGGAGCGGTTCAAATACCAATACCTACTCCTCCTGGCAAAAGTCCCGAGTGTATAGCCTAAAGGGGATAGGGAATTCACCTGCATTCGGTGGCCTAGTGTGGACAACTTCTCATGCAGCTCTGATTCGAAAATTTTTTTCCCTTCTTCTGGATCATTCTACAATAATATAGGCGATATCTCGCTAACAGGTGTCGAAGTGTCCATCTGTGCCCAACTGGGCGGCTCGATGGATATAATTGCCAGCTTGTCCTTGCATGCCTGGGCCCTGTAAGTACTTGTGTTCGGAGTACAACGCATGCTGACGTGCTCCATTGATATGTGTCATGGTGGTATATAACACAGCACAGGATTGATTTGATATGGAGGCCAAGAGCCGTCGACGCGGGGAGTCCCTGGGCTTCTTACTCGATCTTCATGCAGCAGGAAGATACGAAGCCAATTGATGGAATCTCATTGATGGAATACCAGGAACCTTACATGGGAAGAAAGGGTAAAGGAGAGGGAGAAGCTGGCATACCTTTTGGGGTTACTCGTGAAGTTCGTGATGGCCCGTCGACGGACTACATCTTGCATAAGCGCAAGCCTACATCCTTTGTCATGGCTTCCTCCCCAAAGGAGGGAACAGATATATACGGAGGATTTCCTATGTCTACCTGTGTATATCCGACAAGAAGCAACGTGCCCTTGGCGATCGGGTTCACATACTGAGAGCATGGCATGCACGTTTTCTCCCCCGGAGGACCCTGGCGGCAGGAGACCGCTGCGGCCGCCCATGGGCATCGATATCAAGACCTGCCGGGCGGATACATTTTTGTGCCTTACCCGTCTGTCTAAGTATACCGTTAAGAAGGACGCAAGAAGGTTGGAGCACAGAAGGGGAGCGGGAGAAAAGGCCTAGCCTACATGTTTTCTTCCCGTGTAGTTGGACAGGGGCCAGCATTCTCCCGTTTAGGAGAGTAGGACGTCAGACGGATTTTGCAGCCTTTTCGCATCAATTGATCTGTAGGAGGCCGTTTGCTGATCTTCTGCAAGGCAAACAATGCCTTTTTCCCTTTCTTCCTCCTTGCACAGACATACGCACTTCGTCAGCCCGGCTGATCAGATCTTCCTCAGATAGTTAACTAGTTACTCCGTAGAATGTCCGAATGTAACATGTATAGAGCGGACCTCAAGGGTGCATCATCGTCATCAACAGGGCGTCGTCTGTGATACCTTACTCTGGTTAACCAGAGCGCGATAGATGGACAGTAACTTACGGAGCAAGATGCCTGCAAGATTCGGGGCGAGCGAGAAAGGGAGAACCCACACATCCACCTGGCCTTCCAGTTCGGCGAGGGGGCCGAGCTGAGGAGACAGTTAACTAGACAATCGCCCCCGATATTCAGTTTTAGGTATATATAACTATACTTGAAACAAACATGCTACAACCAGCCTCAAACATGGTACTGTTCATGCAGGCGTGATAGCCGCTGGAGCCACGCAAGGCGTGAACCTGATGCTTAGCCAGCCTACCGTCTCGCCTCTCACTTCTCCAGCGCGCACATGGGGATACTTACGCAATAATAGGTCGCAAGCTATGGGGCTCACCCAGAGAAAAGCAGCCGGGACTAAGGGACAGGACGAGCGCAAGGCTCTCCGGACCACTGATAGCATCCCGTCACACGTGTAGACCCGGACAGGTTGAAAGCGGTCTCCTGGGTCGGCCGTTGGGGACGAAGGTGTGCAGCGACTCTGCCTTATCCAAAGATATGGGAACTCAAGTTTATGTTTCGAGATATTCTTTTTTTTTTTTTTTCTATTGTTATTCTTCTTTTTCATGCTTATTTTCTTCATTCTTAACTGCTCGTGTATCGTTTGTCGAGCCTGAGTGGCCGTGGTTGTTTTTGTGCTTTGACCTGAAAGGCTGGCTGCAGTTCTCGAAGTTGTTCCTTTTTTATACAGCGTATATCAAGACATCTCACTGGACAATGGGCGGGCTGCAGGATTCCGCCTTACTAGTGGGCGAGAAACGCGGAATTCCTGAGTGATTGTGATGTAGACCATCGGATACCAGCACTGGCGTTCCGAAGCCTGGATGGAGATCTGCTTGCTGTTTGTAGGCCGTGGCTTAACGTGGCTTCGAATAGGTCAACGGTCAGGAAGACATCAGACCTCATGGTCGGGCACGAAAATGACATGTGTCTCTCTGGCCGTTTTGTCTTTTTATTCAGCTTCAGCTCATGTCTTTTGTTTTCCGCATGCTTCTCATGTGCCTTTTACCCTTTCCGTCGGCTGAGCAGTGCGGCTTGACATTGGCAACAAAATGATCGATGCTATGATTCGCATACACTATCACATGTATGGAGTATTGAGAAGCTTCCCTTCTCCGCTCCGAGAGTGAACCGATGGAGACAAGGTGCCGAAGTTATGGACGGGGCACCCTCAACTCTCTCTGCTCTAGAGTATACGCTTACACTCCTTGCTCCATAAGTACCCCCGACTTACTTTTGAGGGGAAAGGGAGGGGGGGTCGTCCTCTCCCCTCTCCAGATGGAACATCCCTGCGTGGAGAGAGAGAGGTTCATGGTAGCACGGAATACGCGCGAGGACTGCAAGCCATTTGCCGATCCCACCATTCAACCACTTCCACCTCTGTCCTGTCAAAAAAAAAAAAAGACGAAAAAGGGGGTCAGCCCATGTGCGTGTCTTCTTTTTCTTCTTTACCTCTGAACCTTCAATCAGGAGTGGCTCTGAGAAGGTGAAGGTTTGCCACTACCGAGACGAAAGTTGCGCTCCAGGTCTCCGTCCAAGAGATGATCTTCGGTAGAAGGCAATGGGAGACGCATGTTGGTCAACCATGGATCGCAAGAGCGTACAGAGTTTAGGGTGACTGTCAACCACGCTTGGAGAATAGATAATATGTATAAAAAGCGTGTAATATAAGTCTGGTTGACGGTTAGCCTGGATCGACAGACGAGAAACGTAATGAGAATCATGACATCAAATCCGAGCAAACGAGCCAACAACCAGCGATCGCCGGGCCTCAAAAAGGGTGGTCGATGGAGGAGCAAGGTGGATGTATAACGCTGCTCTTAACATGACGCCAACCTCTGCTAAAATAAGCGTCCTTGCAGCTAATCGACCGGCCTACGCTGGTTATCTGGGGAGAGCTAGCCAGCCAGCTAGCCTATCGCCAGGTCTGTTCGGACATGACATGGCAGAAGACGGCCTGCTCGAGCGTTGTTTGAATCGAGTCCGAGCTATAGTGGCAGCGTACTATTAGCAGGGCGGCTTTTATGCTTTGCGACGATATGTACTTATGTACGGAGTATCCTGGCCCGGCTTTCGCAAAAAAAAGAAGAAGACGCAGAAGAAGAAGAAGAGGCCGGCCTGCCCAAGCCATGTTTTCTTGTCTCGTCCTGTCGTTTCATGGATGCTGACCTGGCCCCGGAGGAGCAAGCAAGGGCAGTCCCCAGACACCCGCCGTTTATTCTCCGCAGCAAAGGGACGCTAACAGGAGACGGGCTCTGCTGGTTCTCCATCTCAGACCTCGCCGTCGACATGGCATCATCTAGTAGTAGGATACACTTCTGCCTCTTGTCTAGAGAGATGGCTCGTAGATAACCCTCTTCGGCAAGCCAACCCGGTCTCCATAGATAACTCTACCGTAGCTGTCTGATTGCTCAAGCCGGCAGCCAGACGTGCGATCCAGCGTGCCATAGCCAGCTGCTGGCGCGCCCCAGGACTCCGCAGAGCAGCTCCGTAGATAACAACAGTCACCGTCGAGGCCGAGCAGGACGTTGAACGGTCACAGGCAGCAGCAGCAGGCAGGCATCCCGCGCCGTGACGGTGGCGTGCAGCTAGAGTCTGCCTAGAGTTGACAGGCAGTGTGAAAAAAAAAAAGAGAAGAAGAAGCAGAAGGCCGGTCGAATGCCAGTCGAAGGCGTTTAGGCACGGCACAAGACATACATACAGCATGCAGCAGCAGCAGCAGCAGCGTCGTCCCCTCGTCCTCGTCGCTGTCGATGGTGATGGATGGCTGCGTTTGCGCGACGCCATCGGGCGAGAAGCTATAGCGGTGGTTGGTCTATATGGCGATCGAGAAGGGACAGCGCTGGGCTCGGCAGTTAATCACAGTCACATCCACGCCCACGACTCGCGGCTTTCACATTCTCGCATCTTCACATTCACGCTGCCGGCCGTGTCAGCAGTCGCGAGAGGACAGCCGAGTTCCACCTCCCGCGGTCCAGATAGAGACAGAACAAAGGCGCGGAGAGAGTGAGTAGTGAGAGAGCGCGAGGGAGAGATACGTGAGCCCAGAGCCCGAGCCAGCAGCGATGCCCGCGATGGCCCCCCCTGAGCAAAAAGAAGACGAGACGGCAGACAATCCCGGCGTGTTGGATGCTCGCGCCCCCAGAACGCGCCAATGACGCTGCCTGGCAGTCGGACGCTTTGCTGCTACTGGCATAGGACGATGGAGCCCGCTGTTGCGCCGTTGTTTCTGGTTCGAAGTCTATCGGGACAGGGACCCCCCTTTTCCACGTCCGCCAGAGGATGGTGAGAGCGCACAAACAGGCCGGCGGAGCTGGAGGAGACAAGCGACTGGCGAAGAGACGCATCTCAGATGGCTAGCATCTCGCTGCCTCGATCTCTGGTTGCTGGCGTAAGGCGGGGAGGAGAGCCACGACGAGCTGTCCCCTTTGGCCCGGCGTCGAGCCATCTGCAGTAGCGCTGCGTCTTTCGTGCATTCGCTGCATCTCGCTATCCTGCCTGCCTGCCTGCCTGCCTGCATCCATCGCACAAATGGGAGAGAAGAAGCGGAAGGTCGAGGCCTGCCTGATTGGCGGATTTATTCGACTTATACGACGCCTCCTTTTGACTTCTCTGCCGTTGGAGTGGTTGACTTCCACTCGATGAAACAAACGGCTGGCACATACTTACACTTCCACATGAGTACACACTACAGATACGCACAGTGAAGTCGGCGAGGGAAAAAAGAAAGGAAAGAAAGAAACAAATAATAAAAAATAACGACTGGCAAGGGGAGAGAAAAAAAGACAAAAATAAAACGAAGACGGCGTTTCAGATGTCTTTTTTCTCTCAGATACTCCGTACTCCGTACAGATAGGAGAAGGAGGAAGAGGCAAGCAGGCAAATTTGCCTCAGCTGCAAGGGGACAGCCAGATGAGAACACGACTGAGATCGTACGGACAAGAACGATCAGCACATGCTGAGCTCCCTCTATCTCTACATCAAGGCAGTCAGACGGTGGGAAGATACAGCTACACGACCCTTGACAGGGCGTTTTTTTTCTTACCACTCGCGGGAAAGCTGCACCACCATCAGCACCATCACCAGCAGCAGAAGAAAAGAATGATATTAAAATAACACCAAGATCATCAACCATCACAAAACATGGACCTTGGAACGGCTGCTGCTAGTGTGTATAAAAAGATATATATTCACCATAACACCATAACACCATAAACGGAGGATTAACCGGGTACCGTCCACGGCCAATGAGAAATATTTTTCTCTGTTCTCTCCGGCCGCTCGACCCCTTGCCGTGGTACCTGGGAGAGTTACTTATGCTCCGTACGCAAAAAAGCAAAACGGGAAAGGAAAAAAGAGGGTATATAAAAAAAGAAAAGAAGCGCTGAGCTTGTTACTCTGTCCAAAAGGCAAAAAAGCAAAGAAGCCAGGGAAGAAGAGGAAGAAGCAAAGAGGAAGAAGAAAAAGCAACGCTCAACTTTACAGTGGGAAGAAGAGGCCCTCCCATGGTTCCCGTTCCTGCAGGTGGGATCTGCTCTGTCCTGATAACTCCGCCCCAAAAAGCCAGTGGACAGTACTAAACACGACTAGAACGGGGAGAGGACGAGAGAGGGCTCCATTCTGCATATACGCCTTGAGCTTCTGTCTGTCAGGTCCTCCCTAATCTCTGGGTCTTGCTGCTCGGGGCTTTTCTACTTATTCATGGGCGTTTCCCGCCGCAACCGGGGGAGGAAGAAGTACGTTTTTTGAGTCTCTCTCTCTCTCTCTCTTTTCTTTAACTGCTATCTCTCCTCTCCCTTCTTTCACTGGACCACCTCGGCTTTCTCTTTTTCTTTTCTTCTTCTTCTGCTTCTGCTTCTGTCTATACTTCTAACTTCTAACCTGTCCTGCTCTGTTCCCGGTCCGGCCTGCTTTTTGATATTCATACATATCTTGCTCGTGGCCCAGCGTCAGGGATAATTCTATTCCATCCCGCCAGCCTGATATCAAGGAGCCACCCGCCTATATATCGAACCGTCTATTCAATTCTTCGTCGTCTTATTTTATTCTTTTTTATTTTTTCCGGTCCTTTTCCCAACGATAACTTCCCTGTCGAGGGTTGGCTTGTCGGTCTCTTTTTAACTTCTCACAGAGAGCCTACTTTTGGGTCGCTTGCTCATACACTGGTTGTTTGCGTCCCTCCAGAGCTCATATATTACATCTCACACTCCTCGCTCTCAAAACTTATATATATACACATATACATATATACATACACGCCCTATATATATACAGCACTGCCGACCTGAGACGCTGGCTTCTTTTCGTCCCAGGCTACCGCTGCTAGAATTTGAGTGTGTCCGTGCCTTCTTGACCACGGCATCAGGAACCGACTTGACGTCCTCGATTGCGTTTCAATTCGACTGCTGCTCGGCCATTGCTCTTTGTCGGCTCCTTTCCATGGTGGCTCGCTAGCCTGGCTCCCCTGAGGCATAATCCCGGCCCTGCCCAGGCAAGGCGAGCAAGCATTATACCACACAAGGAATTCCTCCCCCAACAGGGTCAATCCCTCCAACACCGTCGTTTTTATTTTCAATTGCTGCTATTTTTTTTCATTTTTCCCATACTCGACTTGACCGACCCCTGGTCCTTCGCGTGGGCGTATGTGGAGAGAAGCGACAGAAGGATAGGACGCAAGCCCACCCTTTTTTGGCCCTTCTCCCTCCCCCGTCTCCGATATATCGTCGTCGTCCACTCGCCCTCCCTGGAAGTCTAACCTAATAAGAATACCCCCATTGCCTTTTTCTCTTCGTCTGTGTGGACCGAGGAAAGTCACCATGTCTTTTTTGGAACAGTATACATCCTCGCCCTCTCCCTCCATTCTCTCCCCATCCCAGCCCTCGTCTCGCCCCTCGACTTCCCAATGGTATCATGATCAGATCTTGCGGGAGCTACCATTTATATCAGGAGCCTCACGAAGTCGATCGGGTAGCCCTTCAAGGTCTCGAAACAACACTGGCACCCAGACTCCCAAGCGTCTGTCTGTACTTGGCCAGCGCTCTCGAAGCGACACTGCCAATTCCTCTAATTTATCCCCTGCCTCGTCTATGACATCGTCGAAACGATCCTCTCACGACGGCAGCAAGGGGGTCTTCGATTTCGTCCTGCCGCTAGAAAAGGAAGAGAGCTCGAGCAAGTCGTTCTTCTCCCGCGGTAATCGCATTCTCAGACGCCAGGGAAGCAAGTTTAGCCTCTTGGACACTCTCACTTTGGACGAGGAGGAAGAAATGTCTAGTGATCAGGTCTGGTACGGTGAGAAGGTGAAGCCGAGGCGCGAGAAACCCGCTGTTCTTCGTCGTATCAATCGACAGAGGAATCCTACCAGCCGTATGTTAACACACCCTTCGTGAAAAAAAAAAAAAAAGAACACCGAAAAGCATCTTCTCACCTTGTGCTTTTATCTCTTCTGTTGTTAACATATATCATCTTACAGATTCAAAACTCAAAAGCAGCATCTCGGAGCCCTTCCACTTCCAACACATCACTCACACTAGCCGTGGCCAGTTACCACCAATTGCTCACACTCATCCTCATGATCTCGCTACTGAATTCTCAATCATCCGCGCCTCTCAACGACCAAATTCTGAGCTTAAGGGAATACATGCTCAGAACCTCTCATATCGACCATACACAGCCGAGGAGGAGTCAGACTGGACTCTTGACACCCTCGCCCCTGATGCTCCATCTCTCTTTACTCGCAGTCCCCCGGGATCGCCGAGAGCCACGAGGACGACAGTCACCTCACCAGAACTCCGACAGTTGAGAGCACCTCGCTCAGTCGAAAATTTCTCTCGACCGGTTTCCAGAATTGTACGACAGCCATTCTCACCTCCCATGATACCACCGCCTCGGAGATCGTCCAGGATGGCAATGAGTCCCAAATCTGGCGGTCAAAGAACCGACCCGTCGGAGGAGCTTATGGGGCTGAATGGGTTGTCCTTATCTCCAGTGGAGGATGGGCCGATTAACGATGTCGTTGGGTATGCTGTGTCGCCGCCGGAGCAAGGCCCTGTCGCAGAACCGATCGAAGAGATAGGACGTGCATTTAGCCCTGACGAAAATAACGCTCCCTCCACTAACATATCTCCGCTCGTCCAGCCCAGTGGAGTCAACGAACGTGATGAACCACAGAGCAACCATGTCATAGCTTTTGACCCAGCTCCATATAACGCGCATATGGAACCTGAGCTTGTCGAGATACCCTCTGAGCTCAAGAAACCAGCTCTACATCTGAGCCCACTCAAAGAAACCCGATCTGAATACGAAGATTTGCATTCTCCCATCCTTCCATCCGAGCAACCACGCAAGCTATTACCACCTGTCGAGCCAAAGAGTCCCGCTGGAACTGTTGGGATGCATGTCTCTAACGATTCCTGGGAAGCCGATATCGACTACTGCTATGAGCATGCCGCCGAATCCAACTCGAATTTCGATTGGAACCGTAAATCGGCTGAGGAGAGTCGAGACCGGGAATGCTCGCATCTCGGAAAGAGCGAAACCTCGGGTTGTTTCAAGTCTAACACCAGTTCGTTTTATCTCCACCCCTTGGACACAACCACTTCCGGCCAGACCACGCCAGAGCTGCAGCCATCGTCCGGAATCTCGGCTTCGACGAGAGCTGAAAGTGATGCTGCCAGCCCAGCTATTTTTAATCACTCTTTCGGAACGTTTCCGTCCGCCGCTGAGTCGATCGACAAGAAGCCCAAGACGACCGAAATCCAAGTGTTGGAGACTCATTTTGAGGACGTGTCACATGACTCTGTTTACACTCACGTGATATCTGACATCAACGAAGACGACGAGTATCACATCGACGAGCCAGCGTACACTCGCACTGGCTCCTCTCCTCTTAGCAAGTGCAACTCTCAAGAGAGCATGATGTTGTCTCGCGCTGCCTCCATCGTCCGGAAACACCGATCTTCCACCTCGACCAACAGCGTTCCAGACCTCATCCACAGCCCCAACTGCAGCCGCGAGATGGTCGATCGTGAGGCCCCAACTAGCCCACTGGCTGAGAGACCAGCACTGCCTACCTATTCTCGACCGCTTCCAATTGGCCGCGAAGGAATGCCCAGGATGCCATTCGCTTCTTTCTCGGGCATCGAATCTACCTCCAACCCTTCCGTCTCGATGCATGACCGCTCCAAGTCCGCATCTGTACTCGACTCTGCCGACTGTTCGCTCGTCAGAACTAGCCAGGTGAACCGGAAACGCGCTTCAACTTTGAGCCGTGGGGTTCGCAAGAACCGACCATCATACTCGCTATTCCCTGTTACCGGGCCAGCTACCTCCCCCAAGGTTAGCTGAGCACCTCGTACATAAAATGTACATCTTCTATACCCCATTCAACCCCCACCTCTCGTTATCGATGTCCGTTTCTTATCTCTTTCCTTGATCTATTCAACGACCTTTATGATCATGCATTTAAGTGCTGGTAACACATCTCTGCCAATTTCCTTATATTCAAACCATTTTTCACCCATAACGATCAAGTCTTGCAGGCACATGATTTACATTCTAATTACCCCCTTCCGGCCCAATGGGCTGGTGCTTTACATGATTCCGTTTACCTGTTACACCACCATTCTTTTACCCGTTGAGCATGCGAGCAAAATATTTTATTTGTACCAAATTTTCCTTTTAGTCGAGCATCTTGCAGCACTCCAACTTTTGTCTTCTGCTACCGCTTTCTTTGCTTTCGTTACTGGGGGGATCTATAATAGACTACGGACGGTGTGCAAAAATTTGCCTTTCATCTCCTGTTTTGGTTTGTCTCAGCCCATCGTTTGTTAATTCTTTTCATTGTTATATGGTTTTGGGGAATGGGGTTATTATTCGGCTGGCATCTAAGGGTGTGAGCATTCGCATGGCCGTCGGTGTGAACGGTGTGGTGGAATTATTGCGAGTTATTATTTGGAGTCCGTCTCTCTTTCGCTAATTGATTAATTTATTTATATTATATACTCTTTGCTTCTGTATTTTTTCTTCTGGACAATGCCTACCTCCAACCACCTCTATATCATACAAACTAGGATGTAGAATAACACAGGAGGTTGGACAAACAAAACAAACTCTACGAAAGTCATTATTTTATTTTTGTGCACAACTTTAAAGCTTAAAGCGGAACTTTAAAATATGACTAATAACTTTAAACCAACTACTCGCATATACTATTCTCCGTGTTCACGTGATACCCAAAAGATAACGCCGTCATAGGGTAAACGAGTTCTTTCATGAAGCCTTTATGCATGGAGTTAAGCTCACTGCAAATTACTTTGATGACATCGATGCAAGTAACCGACGGCTTATGACAGCGCTCTGAAGATATTAGCCGCAGTCATGGCTTCACCCTCGTCACAAGCAGTTGCGAAACGGTCGTCCGATACTCAGCTTATGCCGCCTCCTCCACCTGCCAAACGAATAAAACGACCGCCTGTAGCCCTGGACGAAGATGATTATACTGATGCCCTCTCCCATATTGTCGCCCGAGACTTCTTCCCTGGGCTGCTCGAAACCCAAGCTCAGCAAGATTACCTCGATGCCCTTGAGTCCAAGGATAAAGAATGGATTGCCACAGCAGGAAGGAAGATGGCGCAGTTAATGACGCCAGGCTCGCAGAGAAGATATGCCGGGACATCCATGACACCGCAGCGCGGAAGGGCTCCTAGCGTGTCGAATATGGATACTCCCCACAGGACTCCTGCCATAGACAAGAATACGCCGAGAGGCTGGAAAGGAGATACCCCGATGTCGTGTGCGACTCCCGGTAGCATGGCTTCGATTGCAACAAGCTCAGCCGGCCACGGGATCTCATCCAAGATTCGAAATATGGGGCTAGGGGCCTTTCAACAAAAATATACCAGCGAAGATAATGAATCTTTCAACAAACTACTAGATAAACAGAATGAAAAGAAGAGAGAGAAATACGCATGGCTATGGAGCGGGAATAAGATACCCTCTGCTAGGGAGCTAGTGCATAAAAAGCGAGAAGCTAAAAGACTGGAAGCGCAGGCCGCGCCAGACGGAAGCAAGGAGAAACAACTTATGAAATTATCGGACAACAAGTCTACGGCAGATGACCGACCAGCGAGACCAGATGGATGGAAATCGAAACCCGAGAACTCCTTGATGTTCATCCCTTCATCGGTAGAAGACGACATGGAAACAGTTCAGCAGAAACAAGAGTCTACCTCTCGAATGGGGGAGAAACAAGTCCTCTATCACAACACCCGCCTCAGGCCGCATGTTGAAAATAGTGATGGGGAACAATACTCGACTGTTCCGCCTTCACCTTCCTTATCTGCAGTCCGTGACGCAATAGCTGGAAGGCCTCGACTAACCGACTCGGAGCCGGGGTATACTGGCGGTGAAACTCCTCGTGTCAACGGATACGCGTTTGTTGACGAAGATGAACCTGACCCTCAGCCACACTCGGCGCCACAAGTTGACGAGAATGAAGAGGCATATCATCTCAAGCTCCTTGAGAGCCAAGTGTCTGACTCGACGCCAAACCCGTTCAAGCTCAAAGAAAGTGGCAAGCGAGAACTGCTGCTTCATCGTATGGTAGATCGTGTGGCGAAGAATAATAGAAGAGAGAAGGCAATCAAAGAGACGAAGACCCCTGTTCCAATGTTCCCAAGCAGCCCCATGATCGCCTTTGGTAAATCGGGCGACAGATCGTCGATTTCTAAAACTCCAGCGATGAGCCGAGCGGCCCTTACCCCTGCTGCCCAGAGGCTCTGGGCTCAGGTAGGTAATAGCACTCCGAAAAGAGCTGTGATGTCAAGTTCAACGAGTGGGAAGAATATGTGGACACCAACCCCTAGGAGAGCTAAGTAGTGATGGACTGGTTATCCCGTCCCAACAACGAACCCCTTGTAAATATTACGATATACTCTATCTATAGATGCACGAGCTAGCGAACACGATAAATACTAAGTTTTTCTATTACCTAACTTATTGAGTCATAGCCTTGGAGAATTATCATCCAACTGAACAAATGTATAACAGAACGCCTGACACCTTGCTTCCATATTACATCAAAGACTCATGCCTTCCCAGAAATTCCAAATATTCGCAAAGACCCTGGCCCTGACGCTGTGCCGAGAATCCTTCTCTAACATGAATCTGTTAATTTTTTTTTTCTTCGGATAGTTGAGATACCTTGGATCTCGTGGGGTCGATGTACAGTATATACTATAGCCTTGTTGTCAGGAATAAGGTCATATAAATGGATGAACAAAGAAATGAAACTGGGTATTCCCTGTCCTGCGTATTGCAAATTTTTGAGATCTGTACGGAGTATGTTTCTCCCATAACGAGGGCTATAACGTGGCAGTACTTGAGCCGTCCCGTGCTTTTTCCTCGGTTATCAGCATTGACCTGCAGTTATCTTGCCAGATACGCCCTTAATCTCTTTCAGTGCATGATTTGAATATAGACCAGACACCGGTTTTGAGGTCCAAGCGAATCAATCGTTTCATTTTTATAGGCGATGCTCAGTCACTTCGCTTGGAACTGTTTTGAGACGTGGGTGGCAATTAGTTACCCGATCACTTTCCGTTCTGGTCGGTTGTTTCAGATCAGTTCCAATGCGAAAATCCCCAGACAAGTCCCCAAAACACAAGTGTAAAGGAAAAAATAAACTTCATTCCGTCCACAGACTTCCATCCCGAATTCAAAAAATACGCGGCCCCGAGGTAGCTGCAGGTAATATCTCCGTTGGCACTTCGCTGCCCATAAGAATAGTTTAGCCACTGGCCTGTGGGACATCCGAATCCAAATGACGCAGGGCAGCTTCGAACTAATGAATGACATAGGTCCTGGCAAGGAAGGACTTCCTTATATGGCCCTGGTTTAATCTTGATGTCGATAAGTGGGTTTCGAGAGGAATTGGTTAAAACGTTCAAGCGGCCTGAGTAATCATCTGGTAGCATGGTGCCATTGAGAAATTGTTGGCCAGTATTTCTCGGACGGAGGAATGGAAGGTCACTGGAAAAGTCTTGACATCTGGGTATAGTGACTGCGCAAAGCCATTGCTTATAGGCACCTGCGCATTGAGAGCAGTTCGTTGCAAGGGAATACTGCTCTGTTGCGGGTGCATTGCAGGATACCTGCTGAAGAGAATAGCTGAAATTTTGGTATAATTGCTCCGCTTGTGTGTCATAAATCTCGCTAAGCTGAGAAACCTTGAGTTCCGGACTGGATGGGACTGCATAGGCAACTTCGGAGCAGAATTTCAGATTATATATTATAGCGCAATTGTTTTCTTTATAAAATCCCATATTAGTCAGTACTGGCTTGGTAGATTAATGGGTATGATTTTAGTTTACCTCTTTTTGTTGTGAAATTCATTGCTTTCCACACTTTTCCTCCACCCCCTACAACCTTGTTCCCATAAGCAGTTGAATTTCCTTCCATGGCCAAGAATCCATAGTAAACAGAGCTGCTGTTGAGGCCCTTAGCATAAATCTGTTGCTTGGGTTTATGGTCTATACCACGAGCAGTCATGCCAACATCTAGGCTTTTCTGTTTCTTGCTTATCTGTGCATTATTCTGCAGACCGCAGTACGAGTGCTGAAGACCCAAAATAGCTGAATCGTTCATATTGTGGGCAAATAACGTAAAAGGTGGTGGATCAAGGGCCAGCCACTTTTTATATATTTCCGACTCTGGTGGTTCACGTGTGGTATCATTTGTTTGTAAAAGAGCTGCATTGTTATCACCATCCACAAAATAGAGGAAAGAACTGCTATTATCGAGACCATGGAACGGGGCGTCGATTGAGGCTGCGATTTCGTAATTATATATTCCTGAGTACCGGGTGCTATTTGGAGCGGCAACGGCGATGTATACATCTTCATCTGCATCGGGATTTACAGCAACGTAGCCTCCATCAAAGGGTTTATGGGTAACAGCAGAGTTGTCCTTGTACTGTGGACCAGGCCTATCGAACGTTTTGCTCGTAGACACATACATTTCCAGTTGAGGCGGTCCAGCGTCTTTGGCGGCACGGGTAACGTTGAGCTCTGGCTGAAGACAAGTATTTGCAGTGATATGTACGGAAACAGAACGACGAGATAATTTTGTGTCCCGGACGTCCAATTTGAATACATTATCCGAATCTTCCGAGCTCTTGGAGTCTCCAGAGTTGCTACCCGGATCTGTCGTGCCTCCATCCAGAATGACGCTTATATCTGACGGCAAGCCCGGTGTAGGCGGGGACTTGGGGCCATGCACCGCCTCCTTGGGGAATACCCAATACTGTACTTCCCCAATCTTTATATTCTTCAACTTAGCAACATTGTTTGCCAGGGCCTCTGTTCCTGGAGCTGCCCTCCGCTCAATATCTGCGCCATCCCCAGTGTCCAGTCTATTCTCTTCTTGTATAGAAACATGGTCCCACTGTACAGAAATCTGCTCTTGGGTATCTATAAGTGTCAAATCCGGAGGGCCATGCCTTTCTATTATCAGAGCATCGACGTCTGTTGCGTAGGCGAGGTGTGGGTTGGAGAGAGCAAAGTAGAGTATTATAAGGAGGATGGTGGCAGCGAGGGAGGCGGCAAAGCGGGATTGGAGGGGAGTGAGCTTCGGCCAAGGCATCGGCGCGCCGGTATGAACGTATCGCTTGCTAAATGAATAGCGGGGGGGAGAGGGCCGGTGGTCCCTTTGAATGTATGTAGTTGACCGTTTATTGGCACCTATTACCGTGAAAATAAGACGAAATTGACCATCGATGCTGCAGAATAATCCAGGCTCGTGTAAACGGATGAATAGTAGTGAAAGGGCAAGGTCTTCGCCTGACGGTTTTTCATTATATTATCGTCTCTCCGGTCGTTGTCCTTGTTCAAGATCGATGTAAACTGTCCAACGTCCTATTCCGTTAAGGCTTAAAGACGTTGCCAGCATACATAACTTCCAAGGAACTGCGGGATTATGTAATAACTAACCCACCCCCGTGGAGCTAGAAAACCTTGTGATATCAAAAAAAAAAAAAAAAAAAAAAAAAAAAAAAAAAAAAAAAAAAAAAAAAAAAGCCGACGAAAGAACCATAAAAGAGGACCATGGATTATATACGGATTAATGGTAATATTACAGCGATAAAGACTTTTAGGGTACTAGAAAGGATTAAACAAGATGCCAAATCTCCATGAGTTATCAAAAATCCAGAGTAAAACAATCACAACCAAATATCAACAAGAAACTGCAAGTATCAACATCAGAAGCATAAGACAGAACTGGGTCAAAGCATTAGTAAAAAGCATTATTGATGTTTTTGTTTCGCAGGCAAGCCCACTGATACTGTATTGGCGTGCGTCCAGGCGGCCGTCAAGAAAAAGAAGAGAAGGGCCGTAGAGTCAACAACGGTAGGCGCTGAGAAGTGCGTTTTCTTTACAGCAGCTTATATCGACGGGCAAAAATCAAGCTGACTATGGAGATGAGAATAATGACCCCGACGATACCGAAGAACCAGAACAGGTCATCGCCGCCTTGACCGGGAACATGCACGTTCATGCCGAAAAGACCACAGATCAAGTTCATTGGAACGATGATACTGGCCAGGAAGGTAATCTTGCTAAGCACCTCATTAACCCTGTTGCCCACCATGATGTTTGTTACGTTGACCTGAGCAAGGTAGTTTCCGTGAGAACGACTGAGCATCTTTTCAAAGTGGCCCAAACTGGACATCATGGTAACAACGTGATCTTGAATATCGCCAAGGTAAAGTCCGATATCGCCGCGAGGTGTGACAGAGTATTGCTCGTTGCAACGCTTGGCGAATCCCTTTATAACGTCGGCTTTACCGCCTAGAAGGCGCATGAGACTCATAACTTTCTTGCGTAGACCGCCAATTTTCGGGAGGAAGAGGTTGAAGTCTTCGATTCGGGCAACGTAGACATGGTCCTCAATGGCTTCAGATTCAACCTCGATTTCGCGAATGACAGGGCCAAAGCTATCAACAATATCATCACTGTTGCACAGAAGTTAGATAAAAAGCAGGTAATAAACAAAGAAGATCACAAGAAACTTACATCATGGCATAGCAAATCCAGTCACTACTAAGAGAGACATATTCACGCAGTTTGCCGATGCGCTTTCTCACATTCGCCGCATGTGGGTTGTCAGTAAAGCTGAAAGAGATAACACCCTCCCGGAACACCACCATGTATAGATTGACAGGTTCTAGATAGTCTTCACTGATTTTATCCATCTGGTAAAAAGTGCGGAAACAGACAAAGTAATATTGGCGGAACAGTTCGACCTTTTCACGGGCTTCCTGAGTCATGATGTCTTCTGCAGTCAGAGGATGGATAGAAAAGGCGCGGGACATAGCGCCCATCTCATCACTGGTTGGATTCACGACATCAAGCCACCAGACACCTCCATCGGGGCCCAGCTGGAAGAGATCCCGGAAAGAGTCTCCTGGAAGTACAAGGTCTCCGATTGAGGCTGCATGGACGGTGCTTTCAAACTCAGAGGAAAAGAAGCTGAAGCGCTGTGGGCTATTGATGTTCTTCATGGCCTCAAGACCAGTCTTTTCATCCTCAGGTTCGTCCGAGCCGGAATCCTTGGCACTGTCCGTGGGTAGATGGACAGTAGTATTTGGCTTTTCCATGTCACATGGAGTCATCACAATTTCAGGGACATCGACATTACTGTTTCCCTTTTGAATGCCCGTGAAGTTGAGAGTTTGCCTGCTCTGGGCGCTGATGCTATGCTTGCGCTGAACTCCATTCTGTGCTGATATATTATCTGCCCTAGCCTTGCTAAGAGCAACGAACTCCTCAAGCTCTTCGTAATCGATTATTGGCGAGCGACCTGTATCTTCGAAGGGTGGAGGCGGGAAGCATACGTCTGCCTCCTCCGTTGGGTTGACGCGAACGTCCACGCTGCCAGGGTGAACCACACTAGCATTGCTGAAAGCTGTTTTGTGGTGATGAGAAGCGGCAGATATGGTGCGATGAAGATGGAGTTCACGCTCTCCAGGCATTTGGCTCTCCATCGTGTTTGCCCGTTCACGTCGACGAGGCTCGGCAAAGGCCTCGACCGAGTTTGGGGGGGAGGTTGAGACAGAAGTGCGCGAAGACGTCACTGAAGGCCTGCGGGCATCGTTAGGCCCCAGAAGAGGTCCCATAGGGTTCAAAGAAACGGCCCTAACCCCAAGTCTGCCTGGATCTTCCTCCTCTTCATCATCAATAACAGCATGCTCGAAGTCTCTGCATATCGGGGCCCTTTCTTGCATTGTGTTGCCGTTGACCGGCAGTAGAAGCTCTGGCCGGTCACGGCCCTCGACAGAGCCTCGTGCGGCTGGATTCTCCATGATGTCTGCTCTGGGAAGACTTTCGGCCTGGAATCGGTGGTCGTCCAACTCTGGGGCGGGCGTGGGGAATCTGGTCTCACCCTTGTCCGACTTTGGTGAATCACTCATTGTGTTCTTATCCCTTTTTATCTGTGTTGTATTTGGCTCTTTTTTTTTTGGATCGGTTTTCCTAGATTTCCTTGTGTTCTTAAAAGCTGTCCAATTGTAAGAAGTACTGCGGGGTATGCGTAGTCTTCGTCGAGCAAATGCGCAGGGTAACGCTCACTCTGCAGTTTGGGACGACAATGTGAGATTGTTTTTTTTTGTTTTTGATAAGCTCAAACCAAATGAAGAAACCCCCTTCTCTTCAGCGAGAAAACGGCCACTCTTGTTTATTTGGATAGTCCGGTCCAGCCTAGCCCTCGAAAAAGGGCTGGCTGCGTGTGATCAACGTGTATTGCTTCGCGTATTGCCATATATTTGCGGGAGTCAAGTTATGGAGGTCGGATGTCTCCCCCGACAAAGACCCGGAACTTGGGGCCCAGGAGAGGGTGGAGGAAGGAGTTCTGAGTGTAGTTAAGCCCCGCCAACTTGCCGGAGTTTTCAGAATGGGAGCGTCGAGGCTCCAGAGTCGCTGGGTAGGAAGAGTACGGAAGAGGCTGCGTCCGGCTGCTGGTCTCCCTGCGCTTGTCACTCACTGTCTCGAGTAACAAGATACAATCCGAAAAAAGAACGTCTCGACGACGATCACTAGCTTCTGTCCGCGAGATCCGTGCTCTGAGCTGCCCTGCCTAGCTGCGACAATGACAGATTTGATTTCGAAGCTGCGTTGGTGCTGAGACGGCGGTTGTTGGTCGTTGGTGGTGGGAGTTGAGGTTGCTGCTGCAGGGTCTGCACTGTGGCGGTCGGCAAAAAAGGGCGAAAAGAAAAGGGAAAAAGCGAGAGAAAGAAGAAAAAAATAAAAAAAAATAAAATAAAAACAGAACAAAGCTGGCTTATCTAATGCCGGAATCTGCTGAGTCAGGAGGAATACCAGCAAAAAGTAAATACGCTAAGCCTAAAAGGGGATGGCGTAGCTTGGCATTGTTGACACTTTCCGCCACTAAAAAGCAAGATAAAAACCGCAGGTTGAAAAGACGAAGAAAGACGAAGAAGACCAAGAAAACAAAGAAGACAGGATGACTGGACGAAAGGACGCTCGCAAGACGGCTCGCGGAAGCCGGAGACGGCCAGATGGTCGCTGCCGGAAGGGAAATGCTCGGTCCGGGTGCTACGGGAGATGCAGGTGGGTGTGGAAGCCCTGGCCGCGTCCTTGGCGCTGGTTGTCTATGATGTGGCTGATGATATAAAACTCCAGCCCCGGTGACCCAGCTTTCTTCTTCGTTTCGGTATTCCGTCTTCGTCTTTACATCTTTTATCGCCTGTGCTTAATCCGATTCGATAGCCGAGTCTCTCTGTGGTCCGTCTAGCCATTTTTTGATAGTCGCCGTGCTACCTCTTCGGTGACGAGCTGCATGTCAGCTGTACACAATGGAGCGCCTGTGAGCCTGTACTTCCGATAGTCGCCGCCAAGTTGCTACCCAAGGCGTCCTCGCCAGGGCCGCTTTTGATCTCGGCTCTTCTCCGTTCTATTACTCCGTAGTTGTTAATTTTTTCGGCTTGTCAAAGCGTGGTCGTGGAACAACATCTTGAGCAACGACCAAAACCGAAGTTGTCATTCGTTTTTTTTTTTTTTTACTTTTTTCTTCCTCTTTTACGGCTAATTGTTCGTTGGGCGGCGTAACTAGCCCGTGGGATGCTCGAGTCATATGGAGAAGCTTCGACGGCTCCCTACGTTACTAAAAATTTGATCGTTGAATCGGCCAGCCAGTCACTATCAAAATGGACCCGTGCGATATCGACGGCTCACGTGGAACCCAGAAATCCAATTAGACGCCTTGCGTAGGTTTTCCCTCTTTGCTGTTTGCTCCACCTGTGGCTTTCATTAGCCGTGATGGCTATATTGATATATCTCCTACCAATCGTCGCTCTTCTATTCAGAAACTTCCCTTGGGCCTTTCAAGAGTTGGGTCATCTTCACGACTAGCTCTGAGACAACATGACTATCAAGTTAATCGCTTGATAAATTTTTTCCCCCTTACTTCAGCAATTGATACCCAACCATCGCGGTGGTGTGACATTCGGCGACTAGGAGCCAGCCGTTAGACCAACATAGGAGCATACCACTATTACTTTTGGGAAACAATAGAAAAGAGAGGGGAGGAAAATAAAACGATGGGGTCTTGCCCTGACTTTTATTTCTGTTACCCATAGAAACGTCTATATGTTGGTCTCTAAGGTCTACAGCCTGCCGCCAATGCACCGACAAAATGAAACACAGCTTCCCGAAATCTCATTAGACATCAAGGGACGTGTAAGGGCATGGAGGCGATGACTGATTCTCATCCATGATGAAGTATTGCTTGCTCTCCCGACCAGTGGCATCTCCGTAGTTCTTCAACTCCGGGCTAATAGGCACTTCGTCATAGTCAGCCAGCAGTCCTCGAACCTTTGAGATAGCCGCTTTCTTCTTCAGATCCGTGGCAAAGAGAATATCAAAGACAAAGTTAGGTTGGAAGACAATGCAAAAGCACGGTGCATATCGTGATCTTCGCTTCTCGTGAGAAGGCGTCATGGCTGCACTGAACACTGGCTCGCCATTAAAGCAAAATTTCCACAGCGGAGTATCAGTGTCCGTCGGGATGTGTGATGGCCATGGCTTTGTGTCAACTTTTCTCAGAGCACGGAGACAGTCCCAGTATTTCTGATGGTATTCTTGAGGCGATAGCTGTGAGTTGATAATGGGGAAAAGAACAACCAGACTTGTGTTGGGGCCCAGCTCCGATTGCGGCGTTGTAAGATATTCCTTGAGTGCAGCGGCCAAGGTGGCGATGTTCTTCTTGTTGTTCATGTCTTCGGAATCAAGGAAGATATATCTGTGCTCCTTGGCCTTGAAGCCCTTGGTAGCATATACACAAGGGAAAGCTACAGGGTCTGTTGAACAGACGGCGGCTTGGAAGGCATCATACGACTGCCTCTGCCATGTCGTAGGGCCAAACGTTTCTTCAACCTCTTTCCTGTACTCGGCAAAAAGGGTTTATTAGTAGAGTGTTCTGAATTTCCTCTACCAGATAAGTCTATATAAGCATGTCGTACCTCTTCAATATCTTTGAACCCTGAGGTCCCTTTTGCTGACCGATGCTCTGGAGCAGATGGGTAACACGCTGGAAGAAACCTTCGTGAGAGAGACTCTTCTGGCTTCCGTTCCGGGAGATGAGAACAAAGATGATATAAAACAGAGCGCAGACGAGGGCGAGAGCAATGGTGGCCATTGTGACGAATGACAGATGCCTGCGTTCTTAGCTGATTTGATACCAAGGGATGTGGGTGCGTTGGATCTTCTCCTTTCTTCCCACAGCTTCAGTCCGGCAACATACATATATATATACCCGCTCAGCCCCTGGCTTGTAAGCCCCTTTACAAGTCTGATTGATGTGCCACCCATCCAACTGACCTTTCGGGAGATACCGGATAAGTCAGGATCCTCCGAATGAGTAAACCGTCCCATTTCGCCATAGACATGTTGTCAACCCTGCACTCACGTACCGTCAATAAGTACATTATAGGGCGATTCGTGGTGGAGGAATAGGCCCAGATGACCAGGTTGAATGTCACTTTTCCGATTTCAATACCTGAGTTAACTCCGTTTCCGCGTACACACCTCCGCTGTGACAGCTTAGTGCAATAGGAGCCATGCGGGGCCCTGATTCCATTTGTTGAATGCATTACATTGCAGCATTGCGTATTGCATGCCAATTAGGCTTTCTCGAAGGACGTTGTTGCCTGCCCAAGGGAGTCCCTGCCAATAAACCAGGTTAAATTTACCATACCCCAAGAGCCTCTTTCATCAGCTCAGCCTTCTGGTGAAAGCTGGTTGAGGTACACGCAAATGTGTCGATCCATTTCGCCTGATCTCCAAACCCCCTTAACTAGTCCACAAAAATAGCGCCAACGCCGCTGATGATGATCGAAGTTCTCCAGACTCCAGACTCCAGACTCCAGACTTCAGACTTCAGGCTCCAGTCTCCAGTTTCCAGTCTCCATACTCACCGCTATAGTGCAAATTCAGTCTTGGTCATTTGCGTTTGTGTCAAATTTTGTACCCATGTATCTTGAAGGATGAGGTTCTCATGCATCCAAATATCTATCAACCCTTGCATCCAGCACGTTCTCTCCAGGGTTTTCTTGACCATGTCCTACCCATAAAAAATGTGTCTATACCAGGGTGTCGACATATTTTGCTGGGACGTTCTAGAAACTCTCAAGGATCGTCTGCAAGCTGAGAAGGATCGCCTAGACTCGACCGAATTAAGGCGGACAGGAACTCGTTCAGAGCGCGAGAGCTTGTCAGGGATGAGCCTAAAAATACTTTTTTAAGGCGGCGACTTAATTTTATGAAGGGCAAAAGGGGACCTCACCATATCATCAATGAACAACTAGCTGAGACAGAGGGTAGATCTAGCTACGGGGATAACAAGCCGACGCAGATCACTTAAGGAAATGGGTTTGAAAAAAAATGCTTGCATGCCCATTGATGTGGCTTTCTGACGACAAAAGAAGAGCGAAAACTTTACCGGCCCGTCCAGTTAGTTACTTCGCTTGACCCTGTTCGTGGATCCTTCAACAAAACTCGGCATGATTACGTCTTTTGCGCCGCATAATATGATAGGCCACTTAGCTATCTTGCGGACCTTTCAGCTTTTGGAATATTCTGCAGCTGTGCAGGTAACTAAAGTTGTATCAGAAATCCTCTCCTACGCCCCATTGATATCCTCAATTAACCGTTTAGTCGGGAGATTATATCCGTTCTTCTCTTGTCTACAAAGAATACAGATGTAGGAGCTCACCTACAACTTCTGCCATTCATCTTTCAAACCTCGTCTTGCGCTTCCAGGCTGCTAGAGAACGCCTGAAAGTGGTCACGTCGAAATGAGCTCTCCCGGCGATACACCCAGCTCCCAGCCGTCAATGACGAAGCTCGAAATTCTTCCTACGATAGGGGAGAATAACCTACAAGCTCTGCTAGAGGAACACGGTCTTGAATATACCCCTGATGGCGAGCATATACGCTGGCTAGCTTCGAATCCGAAGCACCCACGCAATTGGTCCATGTTACGAAAGATCTATGACAGCGGTTTGATCATTATTTTGGATCTTTTCACGTATGACCACTCGACACACACCATTCTTTGCCCTCTCACTATCGTGTTTATTTGAACTGCTTACTGACGGGTATTTTTTTGTCGTGTGTAGAACGGCCGTGAGTACAGCAGGTGTAAGTTGATCCTTAATCACAGCTCCAACATGACGTGATTCTAACAACGATACCCTGCAGAGTGCAGCTGCTGATCACGCACGACATGAGTACGGACTTAGCCGTACCCTAGCGGTCTTCTTGTTCGTTTCTGTGTAAGTAGAGCCCTGTTACTTTCCCCGTTACACTTTATAGCCTTTCACGCTAATTATAGACCTTCTCTCTTGGAAAACTAGGTATCTCTTAGGCCAAGGAGTCGGAGGGATCATATTCCCGCCATACTCGGAGTCTTTTGGACGCAAGAAGCTGTATATCGTCAGCACTGGACTATACAGCCTTTTTTGCGTTGTGGTTGGGCTTGTCCCCTCCGTAGCTGGAGTCATAGTGGGCCGCTTCTTCTCCGGATTCTTATCGGCCATCCCAACCATTGTGGTGGCAGGAAGCATCGAGGATATTTTCAATTCCAAAGACCGCATCTGGCTGATCTTCATGTGGGCAATGGTGGCCAACATGGGGTTGATCCTTGGACCCATCATGAGCATTTATATCATTGATCATTTGGACTGGTAGGTTTGATCAGCCTAGTTATGCGGGTATGACCCTCCTTACTGACTCCTGTTTCGTTCTAGGCGATGGGTCTTTCATGTGTCAGCTATTTTCACTGCCGTGATCACCATTCTTTTGTTTGGGATTCGCGAATCTAGGCCATCACTGCTCCTTTCCCGTGAGGTTGCCAAATTGAAAAAGTCAACCGGTATAACCACGCTCAAGGCTCTAAACCCTGACCATACCCCAGACATGAAGACGTTTGCTCGGATAGCTCTTTTCCGACCCCTCAAATTATTCTTTACAGAGCCGATTGTCTTCATGGTTGCTACGATTAGTGCAGTAGCTTTTGCACTCATCTATCTGTTCACAGAGGCTCTTCCCCCGATATATGAGGACCTTGGATTCTCCAGCGCAAACTCGTCCCTTCCTTTCCTCGCGATTGGCATCGGTTTGATCAGCGGAGTTCTCACCCGTATCTTTGATCATAGAATGATCACAAGATACCAGAGAGAAGGCAAGGTACTGCAGCCAGAACATAAGCTTGTTGGATTCTCCATTGGCGCTCCGGTTCTTGCAGTTGGTCTCTGGTGGTTTGCGTGGACTATTCCGCCGCGTGTTCCTGGAGTCCACTGGGTGGTATCTGCTATATCCCTGGTACTGATCGGCTATGCATTAAATGAGTTCGACGCCGTCTTAGCCGGCTATCTAGCCGACAGCTACCTGAGCTATTCAGCGAGTGGGTTCGCTGCTCTATCTCTTGTGCGTTCCACACTTTCTGCTGTTTTTCCACTATTTGCCGGACGGATGTACGAAGTGCTGGGCGCGAATCTAGCCACTTCTATTCTTGCAGCTTTGGCAACTGTCTTCTGCATCATTCCGCCCTTGTTCACCAGGTATGGACCACGGATCCGAGCACGCAGTAAGTTTGCAAGGTATAGTTTGCAGGTATATCAGGAGAACGGAGTGGACAAGGACGGATACTAGGACAACAACTTGCCGAAGTATTCAAAGCATAAACAGCAGACATAAAATAGAAGAGTGAAGTAGAGTAGATAAGAAATCCGGCTCAGAAGAAGAATTCGAAGAACTTGCCAGGATCTTTTCTCGAGTGGAGAATGACTGCACATTATGCTCCATATTGTCGAGTAGCTTCCTATTATAGGAGACCAAACGGAGTCCAAAGTGATGACCACGTTTAGATTCTTTCTGGCTACCCTGACTCCGAAGACTTGCCGTCCTGCTATAAATGCGGACCTATGGCCCACCCGGAAGCCGCCTGGAGATCCCTTTTCCTAGCTCTAGAGATGCTTGATTGTTCCCCAACCAAGAGCCGAAAGCTTAGCGTGCTGATCACTTGCCAAGCAGGTGTTCCTGGTCGATACACCAGTCATGATGATAAGGGGGGGGCAAAGCTGGCGCAATCATAATTGCATGTCGAGATAACCGACACTGATTGGAATCCCGGGCGGCATCAGCGACCAAAGTCCACCTTGAAGTGTTTCATCTGAACTTCAAGGGTGTCAACTTGGTGGGATTTGGGATCATCTGTAAATCTGTGAACAAGCATCAAATCCTACGCTGTCCACACTCCATCCCTCGTACAGGGTCAGTAAATGTGACGGGATGCGTTGGGTGCCAATTGTGTGTCGAATCTCGCAGTAGTTGCTTGTGCTGAAGTGAAGATGTTTGGTGTAACTAATTTAAGCTTAAACTCTATCACGTGATATAAGATATTTTGGTGTATTAGTCAGCAACAGAACTGCCAGACTGTTCTTACTTTGCTTTGACTGCGCATGGCAAAGCTCCAGCTGGAAGGATACCAGCTAACAAAAGAACAATATTATAAATCATGGATGAGCTCCTTGGACCCCTCCGGGAGGCTCTTGATGGCCCAATTGTGAGCTGTCCTTGAAGTCCGCCATCCTTTAGCTGTTCTTGGTAACTAACGATGTTTGGTAGGACTTCCATGGCCAACGAGTAACGGACCTTTTGTCAACCGCCCTCCTTTCTATATTCGCCGTGAGTTATACCCGAGTGCAGAACGTTTGATATATTAAGATCGAACTGTAAAGTTGGAAATTCTTGCCAGGGCATAGAATAATAACAAGGGGCTTGGTTTCTAGGTCGTCTCATTTCTAATCGGATATGCGTACGAGGACGTCTTCCTAACACTCTGGACGATGACGGCTGGCTCCATATTAACGATGCTGGTCATTGTTCCACCGTGGCCTATGTATAACCAGCATCCTGAGTCATGGCTCGTCACGGGAGCTGGGGGAATCGGCAGAGACGGAATTGTTATAGACAAAGCGGGGAGTTGATGACGATATAATCTTATTCATGCTGTGGATTTTTGTTTGGTTGCGCAATGGTAAAATTCACCCTGGACTAGTTTCTTTTTTTGCCTATCCTGTTGTGGAGAGAGGTACTAGGAAGTCCCCTTCTACCCGGCGGCTTCTATCTAGGAGTAGGCAGCACAGGAGAGAAAGCTTGTAGCTCTTTTCTTGAGAGAATCTGTAAGAATTGCCAGGTCTTGAATTCGAATCCCATAACTTCACAGCCCTTGAACTACATACGCCGGAACCCTGGCCTCGGTTTGAATATCATAAAGCTTTATTTATGTTGAAAAATGACGGGGGCAGCGGAGCGGGTAAGAGAAGAGAAGGTAAGAAACCAAACACGGTAGACAATCTACCGTCCGTATTTCTGGAATTCCCAATCTCTGTTGTCTAGTGGACACACTTGTCTGGTTCTTAGCCATCTCGAGATGCAGTGGAAGTGGAACGCGTGCTGAAAAGGCAAATGTGTTAGCTAATGGAAATTAACGCCGAGACAGAGTATTCTTACATTGCAGATACCCCAGGCAACTGTGCACTCCTCTGTGGTGGATGAGCCCTGGTTGGCCTGGCATTCAATACCTATAGCTTCGTTAGAGAAACTGTCGGATATGAGGGGACATGCATAGCAGCTTTATGGTAACTAACACAGGTCCATGATGTGGTTTCGGCAAATAGCACAGTTATCAACGATAATATCCCACGCCCACAGAGCAACAGCATTCCACTAAAGTATCCCAGTATCAAAATCAGCGGGAGAAGGACTTTCACTCCAGTAGTGACAGACGCGAACGACTCTGACGGAAATTCCATCCGGGACCACGCACCTTTTTGACCTCAAATCTCTTCTTACCCTCTCCAGCTGCATCAGCCTTTGCAATCTTAGCTACAGCTTTCCCCTTGCTGGCATCTCCAGCAGCATCCGTCATTTCAACATCTGCCATGGTTGCGTGCAGGACAAACAATCATCGACTTCGTACAGGTGAAAGAAGGGGTTATCTCGTGTGGTCACTTGAAGTAGACTCCCTATACTCTATGTGCTGGGAGGTTCGACGTTGACGCTAAGATGTAGCGGCTGTTGCCTTCCATCAGTTAACAAGCGCTTATCTAACAGCCAGCAGCGCGATGGGTCGTACCTCTGTGAATGCAGCCGGTGTAGGATATCCCAGTCTTGTTTGCAATGCCACCCAGCTTGAGACACAGCACTCGACGCTGTCACCACCTGGCTTCTCCGTCAACGGCTTCGTCGTCCAGATGTCAGATGGAGGGTAAACACTGCGAGGCAGCCGACCTACCTAACCTATGGACCTTAAACTACCTTGTGCGGGCGGGCGGGAGAAGCAGCGGAGATAAGATTTCCCGCTAAGGTCACATGACCCAAGCTCAGGCCCGCCCCAGACAACCAGCCAGGCGGAGCTTTTTTGCGCAGTTCGCCTTTTTCGACCGTGAACATCGACGAACAAGCAACGACGACAGCCCTGCAGACCTCCACACGCCTCTACAAGACACCAAAACAGCCCCCATCGCGCCTCTTCCTGCCGCCAGCGTGAAACACACAGCGTACTCTGGTCTTGCCGCCCGATAAGTTATGAATATGTTAGGGGGACCGCCCTTGTTTTCGTTTGCGCTTCTCACAGATATAAACAGCCGACACCCCCAGCCATACACTGCGTTTCCGGCAGCCGGCTGAACCCGCTTCCACGCAGCCTTCATACCACCACGGTCGCCATCGTTGTCTTGCTCTTCTACTCAGTGAACACCTTAGCGCAGTAGACCTGTTTTGTTGCGTGCAAGCCTTTTTATTTTTCGCCTCTTCTTGGAGCGTTCTTCCTAGCTCTTGGTTTCGTTTCCTTTTGTTCTTTTCCTTATTATTCTTATATCTACGGCTGCCTATTTATTAAGCCACCTACAACGGTCCGAGGCGACACGAGATGTCAAGTCCGGCTCCTACTACGCCCAAAGCGCCTCGAAATGGCCGGCGTTACCAGAAGCGCACTCCGTCGTCGAAATCCGGTGCTGCTGACCCCTCACGTCAGCCTGATAAGATGAACACCACCCCAGCAGCAAACCGAGACTCGAATGTTGCCAGTGACTCGGGGAACCGTGCGTCTGACAGTGCGATGAAGGCGAAGAATGGCCGGTCAGCAAAGAAAAATAGAGATAATCACAAGAATTCGCCGGCTCCAGCTCGAACTGCGAGCCTTGGTCATGGTCACCGTCATACCTCCTCGCAGTCTTCTATCAAGGATAGCCCTCTATATGCCGGACCAACCTTCCATGCCTCTCCTGCGCCATCGGCGCTCCCAATACCATCGTTTTTTTCAAAGTCAGTGCCGGAAACTGACGGTCGAACTTCTGATGAGCTCCAGGATGAGTCACCAGACACCGACCCGGGAGACAGTACGCCTACAAAGACGAATAATGCCCCCCAGCAACCCCAACAGGAAGCTGGTACAGCTTCCCCTCTCGATTTTCTTTTCAAGGCCGCACGCCAAGCAAGAGCCGCCAACCCTGTGAGCGAGCTTGAGGATTCTGGCCCTTTCAATGGATCTACACCTCCGAGAAGCGAGGTACGCCCACAGCAAGGCGAAAGACAGATCAGTGGTGGTATGTTTCCTTTAGAATTAGAAGGCTCAGATACCCGAATGTCGCCGATTGGCCCCTCATTTGCAACCTCTTTCAAAGATCGGATGAATGCCTTGCGTGCAACTAGCCCAGGGAAACAAGGAGGTCTTCCTGGCACAACACGAGAAAACAACACTACTGATACCAACAAACTCAAAAGCGAAGCTCTCAAAAATTTACTTCTTAACCCTCCACCGCAGCGCGCAGCCTCAGCATCCCCGAGGCTCACGGACCCCTCAAACGGCCCCAGCAACAATGGCAGTAATAATAATAATAACAATTTCAGAATGTCTGGGGACTACTCTATGTACCAACAACCCACTCGTTATGCTTCTGGCCCCGCTTCACCAGTACCTTTTGCCCATTCCGGTAAACCTTTAGGAACCCGCAACGAATTTAGCGGCCCGGAGAGCACGATTCCACAACAATATCTGGCATCCCTGTGTGCCCAAACCCATCGTTCACCCGCACCATCTTCTGGGCTGCGAAGTATGGTGGCTCCAACCAGCCCGGTTACTCCGCCTCGTCAGCAGTCCTTCTCGAGATATGCACAGTTTGGGCTTAGCAGTGCTCCTCCAGCTCATGCAAGCTACAATGGGGCAGCTGGAGGTGCCCTTACTTCTCCGACGCCGAACCGAACAATGCAACCAAACTCTTCCACGCCTCCTGCGAGGAACTGCCCTCCGCCAAAACTGGATTCTGCGGAAACCAAACGAATGGAAGATGACTTACGGCGTATGTTGAACCTTAATGTGAGCGATGGTCAACACCCCGAGAACACAGAGCGGCGTTCCTCCTAGATGATTCACTGGGTTAGGTCAGGCTATCAAATTCTCAGCCGACCATATTTACGAACTCGTCTTTTTTTCCTTTTTGGTTGGCCATTGTTTCCTTTCCTACGTCTTATGCATACCCCAGCTATTGTGCCAGTTGTGAAAGTGGTCATAATCACTTAACTGTCCATCCCATATTGATATGATCTTCCGGTCGAAGCCTGCATTTTTTGTTTTCTTTCCCTTGTTTTCACCATCACTCAATGCCTGATTTCTTCTTCTTCTTCTTTTTTTATGTTCCCTTTCAAAGCCAGACTAGGAGAAGTTTCTCCTCTTTGGCCCTGTTCCTTTTCGACTTTCCAGCGTTCATATCATCTGCGATGTTGACCTGGGCTATGGAAACATGTTTATCACGGTTATGGTTTTCAGTTGGGTTCCCAAGGTCCGGAGTCAACCTCTTGCCTTCGTTTTCTTCTTTATCTGCCAGGCAGCTTTGTCTCCCTTTGCTATTTTCTGATACAGCACAGCACCACTCAGCTCAGCATGGCGTCATACGAGGATGGATGATATCCTGGAGTCTTTTTTTTTTTTTTTTTTTCCTTTCTTTTTCCCTTGTCATCTGCCATCTGCTTTCTTACTGCTTTCCCCGTTTTTACATATTCTTATCATCTTTCAACGTGCACTTTGGCTTGGCTGGTTGTTTGCTCGTTCTATTCGGTTTGACGGTCGGAGAGATATGGTTGTTTCCCACGGCTCTTTGCTCTTTTAAGGGAGTTTATACCTGCCCGGGTCGTCTTTTTTCGCTTTATGTTCTTCGTATGGAAAACCTGGATGAATGATTCGGCTGGCCGCTAGCTACATGTTCATTGTTTATGGTATGCATATGCATGTGCCGGGGGTTGATGGAGTTGTGTTCCCTTGCTCTGATCCTGCTTGCCCCTTGCCCTTCTTCACTGTACCTGACTGTACCCCTGATACCTGCCCTTCCTCCTGCACCCTATCCTTTCCGTCCCCTTTCCCTTTCTTTTTCTTTTATTTTTACCCCCCTACCCATCGTCGCTCGCTTTAACCTTCTTATTTCTCATCTCGGGTTCTTTACTGTTTTTTTTTATATCGATGTCCTCGACGACATCCTCACGCTCGTTTAGATCTCTCTCTCTCTCCTTTTATCATAAACTTGGCGACTCAACTTCCCACTATCACTAGACACTTTTAGTCCATCACTCAATATCACACTCGTTTGTTTGCACATATTTTCAATGCCAGTAAAAGATAGAAAAAGAGAAAGAAAAAAAGAAAAATATTAAAATTAAAATAGAGTAAGAAAAAGGAACCAAAAAAAGGGGCCAATAGAGTGTGGTAACCGCTGCTTGCCGCCCGGGAAGATATCTCTGCTACGACATCGCAGTCCCAGCGCCAGCATCTGCCCTATGAGAGGAGGCCCCGGCACGGCTGGCTTTAAGCACAAGGTTTTCAGGGGGTGGCCACAGTCATTTTAAGCAGCGAAGCATCCTGGAAGCTCCCGCCACAAAGCATCACATCTGTATCAAGCGCTTCAGGAGGCGTCGACGCTGGTAGGCTGAAATAGAGGTAGAAGTGCGTATATGTAGCATTATGTATCAGGCATTCATGCACTTTACTCCGTACAGCCTGCAGGTTCGATCTCTCGACGGGCCTGCATGTCCCCCAGGCATGAAACCAACGCCATGCACCAAAAGAGAGGGCTTCTTGGGTCTCCCTATTATCTTATTCCACGGCGTCAACCAACTAGTTAGTTACTACCCAATTTGCCACCACCCTGTTCTTTCTTGCTCGTGTCTGTCTGTCCGTCCTCTGCAAGCCAAAAAAAGACCATGAGTGGGAAATGTACTCCGTAAATGGGCATGCACAGCTGCGAGGGAGCTGCGAGCGCAAGCAATGCCCGGGGGGCCGTCGGCAGTCAGGAATGTAACCGCCCACCACAGTCGATCGATCTCCCTACGAAGCACTTCTCCATCTTCGTCTTCTCTCCATAGCCTCCATCTCTCTCTCTCTCTCTCTAGAAGCAGAAGATAAAAAGCAGACAGAAGAAGCAGACAGAAGAGAGAGAGTAAAAAATAAGAAATAAAAAAAAAAAAAGCCCCCTTGATATATGTCGATATATCGATACAGGGTGCTGGTAATACGAATACCGCGGGCCATGGGCGCCAAGGCGTGGCCAGCAGGGCTCCACTGCGTTTCATGTCACTCGCTGTGGCTTGAGCGTGGCTTGGGCGCCGCTGATTGGCTGCTGTTTATTTCATGCACGAGCCACGTTCCAGGCCGTTACGGACATGCCGTAATCTTTCGGCGTCCTCCTTCTGGAGCGAACAAAAAGTCGACTTTCTCTTCTTCTTCCCGCTTCTCCCTCCCTCGCCCTCCCCGATCCAACAACCTCCTCGCTGCCCATCGTCGCCCGCCCTCCCGTCCTCCTCCAGCTCGCCGGCGACAGCTCCTCGTCTCTCTGCCCCTCTCGCTGCCGGACGGCTGCTGCTGAGCTTCGTCTCTCACGCGTTCGACTCGCTTTTTCCCTGGGCTAGCTTGCGTGCGGTTGGCCTGCCGCGCTGGCGTGCTCCCTCCGTCCGTCTCCCACCCAGTGCAGACGCCCAAGTAGCCACCGGCGGCTTGTACCAGTCTCTCAGCATCCTCGGTTAGAGGAGACACCGCTCTGTGGACCGATATAGAGATACAAATAATACACAGAACCTGCATTGCACCGCCTACGACGTCGTCTGTCCAAGTCCCGAGACTAGCTTGAGCCAGGAAAAAGGAACCCCCTAAGCTGCAAGTACCGAGGACCGTCGTTCACATCTCCCCTAATCTCACGATTCAAGCTTTGACGAATCGGTTTTTCTATTTTCTATCTTTTGTTTAAATTTTTTTTTTTTCTTGCCGCCTGCAGATATATATCATGGCAGCATCGTAAGTCGAGACATCCAGTGCTGCCTTGATGACCGCTGCTGGAATCATAATTGCTAACACGCTCCGGGGAAAAAATTGTAGATTCTCTTCAACATGGCGCTCCTTCTGGCATACCATGACCTCCAACGACCGTCATGCTTCTCACGATTCTCCTTACAGGACCGGCCAGCATGTTCCTCTCAGCCAGAGCCGTGATGCCCCTCTCACCTCAGTAGCAACCAGCGCTATTGAGTCGCGGCCGGACCTCACCAACTCTTTCGATGAGCCGCCGTCCCTTAGTCGGTCCTCGACCTCGCAAAACACAATTACTTCCCCCACACGACCGTATTCCCCCGGGATGAGGTCATTATCTTCCCAAAAACTCGACCAGAGCTCGGTAGATGGCGGCGAGATACAGATGCAGAGCTTTCATGATGGTGCTCCTCCTCCGCCTCCTGTCTCACATTCCTGGAAGAAGATCGATCGGTGGGTCGAGAAGAATTACGAGGAACTCTTTGACCAGCTTTGCGAAGGATGTACGCAGAATGACGTCAATGAACTCGAACACGAGCTGGATTGCAGCCTACCGCTCGAGGTGCGCGAGTCGTTGCAGGTTCACGACGGTCAGGAGCGTGGCGGTCTACCAACTGGTATCATTTTTGGATGCATGCTCCTCGACTGTGAAGAAATTGTCCAGGAGTGGAAGAACTGGAGAACCGTCAATGAAGAATTCCTCTCTGGCTCAACTGTCTCTCACCCTCAACCCCCATTGAGAGCTTACGGCGGCGCAGCTGCATCATCCTCGTCTGCACCACCACCGCCCCCCGCATCCCAGCAAAATGCATCAAACCCCTTGTGGAGACAGGAACTGCTTGACAGACAGGACTCCCAGCCTCCTCGAGCCATACAAAAGGCCTATGCTCACCCAGCTTGGATCCCTCTTGCCAGAGACTGGGGCGGTAACAACATTGCCATTGACCTTGCACCGGGACCAGCTGGAAAATGGGGACAAGTCATTATCTTCGGCCGCGACTACGACTGCAAGTACGTCATTGCCAGATCCTGGGCATCATTCCTCGCAACTGTAGCAGACGACCTTCATTCACCGCACGTCTACGTTGACGAGGAAGGCGGTGAATTGAAATTGAAGCCCTTCAGACAGCACGAACCTCCATACCTTGAGATCCTCCGCTGGAGAACCGACCAGAAGTACGGCAGACGGCAGCCCAAACGTCGATCCAACGGACTCGGAGTGAATACCAACATCAACGGCAAAACCACCAGGGATTCTCCGTACGGCAGCCCAACTCCCAGTGAAGACAGAGGCAGATCACCCCACCGATTCCCATCCCGAGGACCTACCGGAAGCCCTGCGGGAGCAATGGGTGTTTCGAGCCCACTTGCTCGCGTGACTGAAGAAACGTCTTCCCCCGTGAACAACAACAATATTACCAAGAACGAGCTAGACTTGAAGATTCAAAGCAAACTACGAAAATCAGACGACTTGGTGGATCTCTCCTCTCCCGTCTTGCAGAAGCCAACTGAGCCCTTCCCGGCTCCCGAGACAAAAACAGAAACATCCTCTGAACAAGCAACAAATGGTGAAGCCAAAGAGAACAGCCCACCCACCAACGATAAAGCAACTCCCTCTAAAGGCCTAGACGCAGATGCATTAGACGACATGAAGACTGTTGAAATTTAAAGACCTCCCCACATCCCCTTTCATGATAAACAGGAAACGGCCGGCTTTGTTCTTCTTCTTTTTGCTTCTCTCCCTCGCTTCCAGTCAGTCAACCCATGCCATTGTTTAATATGTAACCTTTGCTTGTCATTGCAGCGTCTAAATCACCTCTCTCGGCTTTTGCAGGTTTTTTCCACCCCCCAATCGAATTCCACTTGTTACAACGGAGGCACCCATAGGCTGGGTCTTTTTCTTCTTCTTTTTCATCTCATTCTCGCCATTCCCTAGTTTATGTGGTCTCCACCGTTACTTTTCCCTCCTTCGCCCAAACAGTTTAGAATTATTCCTTTCTCTTTCAATGTATTGTCAGCCAATTTTTTCACTTAGCCTTCGACTTTCCATGCTATGCTGTATTCATGGCCTAATGATTTTTTTCTTGATGGGTTAATCTACCTCTCCTTGACATCCTCTCCTATCCATCATGTACCGGTATCCTCCATACTAGGACAGATCGACGAATACTTCTATTCTTCCCATGTCCGCCGGCTCCAAAGGAAAACGTCTGATAAATTTGTCTTCTTCCATGCCCTGCCCCCTATCCCTGTATAATGAATGCCCTACTGCCTATTGAGTTTGGCCGTCCGGATTTTGAACCATTGGCAGATACTGGGCTTGCGTTCCACGTCTTTTTCTCGCAACGGTGGTGTTCTGTTACTTAATATAGCCTGTCATAGGTTTGACACCCCGTCTGTCATACGAAACAATATCAAAAGGCTAAAAGGTTTTACATATTATACCCATTTGAGTTATATTGGAGTATCTTCTTTCAATAAACCTTGTCAGGTAGTATGAGTCTATGATATGTGCAACATCCAGATATTTTGCATAGCCTGGCAGCTCACCTTAAAACGTGTATTGAGAGCGCAGCTCTTACCATTCAATGGGCTTGCTATAGCTGGATATACAGCTGGTGCAACCAAGATTAAATGGCAGTGAGGATATTCGCTCACTCCAGCTTCAATAGGCGTAAAGATAGGGTTGTTTTCACAAGTCCCAAATAAGACCAGTCATTCGAGCATCCAAACCAAGGTCTCGAGCCGGTCCATCCAGTCATTACCTATCTATCAATCAATCCCAATCATCCTCATCATCCTCACCCCCTCGTCTCCTCATCGTCTTTCCCGTCCGTATAGTTTTCCTTTTGCCCGTTCTCTCATTATCTTCATCATCATCCCTATCATCATCGTCGTAATCGTCGGCATTATCCCCATACAACACCGCATTCTTCAGCAACCCCGTCTGAACAAGTCTATATTCCAACATACTTGTCTTGAAATCTTCACCGGTGGTCTTTTCTGAGCCTTTCTTGCCCATTAAAGCATTCATATCAATCAGCCCTTCAAAGCCCGTTATTCTCTCCACAATAGCTCCATCGATAAATCCAAGCACACATGGAAGAACTCGTATTTTCAACTTCTCAACGATAAACGGTACGTTCCGCACATCGACTCGAGCGAAGCGTGCGTCATCTTTTCCCCGCTTATTATGAGCTTCTGAGAGGGTTGTAAGGTGTTTATCCATTATGCTGCAACGGGCGAAGTCAGGGTGGAAGAAGTGAATCACGCAGCGGTGTATTTGCGTGGAGAAATCTAGGAGTGATTGGTCGTTTGGGAGTGTGGGATAGAGAGAGTTATTGAGCATGGTCGTTACAACTGCATCTGTTCCTGTAGATAGCGAAGTTGCTTCTGACTTTTCGGCATCGTGTGTAGTATTATTGGATTGTTGGGTGTTGGATTTCGTGTCTGAGAGTTCGGACTGCAGCTGTTTTATGCGATTGGCGCGGTATTTGGGGTCATCTTCCTCGGCCTCCAGGGCAGCGAGGAGATCTTCTTCGTCCTCCTCTTCTTCATCCCTTTTCTGGCGTTGTTCGTCGGCCATGTTTGTTGTATATCTTGAATCAATGGCGGTTGAAGTTGAAGTTGAGAAGACTTTGGTGAAGCGGGTTCAAATTTGGGGATCCAACCAATGGTGGTGGGATTAATGTGAAAATCCACCCCGCGAAAATCATCCACTTTATCAATATTCGCTTTCGTCAAATCTCAACGGTACCTTCATGGCTGAATAGTCGCTTCCAGTACAATATCTCTGTAATCAAAGAGATCACAGTCGATTTTACGTTGTTTCCCTGAAACATGATCTGCGGGGTATTCCGAGATGATCATCACATTGATCTGAGGGGCTCGTTTTCAAAAGGGCCTCAAACAGCCTATTAATAAATTGATCGGAGTTAGAGACACTGGCACCCTTGAAAAAAATCCTTGAATAGATCCATCTCAGGATGCTCATATAGGATTTTGATCGACGACCCGCAATTAGTTAAATAGTAGTTTATATCAACGTCTGTAGCGGCTATTGTTCAATATAATGCCCTGCTTATTCGATGAGCATGGGAGATAACACACTTGAAGCCTACAAACAGCCAGGGCGTATTGATGATCACTTTGCAAAATGTCGAGTAGGAAATATATATATTTAATATAGGCAAAGGTCGTAATGGTCATTGAACTATGTACACCCAATCGGTCACATATAACCAATATGGATCATCTATCCCTGAATCACAGCCTTGAGCATGGCAACGGTACCAGCAAGGGTTTCTTCACCGCTTGGAATGATCTGGTCGGCGGGGAGAACGAATCCGCGGGCGCCAGTGTCACGGAGCTCAGCGGTCAAAGACAACTTCACCTTGAGAACTTCGAGAGCATAGTCAACGCTGTCTCCGTTAACTTGGTAGATGGTGTTGCAGATGGGCCCGGTCTTGTATGGAGTTCCATGCACCGCCTTCAATGCCTGGGCAAAAATCCTGGAAAGTTCCTGGTGTCGAGCATCGGTTGGTGGGCGAGCAGTGCAAGAGTATCCATATGCTATGAGTAATTATCAGTTGATCGTGGCTCTTTGATAGTCCTTAATGATTATAGTGCAGCATGGACTTACGTGACATGAAGAGCTGGCCGTACGAGTGCCAGTCAACGAACATGGCGATGCCCTTGTTAGCCGCAATCTTCTTCATGTTGGCGATGTGAACCTTGATCTCTGTTCCATCACCAGGTTGAGCACCTGCCAAGACGATGAGTTAGTATGAAACTTTAGACAGAACAGGCAATAGTTAGGGCGTGGTACCTCTGTAAGTATCGGAGCAAGGGTTGGAAGAAGATCCAGGCCCAACCCACTGGTATGGGTAATTGCGGTTGAGATCACGTCCAGGGCATCTAGCATTGGGGTTTGGCTGACGGTTCTTGCGCCACAAGCGGTTGCTAGTTTGAGTGAAGGCAAACCCTGGTTAAATTTCATTAGCAAGGGTTATTTTGTGAGGAATGCACCATATTTGAGGAAGGGCATACCATCTGGGTTAACAATTGGGAAGATCCAGATATCGAAATTGTCGACAATGGAGGTAATGTCAGCGTTCTTGTTGTATTGGGAGAGGAAAGACCAAGCCATGTATTCGGTGACCTGTTATGGAATTGTGAGCCAAAGGACATTATTAGGAATATATTAGATTATCCGGGTTCAATTACCATGGTAGTGATCCATTCGCGAGCATGAATGGTTCCATGGAAAATAATAGCGGGCTTGGAGTTCTTTCCGCCGCTCCCCCAAATGTGAAGGGCTGGAATGGTGCGGCCCTCGTGACTCTTTCCGGCATCAACGTACTCAGAACGAGTGCGGAAAAGACCCTGAAGATCTTGCAGGTAGGAAAGATGATCCTGGTAGCTATGGTACGACTTGAACCAGTTGATGTCAGGAGCATAGCCAGCTAATTTATGCACATGTCAGATCTACGAGTTTGAGATATAAATGCAATCAGATAAGATCAATATGAACTTACCGCTGTATGCCTCGAAGGAAGTCTCGTTTCTAATAGACAATCCGAGATCCTCATGCATCATCTCGATGTTCATTCCAGAAATACGCTCCATGAAGGAGGAGATCTGGCTTGGTGGAACCACGATATCCGCATTCTGACCCTCTGACTTGGGGTATTTCCAGGTGTCAAGGTTCAGGTCGGTAATGATCCTCTGCACCTCTTTGACATTGTCCTTCTGGGTAGGGACACGGATGACCTTGTATCCAGAATAATCAAAGGGGGCAACTACAGCAGCAGTGACCACATTGGCTGCAAGCAGCGCAAGAGACAAAACTGAGCGCATCTTGGAAGATTTCCACCGCAAAATGAGGGATCAGCCTGTTACCAAAGCAAACTGGGTTGAAGATCTCGGGAGATTGACATCCTCTGGGCCATCCTTATATATCCCGGTGTTTTATCTTGTTTCTTTTTACTTCATCAAAGCATCAGGAGATTTCCGAAGATAACCCACTCCCGCAATTTATTTAGTATACTGCGCCGGCTTTCTTGTTCCTCTGAGTATACCGAGAAAGTATAAATACCAAGTGCCTGATGGGGCTGCGTTGGGTTGCATTGTTAGGGGTCCTGTGCAGAAACTGGGGTAAAATGTGGACAAGAGGCAAGTTCGAGAGGGCATGCAAGTCTTGGTGCAGTATCATTTGCGGGGTATGGATAGCCATCTTTATAGCAAAAGCTATCTTTATTGGCCATTCACATAGGTCACCGTCCTCGTCATCATTTCAGGAATATTCATATGGCTAGCAAGGGCAAGTGGCGGTAAATTTGGATACCTTGTCCAGGAGTATATTTAAAGAACTGAGAATGAACTAGGGTTGCTATGTCTTGGAAGCAATTGGTCGTTTGACACGGCTCAAGCGAGTTCCCCATGACGATGGTGCGGCTACCAGGGGGCCAGGAGTAATCACAGTTCAGAGTTGTAAACTAGTTGGTCAGTGAAACTATTTGAGTTAGTCCGGCAGCCTGATCTTAGTGGCCGATCCTGTAATATCCTTCTAGCAAAAATAGTTGATGCGAACCACGGCGAAGAATGTTCCGTCTGTCTTGGAAGCGAAAGGAATGCAGTTCGTCTGGAAGGCTCTCAACCGTCAACCCCCTGTTTGATCCATGGATTGATTGATATCAGGTGACGTGCGGACAGACTGGGCACGTGATGATTACGTAACTAGTTAATCAGCATCATGATCGATGATTAAGACTTTCGGCTCCAAGAATTTCAGAGCAACAATCCTCAACATACTCCGTACCAAGAACTAATAATGTGCTGCACACCCTGTTGTCTTCTGCGGGTCCAACTTGGGCCAAGCACTTCCTGGTGGGCGAATATGCGGGGAGACGGCTGGCAGCCACACTAAACAGGTACGAGGACGGGATCCGTGGGCCATGTTAAGACTGCATGTCACTTCCTTGCATGTGATAGTTAAGTTTTATCTCAGAGAAACAAGGCAAATCCTTGTCTCTTTGGCCAAAATTCATATATACCCCATAGGATGCCGAATGTGTTGGAATAATAACCGATGGACGCACTTCGCATACGTTACCAGTGGCTATATCTCAACCAGTCCTTAGTTTGCCTGGAACCTCTCATTATTAGTCGTTTGTTATTTGACCAAGGCAAGATCTAGACCTTATTGAAGCTAGAGGGAAAAAAAAGGCTGTTTATTGCTGTCACGACAGATTTTACAGTTTAATCTGCGTGGGATAGACTAGCATACAACGTGCTCCTTCGTTGGCTTCGTCTACTTGAGACATTTAGCCGTGAGTGCACCTTTTTGTCCGCTACCTTTCTCGCGGAGGGAGCCTCCGGCGACCTGACCAGCCATGTCTGTGGAGATGAGTCGAAATAGTGGTGGCAGATGCTATCTTCATATCCAGGATGGCATGTCACGTCGTTAGCTCCGTGACAAAAGAAGAATGGGGTTTAAACCTGTTTGCAAACATTTTTTTTTTTTTTTTTTTTTTTTTTTTTAGATCATCGTCTAGAAAAAGTATATGCCTGACGAAATGACACTAATAAGGCTTATATCGATAATATCTTGATCTGGGCTGCGGTTCCAGAGGTAAGCTTTAAGCTCAACTTACGGCCCAGCAAAAGGATTCACATGGTTCGAATTAGAGCGATTAGAGGACAATACTTAGTGGCACTATCATTCGACCAGTATGCTGTGTAGTGGGAATCGTTATGGCCAATTTTTGCGTATATCTATGCCAGCACTTTCTATTAACATAGACAGGCCCACCTACCCAACACGCCTGGCAACTGCGGCAATATGATCTGAGGCACCAAGAACATGGGGATCCATTGAATATCTAGCCAGAACATCCACCCAAGCTTCATACGTCTCTGCGTCATTCAGATTAATAGTTGCTCCTAAGCCACCCCCTAAAAACCCTTCACATCCAACCAGCCTTTCAAGACGAATATTTGCCAGCCCGTTGCGTTGCAGCTTGTCAAAAAGCCCCCGTATGTCACCAACATCGATATGGTGTGACACGATATTGCTCGGATTGCGAGTGTATTTTCCAGTCGACAGATACTGAGCGTAAAAGTCCGATTCGTCACATAGACGCCTGGGATCCCTTTGAGCAATATCTCGCAAGTGTGCGTATTTTGTGACAAATGCGGTTATGACGAATCCTTCCGGTTTGGTCATTAAACTGCACGATTCCAGCACAGCTAGCCTCTCACATTCTTCAAGGAGATGGTACATTGGCCCCATGCAAAGGACAAGGTCATAGTGACCCTTTCGAAAGAGAATCTCGTTATTTCTCACATGTCGGGCGTCTGCTTGGACAATATTTTCAAGAATCGCACCACTGTCGCCAGCGAACTTGGCTGCATAATCCAGCTCTGACTGTGAGATATCTGAGAGAGTCACGATATGCCCCAGTTTAGCCAGTTCGACCGCTAATACGGGTCAGTAAATGGGTCTGCCATTCGCTGGAGAAATGAAAAAGAAAAGGAGCCAAACCGTATCTGCCCGTCCCGCCACCAAGGTCAAGAATGCGGATCGGCTTGCCAGAGCTGGTTGCAAGCTCCAGAAGACACTGCTTTATTACTCTCATTGTTATGGAGTACTCTATACAGGAGGCCATGAGCCTGTTGTGCTCAAGAATGGCATTCTGGTCGTACCATTTGCCAACCACGGAAGTGTCAGTCATGCCTGCTTGATTCTGGTCCATGCAACAAGAAATCAGAGTATTCTCATGGAGAAATTAACGTAAGGAAGCCTTTATGCAGGACCATGCAGGACACATGTTCTCATTATATATACTTATATAAGTACGAGAAACTCCTCACCCGGGGTTCCCGGTCTCACTGCAGCAGGGCGCTGGCTATCCCGGCATTCAGCCGATCAATCCTGAGGTATCGAGGATAGAAAAATGGCTCAAAATGAGTACGTTCTTCCCGTCTGGAATTCCTAGCGGTGGGCTTCCATGTGAGCTTGGATAATTTTGACTATTCGCACAGAAGCAGGGCACAGGGTTTGCCAGGGGTATTAATGTGGCCTTTTTCCGTCAGTTAAGGCTCAACTAACGGTTTCCTGAGGATTCAAAACGGTCCCAGGTGGTTAAAGACTAGTTAACTAACTATGCTAAGACAAGGGTCACGCAACTTGATCGATGCGAAATTGATCACTGATGAAATATCTATTCCATCAGGGCAGCTGTTCTGGTCTTTTTTATATAGTTCAATCGATGTAAGAAGAATCAGGCCCGGACTTAATACGATAGCGGGAATGTTTACCGAACAAACATGGGTCACCCTTTGACAGCCCATTCGCTAAGAAGGTGGAAAGACTTAAGTAAGGTATGAGTCCTCACCTCATACGATGGCAATGAAGGGATCCTCCGCGCGAACACGGCTGACCACCTTGGGCTCGGGTGAACAGGAAGATGATTCTTCATTCCATCTCCAAACACCATTCAAAGGCTCTATTAGGTACCTGAATACCATGGGCTTAGGCTCGTCGATGCCCGAAGGGCCATAAAACCCTCCGAATAGCCATCTCGGAAAGTTCTTTTCGTATGGTCAGCTCCATCATCCTGCGGCCCGCTTCGTACACCGAGTAATTCGTTACTATTTATAACAGGTAGCCTCGGGTCGGGAAAGGTGGCGGCTTCGGGGCTTTCTTTCCAGAAGAATTTATCTCCAAACCCGAACCATTCATTTACATCGCCATGACATCTTCAAGAAATCACAACTGGACTCTTCTTCGTTGCTGTCTGGTGTAACGCGGACCCGAGTGAATATCGAGCTATCAAGCGCATGTTGCCCCACCGAACTATGCCGACTCGAACAAACACTAACTAGTTATTCTCCCAGCAGCCTTGTTAGATTATAAGCCCGAGGAAGGCCGTGACACTGCCATAAGACGTTAACCATGCCAGGAGTTGACGTGACAGCCGACATAGAAACACTCCATTTGCCTCGAATACTCTGTCTTCATGGGGGTGGTTCAAATGCGAGAATCTTCTATACCCAATGCCGTGTTATGAGGGCTCACCTCAAGTCCACGTTCAGGCTATGCTTTGTTGATGCGCCATTCTCCAGCCCTGCAGGACCGGGTATCGAGTCAGTATACGAAGACTATGCGCCATTCTACTGCTGGCATAACTGGAAGCCTGGTGTCACGGAGGACTTTGGCGGACAGACATTGAACTACGTGGAGAAGATTCTTCGAGAAGCCATGGCTGAGGACGATGCCAAAGGAGCAACCGGCAAATGGGTCGGCATATTGGGGTTCAGTCAAGGCGCAAAGACGAGTGCGAGCATTCTGATGAAGCAGCAAGTCCAGACGGAGTTAAACATACGGGATGAGAATTCATTCGACTTCAAATTCGGCGTTATAATGAACGGACGGGGCCCTTTACTAGAACTGGGTCTCGACTATGGAAGCGACAGTAGTGCCCCTGGTAGCTCAGCTTCTTCCGCTACTGAACAATCAGAAGATATCAAGTCTGCTAGTGGACTCCTACACATACCCACAATACACGTTCATGGGCGGCGAGACCCAGGCCTTTATCTTCATCGGCACCTGCGTGATTCGTCCTTTGTGAAGAGTACTACTCGCCTCGTGGAATGGGATGGTGACCACCGATTACCCATTAAATTTAACGACGTCGACGCACTTGTATCGCAGATTCATGCGGTAGCTAAGGAGACTGGTGCTCTTTGAGCTATGCAAGCCCTTGATGTATTTGATACCTGTCAATCTTGGAGGAAACTTGATTGTTTTGTCTTCTGTCATTCTTGAATTTTTCGACTTGTTGGTCGCTTTGTATAGAAAAGGTCTGGGGTTTAATAACGAAGCAGTGGTAGAAATATTATAGAGAACGGTCTTCAACGTCTAGGATGCATCGCTTGATCAGCGCTATCAAACTCTCCATAAAACCAGAAAGGGTGGAGGGAAATGGGTATCATTTGGAATAGTAAAGGAAGGATTAACGTGCAAAAGAAGGTAGAAATTGTACAAGGGAATGGATGGGGTAGGGTAATACATCAGGAGTAAGAAGACTGCCATCGGCCAGCATAGAACGCGACATATATCTCCACGGTCATCAGTTATTGCTTTGGTGTCTCTTCATCTAATTTTCTCTTCTTATTACGATGCTGTTCGGAGCTTGACTGAGATGCTGGCTGAGAATCGGAGGGTATGGAGCTGACACTCATTTCGCTAAGTATTTGAGCTGAAGGACTGCCATCACTCGTTGATTGAAACTGGGGTTTTATCTCCTCAATCTTCTCAATAGCGAGTTTTACGTCTGCAGAAAGGTTGGCAAAAGTGTCGACAGTGCTGTTTTCTAACTCGTCTATCTTTGCCTGAACTGCATCCACTCTTCCTGTTATTTCGGCCCTTTCAGAACGGAGGAATGTGATGAGAGATTCATCGGCTTTCTTTAATTTTGCTAGTCCTTCTTCTAAAGAAGTGATCCTCGTTCCCTGGGAAGTGATGTGTGCAAGGTGGTCATTCGCAACGTTGAATAGGCGTTCAATTTCTGCTTGAGCCTTACTTGCATAAGGGTACATCTCTCGCATGCGTAATACTACTTGGTGGATAACTGGTTCGGTGACGAGTTGGCCATATCGAGTTTCCAAGGAGTTAAGAGCTGTATGAGTACCAGATAGGCGACCGTAAAGTGTGTTTACATGGTCAGCTAATTGACCATGTAGCTGGGTGTATTTCTGCTCTATGGACTGAAAGTCAACGCTTTTGGTATGAGAGGCTGTTTCCTTAACACCATCCACAGCTTTTGACAGTGTTTCCAGTTTGCCCTCCTGAGCCTTTTGAAAACTGTTTAGTTGTTGCGATAAGAGACGTAAATCTTCTTTGAGATTCTCTTGGGTCTTGTCAGGGGGTAATTGTGAAGGGATTTTAGAATATTCTGGTGGCTGTTCAATATGGAGTTGAATAGCTTTAGAACTTTCGTCGACCTGGGTTTGGAGAGATGGTATCATCTCCTTGACCGTGCTCTCCATGGTACTTTCCAGGTTAGACAACTGCGATTCAATTTTGTCAATTTTTTGTGCGCTCGCAGCCAATGTACTTGTCAATGCACTTGTCTGCTCTGACAGCGGTCTCAAAGCAGACTGGAGACGCTCTTCAGACTTTCTGGCGTCATTTACTTGAGCGGCCTTGGTTGCAGCCAGACTTGTCATCGTATCCTTGACCCGCTTGTCTATAGATTGCAGAATGTCGTCCCTATTTTTGTTTGCACTTTCGTAGGTGGATTTCAAAGTTTCAAAACCCGATGAAAGTATTGAAAGTCTCGAGTCAATCTCATCTTTGTTTATCTGGGGCTTATTGACTGGAGAGGTATCTGTATTGTTCCGTTTCATCGTCTTTGATAGAGAGTCAACATCATCCCTAAGAGTATCAAGCCTTTTACAGACATCATTAATGCGTGAAGACAAGTCTGCGATACTTGATCTATACTTATCACTTTGACGCCACAGATCATTTTGCTCCCGCTCTAGCTTGTCTACCATATGGTCTGATTGTGCCTCTTGATTTGGAGTTGAATGGATCGCATGTGCTAGGGAAAGAATGATCTTCTCTTTATTTGTGTTGTGGGTATCAACCAGATCATCAAGCATTTTCAGCTCTTTGTCACTCTCTTCCCTGGCTAACTTCAGTCCTTGGATATAAGACGGATAGACGGATGCTCTTTCCTTGGCTATCTTGAGGCTCTGTTCTTCCGCTTGACGTTTTTTTATAATACGCTTCCTTGCAAGATTGATGTGGGTGAGCTCAGTTATTTCCGCAGTAAGTTGGTTAAGGATGTCTACGGTTCCCTGTACGTCTGGAGTCCTATTCCGGGGGGCACGGCGAGGGTCTCGAGATGGATCGAAACGAGGTCCAGTGGGGACGATAAGGTTGGGATTAGGTCTGTCCATCTTTATAGGTGGTGCAAACGGGAGTTCAAGCGTGATGGACTCAATTCTAGATATAAATCAATTAGTAACTATACAACTAATAATAATAGATTATTGACGATAACAGCACTTACTAAGCTCAGACCCAACGTGTACTCTGTGTGTGGAACTATTAAAGAAAAGAAATAAGACGGGAAACAATTAAAAGCTGTAAATATAACTACAGTTCCAAACTTGCTGTATAAAGTGAATAAATAAACATTCACTTCACCTTCAACCTCAGTTCAGAGAGTAAAAAGAGTATAAGGGACAAAACAAAGGAATGGAATGAACCAGGGGTTCTAAAAGGAGTGGTGAGCATCAGTCTCTGGCAGATATACCGTTTTCAGCATAGAATATTGACTCGAAAATATTAGTTAGTAGTTAGATTTTTTTTTCTTTTTTGGCTTTTAGTTAGTTAAGCTTATCGCGACGTTAACTAGGCGCGTCTGTTATGATAAGACACGCTCCTCGGTGGTTTCCGGGGCTACGCCCACACATTTCCATATGATGCTAGTCCAGGTAAACTTCTTTGACAAAGCGCAACATGATGCTGCATTAGTTAAAGATATCGAGTCGTACGGTGATGCAATAAATGGACGATAGAACGATTATCAAAGAGACAAAGCGGAGAGTAAATACTGACCAATTAAAAAATGGAAAATTAAAAATAAAAATATTCACGGCAAAACTAAAATCCGAAGCAATGATTACATAATATATTATCTTGGCGTTCGTGGATGTTGGTTTGAGCTTTTGGACGACGACGGAGGCTGCAAATACATAGATACACATCAACAGACAGGCAGCTTGCTGGATAGCAGGATTCAGGAAGTCACAAAGTGAGGGTTTGCGACAAGTTATACTCGCAGCAATGGCGGCTGTAAGCTTCTGGCTCTTCCAAGTCCAAGCTGTCATGAGAAACACTACTGACAATTCCTACGCAGCCTATCACGACCGTCTCTGAAAGCAGAGACCTCCGGGGCCTCAATTTGGTAGCAGCGCATTCGCATATCAGAGGGCTTGGTGTCGACCCAGATACTCTCCAGACTCGTGCCGCGTCGCAGGGACTCGTTGGCCAGCAGAAAGCGCGCAAGGCCGCCGCCGTCATACTGCAGATGGTCAAGGAGGGCAAGATTGCAGGACGTGCGGTGCTGGTTGCGGGACCACCTAGCACTGGAAAGACCGCCATTGCCATGGGAATGGCACAGTCGTTGGGCCCAGATGTTCCGTTTACGATGCTTGCTTCTTCCGAAATCTTCTCTTTGGAGCTGTCCAAGACCGAAGCTCTTACCCAGGCGTTCCGTAAATCGATCGGTGTGCGGATAAAGGAGGAGAGCGAGATCATTGAGGGAGAAGTCGTCGAGATCCAAATTGATCGGAGTGTTACAGGGGTAAGCTTTGCTGCTACTTTTCTTCTCGTGTTCGACTGAGACGTTGCATAAGAGATTTTACTGATTCACGTTGATAGGGTAACAAACAAGGAAAATTGACTATTAAAACTACAGATATGGAAACTGTTTATGACATGGGAACGAAAATGATTGACTCCATGACCAAGGAGCGCGTAATGGCCGGAGACGTCATCTCTATCGACAAGGCGGCTGGGAAGATAACCAAGCTGGGCCGATCCTTCGCCAGGTCGCGAGATTATGATGCTATGGGTCCTGACACCAAGTTCGTTCAGTGCCCTGAAGGTGAACTCCAGGTCCGGAAGGAGGTCGTTCACACTGTCAGCCTTCATGAAATCGACGTGATAAATTCGAGAAGCCAGGGATTCCTAGCTCTTTTCTCCGGAGATACCGGCGAGATTCGAAGCGAAGTCCGTGACCAGATTAACTCCAAGGTCGGTGAATGGAAGGAGGAAGGGAAAGCAGAGATTATTCCTGGTGTTCTCTTCATCGACGAAGTGCACATGCTTGACATTGAGTGCTTCTCATACATCAACCGCGCGCTAGAGGCTGAGCTAGCACCGATTGTGATCATGGCAAGCAACAGAGGCAATACCAGGATACGAGGCACAACATACCAGTCCCCTCATGGCTTGCCATTGGACTTCCTTGACAGAGTCGTCATTGTTAGCACTCAACCATATGGGAAGGAAGATATACAACAGATCCTTGCCATCCGTGCGCAGGAAGAGGAGATTGACCTCAGTCCTGATGCACTTGCTCTTTTGACTAAGATCGGACAGGAATCCGGCCTTCGCTACGCCAGCAACATCATCGCAACATCAACCCTTCTTAGCCAGAAGCGGAAATCTAAAGAAGTCGGAATCGAAGATATCCAACGCAGCTATAGTCTCTTCTACGACCCTGTACGAAGTGTCAAGTTTGTCAACGAGTTCGAACAACGATTCATCAGTGACTCCGGAAACGTCAACTTTTCAACGGCTGCCGCCAACGGTGGTGATCCCATGGAAGTATCGTGATCGAACTACTGGAGCTTGCTTGGACCCTTCATTTAATGACTGTACTGTACGAGTTTTGGCGCGTTGGGGCTTTTGCAGGGGAAACTAAAAACTTCTTTTCCATAATGGGCTGTGTTTGTGCAATACGAAATAGGGGTGTCGATGCTTCTCCCCTGTTTTCAGGAGGGATTTTAGGTGGTAATATCTACATTTCATCGTAATAGAATCAAAGCCCGTTTATATTTTTATTTCGCCTGCGCTTTGGTATATCCGCAAAAATCAAACAACTACTTATTGTACACAAAGACGAAAAAGAAACACCCCCGTTACCGTCTAGCTAGACATCATGAGAATGGATCCCCTGGGTTCCAGGGACCTGAGCTTCCAACGACTCTAAACTCCGCTCCACCTTGTGAGAAATATCCGGCACCACTCCATGACTGCATAGTTGGCTTATCGTAGGGGCCATGTATTATCCCGCCATCTCGAGAATCCGACCAGCGGAACTCCCACATCTCACTATTCTCTCCATCTCCACCATCGTCAACTGTTGTCTCGGGGCCAGGAGGGTCTACCCACTGCTCTCCTGTTTCCCGTTGATACATGCGAGTGAGAAGCTCGCGCTCCGTATCGTAGATATCTGTCTGGCCACGACTTAGCAGCATATCAGCAGCTTCAGTAATTTCTTCCACAGCCCGCTTCTTCTCTGTTTCCTTTGGGTCTTCCTCCTGCATTTCCACATCCTCAGTTGCCCCATTGGCCCTTTTTTGATTCTTTTTGCTCTTATTCTGCCATTTAGGCCGGTGCTTTAGCCCTTTGCCCAGCCTTGCTAGAGCTTCGATAATAGTCTCTCCTCGATCAAGATGTTGTATCAATGTCTTCAAGACATCACTAGTCAGCACCTTGTCGGCAACAAGAGATTGCTGGCGTCTTTCCTCCTCTCTTTTCTCCGCCGCCTCTTTCGCCTTTCGCATATCTTTCTTCGATACACCTTCTAACCATGAATCGTGAACAGCGTCGGGGTCCATTGCTTTTCGAACGTAATTCCCGGCGTCATCGAAGCGGCCTTCCTCTTGCTCAGCCCGCATGTTGAAGGCATCGAGGAGAGGTGCATGCTGCTTCTTGCTCCCAGCTCCAAGCTCCTTGTCCACGTCTGTTGGCAGGGCAGCGCGGACATCGTCGCCAACATCACTCCCACTATCATCATCCTCCTCCTCATCATCATCAATAGCTCTTCCTTTTCCTATTCCGCCGGCTGATCGGGTATCTAGGGTAACCTTCCCTCCAGCTCTCGACGAATTAACCTGTCCCTCTATCTCATCCGTTTCCAGGAACCGAACCTGCTTCTTATGCTTCACTCCGCCTGTCTCATCTTCATCATCGTTTTCTGCAAAGTCTTCTTCAAGTTCGGCAAACATATCGTCGTCGTCATCAGCACGATTCTCCCGTTTTTTAGCCTTCGACTTTGCTTCAGCGCGGGCGTCGAATCCTTCATTCTCGCTGTCCGACTCGAACCCTTCCACTTTTACAGCATTTCGACGAACTTTTTGGCCCCTATGGCCAAACTCGTCCGCATCCAAAACAGCATCGTCCTCCAGGGCATCTGGTGCGAGCGCAGAGGGGTTTCGGACGTCAAATCGCGGCTTCTTGGACGAGGATTGCTCTGCGCCGTCCGAGTCGTCCTCCTCGCCTCCTCGTTTCTGTCTCGTATATGAGGACGACATATCCTGCGCGCGGTATAAGTAAACAGTGGTCAGCAGCGAGCTCGAGTACTGCTTGTGCACACGCCGTAGAAAAGGCACCCGGACAGCTTCACGGCCGCTGGCCCTTATTAGAGAGTAAAACAGGAAGACGAAGTTGCTTGTTTGCACTGTTTGTCTTCTTTGCGTCACTCCCACCAGAGTTCAAAGCTACCAGTGTTGGCTATTAATCAACATCAACATCTGCCACCCAAGGCTCTCACGACCAGGACCTCTCGTTACGAGCACTTGGACGGCCTATTCCATGTTGACATACTCCTAGCTGGCCTTAACTATCTCATATCATATTTTGTATTTTGTCCTGTCCCTCACCTACGCTGCCTGGGCTCCGCTAGTACATGCACAATTTCACTGCCTGCCTCTCTCTTACATTTCTAGAAGCATACTCCCAGCAAGTGATAGCCGGACAACAGGCTTTATCTTCATAATGGTGAGAGATTCTCAAGTGTTCTGCTAAGGTATTGGTCTGTTGGCTAAAAGGTGTCGCCCTCCCAGGCTGGCTACTATAATGACGACCCTATGGATGGGATCCTGCATCCCTCCATGATGCGCCATTCAACACATTCCTCTCGACGATTTGATGAATATTATCGATGCTACCCAGTAGCTATGCTACCGGGCCCAGAGCGTGAGAACGTGAACCATGGAGGCAAGGTGATCATGCCGCCGAGCGCTCTGGATAAGCTCACTCGATTGCACATCACTTACCCCATGCTTTTCGAGCTACATAATGGCGCAAAGCAACAGATGACTCATGCTGGAGTACTGGAATTCATTGCTGAGGAGGGTAAAATATACTTGCCATTTTGGGTATGTGAAACAGATATGTAGTCTCTGTGGAGATGGTCCGTGGCTAATGGCACCGGTGAAAACAGATTATGCAAACGCTTCTCCTAGAACCTGGGGACCTGGTACAGATAAAATCTACAGATCTTCCTCCAGGGTCTAAAATCAAGCTCCAGGCCCAGTCAACATCTTTTCTCGATATTAGTGACCCTAAAGCTGTGCTCGAGAACGCCTTTCGGAACTTCTCTTGCCTTACCAAAGGCGACATCTTCACATTCTCCTACAATGATCAAATATACGAGATGGCCGTTTTGGAGACAAAACCAGAAACCAGTCAGAACGCTATTTCGGTGCTAGAGACCGACTTAGAGGTCGATTTTGCTCCCCCAGTGGGATACGAGGAGCCAACCCGATTGAGCGGGACAAGTACGCCAGCCAGTGGTGCTGCTGGCTCCTTGCCTGCAGGCGGAACCCTTCATTCCCATGGAACAATGGCGCAATCCATCAATTATGCCGCGATAGCCCCTGGGTCAAACGATGCTGCGAGAGCAGCAAACGCAGCCTCCTCTAATTTCCACGGCAGTGGTCAACGACTTAACATGAAGAAGGGAAGTAAATCTTCTACACCCAAATCCGCAACCCCTGCATCTGGGAAATCCAGCAACCCACCGCCTGCACCTCCCACTCGAAGATCAAACGGCCCTCAGCCACTGAGGCTACCACCCGGAAAACTTTTCTTTGGATATGCAGTTACCCCGGTTAAAAAGAAGGATTCAAGTGATGAAAGTCCGGAATCGGGCGCACAGCCCAAGTTCTTGGGCACAGGCCAGACTCTCCGAGCAAAGAAGAAAGGATCAGGGCTGGCTGGGCAGGCCACTCCAGCCTCTGGCAGTGACACAGAGAAGAAAGATAAAGGCCGGACATTGGGTGGAAAGTCAAGCCGCCCGAAGTAAAACCGGGAAGAAGAAAAAAAAAGGAAAAGATATCAGGGGCCACTCTGATTTGAACTTGCCTGTACCCTTATCCATTGAACATGCTTTTCCCCTTACCCTTTGTTCTCCCTCATGAGCCATGGCGTTTCTTCGCTGTCGTGTGTCAATAATATCCCTTGCTGCACATACCGTCTCGTTTGCATCGCCGTTTCCAACTGTAGATCAGTGAACGCTTGATTACCACCGGCAGTGATGCCTTTTTAGCCGTGTTCTCGAGGGCCCTCTACCCCGAATTACGCAGTAGGTACTATATATTAGCCGGCCCCTGGCCCGCAGTTAGCCCAGCCGGTGGTGTCCACCGTTGTTTCTTCGTATAGTTTGAGAAGATTATAGACTGCAATTAAGACTCAAGACTCGATAAAATATAAGGGATAAGAGAGAGCAATCCTACGACTACCCAGCCCATTCGAGATGGCCTCGCCCTTGGAAAAACTGCCCTCGTTGATAGATCCCTCCTTTGTCAAAATCGGTCCTTCAATCTGGCTTCGTGATGGGGCCAGCAGTAACACTACTGAACACAGCAGCGCAGCCATCACAACTTCGCCTCGCCTTACAATCGTGGTTCTATTCTGGATGGACGCACAGCTCCGTTATGCAAGCAAATATATCTCCGAATATACCAAACTCGCGCCCCGTGCACGGATTTTATTTGTCCTCACGTCTTCCTCCGACCTATTCCTGAACACCTCCGAGGCTTCTCAAACACGACGAGTTCAGCCAGCAGTGGATGTGTTGCTGTCTTCAACGGCCTCTGCCTCGTCCCCTGGGCTCCCTTCCGATGATCGGCTACATATCCATCTTTTCTCGAACGGTGGTTGTGTGACTCTCCGAAGCATCGCCGTGGCTTATGAAAAAGCAACGAAAAACCCGCTGCCGCTAAAATCTCTCATAATGGACAGCTGTCCCGGGAAGTCTACCTTGTCTGGAGCCCATAGGGCAGTTTCATACGGACTACCGAAGTCCTTTATCCCTCGCCTCTTCGCGGGAGCGGCTGTCTATATTGCGTTATTATGGGCCTTTGCCTACTGCCGCCTGTTGGGCCTGGAATTACCTACTGAGCTCGCGTGGAACGCGTCAATTGATACCAAACTTATCGATAGCCGGGCTGAACGGTGCTATATATACTCTGAGACGGACGACTTGATCTCCTGGAGAGATGTTGAGGAACACTCCTTGCAAGCAGAGGATAAGGGCTTCCATGTATCAAGAGAGAAGTTCCAGGGATCACCTCACGTTGGGCACATGAGACTTGATCCGTTACGTTATTGGGATATAGTCTCATACTATTTGAAAATCGCAGTTAAATAGATATACGATCGTCGCTAATATATTGGGAACATTGACCATGTTGGATAGATACAATAGAGAGGCCAATAGACAGAACACAACCAAATTTGCAGCTAGAAGCTACAAAACCCACAAGTATCAGGCTGTCACATCTGCGTAACTACTGTCACCGACGAAAACATCAAAATCATGGATCGAAGCCCACGAGAAAATAAGTTCACATTGTCACAGAATCCACCACTAAATTTCCGAGTGCCCGAGTATCTGCTCAAACGATTATGTCTTCATCGTCATCGTAGTTGAAGAATAACACTCGATTTGGGGGTAGAGGCATGGAGAGAAGGCCTTCGCCTGGCACGTGTGGAGTTTCAGAAGGAAAGGCAGTAGCTGTAGACTTCCCAGTCGCGGCACTCTCGTGTTGAGGACCTTCATTATCAGCAGAGGCGGCGGCCGAAAACATATCAGCCATGGAGATGACTTCCCCCGCTTTTGCTTCCTCCTTGATAACAGGATTCTCGTGTTTTACCTCGCTCATTTCGTGCTTAACAAGTGGCGTAGTGACGTTCTCCTCATCATCGTCCAGGATTATTGGATCATCTTTGTTGCTGTCCATTTTCAATTCCCGCTTCTTGGTGGGTGTATCAATATTAGAATTGCCGTAGTTTGGTTTTTTAGCGGATCCTGACTTGGTTATGGCACCTCTGCCGCTGCGGGGGGTCGATGAGGCGACATTCCTCCGGCGACTGGGCGTTGACGGGACTGTGCCGCTTGCGGAACCACGCATCTTATTCGCATCTTGCCGAAACCTCCTGAACTGCCCGTGGATTGCATCATATGTTGCTCCCTGACCGAAGTATACCGCCATCGTGCGGTAGTCAGGCTATATAACCATTATTAGCCTGGAATTTCGCTGCATTCAAGATAGAAATGAGATTGATCGGGGACAACGTACGTTAAGATCTGGATGTGCAGCGAGCAGTGCTGCAATCAGTCTCTCAATGCTGGCTTTATCCCAGGTCACCATGGTATACCGAATAGCAGGAGTGTGAGCAACAGTGTGCTGGTGGTGGTTGGCTTCGGGTACACAGTCCTGTAGATGGTTGGTGATAAAGCTGAAAATAAGTAAAGGCCGGTATTTAATTGTGTGGAAAGTCTGCGAACTCACTAGCGTGTTGTAGGGAGCTAGAGAACTAACATAGCCAGTCGTCTCAGGCATACAGAGTCCTGTCATGGAACACCAATTCCAAAGAATATTGGGTCCCTAATAAAAGCAGTCCCCAAACGACAGGGGCCTAGTTTACTTTGACTGTTAGTCATTGGCGTATGCAAATAGCTCGCGAGTAAAGCCAAGGCATTGACTTAATGTATATCCATATCTATCATAAGCCTAGCATGTGGTATATAAAGCTGTAAGGAAGAATGAAAAGTAGAGCTCAATGGGTAATAACACCGATATCCAATTGGTTATACTGCCCTGGAGAAGTATATTCGCGGATATGACACCATAATACAGCTTAAAACGCGACTATTTAGGACTGGAGGTATAACGACAACGGAATGCAACCAAGATCAAGGGTATGAAGTGTAGGCTGGCAGGGAGTTATAGGATATTTCAGATACAGCGATGATCACTATACAGAGGGCTGTATAGGTAAAGGGGATCTCATCTTGGCAGACGTAGCAAGCCCATTCCTCGAGCTAGGCAGACAAACCGCGTGCGGGTTTGCGGGTTGGGTCAAGGCGAGGTGACCCATAGAAGGGATTCATCTACTACGAAAGTAGATACGTGTTATACGCTGTGTCAACTTATTTTGTGGTATTCAAGTGACAGGTAAACAATTGGCCCTTTACATTCTACCATAGACATTCGATTTGAGGTTGGATGTTTATCTCAGAAGTGAGGTTTGGGGTTTATTTAAGGTTTCTGTTGGTGCGCCTAAATGGTTTAAGCTTTCAGCCTCTATCAAAAGTATCTTAAGTGTTCAACTTCTATATTTTGTTTAACTGCTTGCCACTTTTTCTTCTTTCTTTTCTTACTCTATTTAGGATGAATTTAAGCTGTTACTGGCTAAAGGGTATAAACAATTTAAAAGGGTTAATATATTGCACTAATTATACTATCAACTTCAGTAAATATTGGGAAGCCTCTTTACAGAATAAGTAGATGGGAACTAGCAACACTATAACTTGAGGTACTAATATTGCTTATACACTTATCTAACTTATATCTTCCCTTTGAAATTTAAAGAATAAAAACTCACAACTTACAGCCTGTATTGCTCCTAACTTGGTTTCTTTCTTTTAACCGCTTAGTTAGCAACACAAAAGAAGCGTCATCTACCTCTCACTCTAAGCTTGTGTTTACTAGATCGCCCTAGTAACCACACATATAAAACCCCCCTTTCTTCTTCTTCTTCTTCTTCTTTATTTCTTCCTTTCACACTATTCTTCCACTCTCCTTGATATCAAGCTCACAAGAGCCTGATCTTTTCTTCTACCAGCTTCCTCTTCATCCACTACCAACTCCACTCACTATCAACTCTTTTCTCTTCAGCTGGACTTCATTTACACTTCAGATTTGGTCAAACTCGGCTGTAACAAACCGCTTGTTTTGCAGAATCTAGCCTCGACTACTTCTCAAATTTACACCCACAAACCAGCAAGATGCCTGTTCGTTGGACGAGCGAGAATGATCAGATGGTAATACCATTTACATTATATCCTTGACTTTTCTTCTGCATGCCGTTGTTTTCAACCTCACTGGGATCTGTCTTTTAGCAGAATACTGGATCTATATATTGTTCCCCTCTGTTGAGTTGGAAATATGGCTTGACTATTTGATTAGCATACATCGGCCACAATGCTAACCAATTTGTCGCGTAAGCAGCTTCTGATCAAGTTCATTGAGACCCATGACATTAGCGTGGACCCGAAGAAGATCTCTGAAGCATGGCGTAAGTTAGCAATCATACTTCGTATGTCTGTTGAATGAACATCCGTCTAAGGTCGCAAATAGCAGCTGAAAATGAGGACGCCCGTCCTACGCCTCGCGCCATCACTGAGCGAATCCATAAAATTCGCGCACTCGCGAAAGCTACTGCAGCCAAAAATGGCACTTCAGCCCCCACAACCCCTGCTTCTCGCAAGCGCGGACCTAGAGGCTCAAAGTCTAGCACCAAGCGGTCTCGCACTGGAGGCCCGAAGAAAGACACGAGTGGAGAAAATGGTTCCCCTCGCACTCCGACCCCAGCAAACAATGGAGGGCCGGTGAAAAAAGAGACGACTGATGAGAACTTGGTTTCTAATGGGGAGTTGGAAGATATGTTCACGCACCGACCTTTGGGTAAACGCGTGAGAACCAACCCTGCCCTGCCCCTAGGGATGATCAAGTATGAAAGAGATACTGACGAGGAAGATGCAATGAAGTACGAAAGCAGCGTCAGCGAATTCGCTCCCGCTGATGGAGATGACAAAGACGATGACGACTTCATGGATGACCTCATTAAGGATGAAATCGTTTAATCTCGACAACGCACAGTACCGGATGTGATCTTCAGGAAGGAAATAGGGTGCTCCTGAAATGGTCAATTGGTATCATATTCTGGCGAGGCATAGTCGAGGCAACGGTGGTACCATCTTCTAGTTAAATTTTCTTTTCCCTTCTTTTGTTTCTCGACCTCTGGTATTATTGCAATGCAACGTACAGCCGCACTCAGTATTCCACGACAGCGACGCGAGCTTTAGCCAATAGGGGCGTGATTCTTAGTTACCAAGATAAATTCAAACGGCCAGTTTGGCTCTATTTCCGTTTGAACTCATCGGTCCTCGTGATTTCAATCTTGGTAGTAAGCGTGGAAGTTCAATCCAAGGCGAGATATGGTTGATAAATCGATGTACTAGAGTCTCTTGACACTTTCTGGCCAAAGTATGTCCCGCTACTATCCTATGGTGGACAACGTGGTTCCATAGAGGCTGGATATAAAGCCCTTGAGCAGTGGCTATTGATATCTTTCCCTATCGCAGACCATGGGGGCATAATTATTAACAACGCTAAAATGCCACTCGATAGTTTCTCCGTGGTGCTAGAATCTGGGAATAACAAGCTGCCATGGATTTATCGAAAACTTCAGTTGTTGAGCCAGGTATACTTTATGCAGTAATGATCATCATAACAGTGTTATACCCAAGAGCCTTTGCTGAAGTGCTACCTCGAGTGGTTTGCGATAAACTCATAATCCAACATCCAATATGAAGCCGGAAGATTCGCTTTGTGGCTTTGTGCAACCCTCGAGAGCTGCAAAGCTCAGGTATGGCAACTAGGACAGCACTCATTCCAGGTCACGGATATATTATGGGTATAAAGAATAGAAGCAGCCGTCTAATGGCCCTCTGGTTTGGAAGTCTCTCATCTACGGAGAGCTAGTACACATATTCCACAATACCTTTGGTGCAGTGTGCCGTGTGGTCATGGTAAGGGTTGCAGGTTGAAGCATCTCTCCTAGAACGATCGACGGGTTTCTATAGAAAGCCACCAACTCATTACTTCACATACACTGTGGGTATATAGCTCAGGGTTGTGGATGTCTCATCAACTTTTATGCCTGGATTGCTCTGGGTATGTACTCCGTGTACTCCGTATTGATACTCCTTTTCTTCATTCTCGTTCGATGTCGTTGTTTGCTATTTTTAGAAACTAGGTTGCTTAGTCAGGCTTGTCCCTTTTGCCCGTGAAAGAAGGTTTGCGAGTCCAACCTTCAAAATCTCCAAAAAAGCGACCTCGAATAAATATCGCGACACCATCCAGATTCATTATTTGGATGAAGCAGCAATAGTGAATAAAAATGCCTTTGAGAGCGCAATAATGAAGGATTTGACCAGATGCTGCCTTGCCATTATCTGAGTCTGGGCGAAAGTAACCCTCGCTCTTGACAGCCATGCTGGTATTCCGCTCTCGACGGGCTCCGACGGAGCCCAAAGCTGAAGTGACATCTCGTGTTAGTGCGGGATATCTTTAGGCTCTAGGCTGATTGAAGGAAATGATGGTGCCTCCAATTGCTATTCTGTGGATCTTTCATTCCAGAATACGAACATCCCCCATCAGGACAGCATTAAGCCGAGGGCGTGTGGTTGTGGTGGAGCGACTCGAGTTGACTGTTCCTTGGGGTTCGCTTTGGGATGCTTGAACTTAGTGTGCTGATCGGCCCTTGGGATTTCATATTACGATGCTGAATTCCCCTGCAGCTCGTACCTGCTTTCCTTCCTATGAAATGCATTCCCATATTATTGCGGCTCTGTTTGGAACTCCTTTCCTCTCCTCGCCTTCGATGTGCATACATTTTTCATAAATCAAAGATCAAGCCAAGTTACCCCGAATAAATATAACTCTCTTGAGTTATTAACTGATTTATTTTTATTACGGTGATGCAATAACCGGTACAGAATATGGCTTTTCGAATAACTCTGCTTTGCCATTTTGTTCTCGGAGTGTTTTTGTTCATAAGAGCGACGGACGCATGGTCGTTTGTGTGGCATGATACAGAAAATGACGCTCATGTCGAGACTGGATCTGGGACGCATTCTTGCACAAAAATAAATATGGACAAGGGAAAGATTTACAGCTGGGACCCGAAAACATCAGGTCGATACTGTATCAATTTATTTGCAGATGACAATTGTGCAGACCGCAACGGCTGGTCATGTCCCATATGGGGGCCCCGAAAACTTGGGCAATCTTATGTTAAGTCCTTCTTAGTGAACAAGGAAGGCGATGAGCTTCCAGAACCATCCTCATCAACAGCATCGGACAAGACTACATCTATGACACGCACCAACACAGACGGCGGGACAAGTACAACACGCACACCAACGGAGACATCATCCTCCGGATCTACAGAGTCGTCTACGGGAACCAGCTCTACCTCGTCATCCGAGACAACATCACCGACAACCGAGGTCACAAATGCGCCTACAACTGGTTCAACGACGCAAACTTCAACAGACACACCGATTGAGACTGGGAGACATACACATCGACCAAAACACCCTCATGGCGATCCACCTGTATCTGGAGGCGTAATTGCTGGGGCAGTCATTGCATCAATAGCTGGTGTAGGTGGATTGGTATTCTTTGGCTACTTCATCTTCCGATTGCGGAAAGCAAGGGCAGCATCCCCGCCTCCGGAGACATCCACAGACCCATTTTCCCCTCGGCCGCCAAAAAATGGGTTCCAAGAACTTGACTCTCTTCCAACGTCGCCCGTAACCGGACCACCACATGCGCCGCCTGCGTCAATGCCGACAATAATGGAACCAGAAAAGGCGGGAGCAGTTGGATACGGAAACCAGCACCCACCCATGGCAGAGTTGCCCGATACCTCTCAAGTTTGGGAGATGGATGCTTCTAGACACAAGGAATGATAAGTGCTATCGTACCGATTAAACCTTCCGTTCCTTTTCTAGTTTCTATACCTCTCTGGCTATCCAAGAATCTCTTCAGATATCATCCAGTTGCCAGTGGTCTACGCCAACTCATATTCACAACATTTGGCCACATGAATGGCCTTGTGCTAGTCTATTTTGATACCCACATTTGTCTTGTCGCAGAGCTCATTTGCATTGATTCGAATTGTCAGTCGAGTAGTTGCATGAGGAATATTTATAACATGAAATTCATAGCCATTTTTCTTTAGACCTAGCATACATTCGCTATTTTTCCTGGAGCACAGGAAACAAATGCTTTCCGGTTTTTGTTCCCTGTTAAACCCTCCCAGATACCTCAACCTGATGCCCCTTGACTTCTTCTATGCCTATTTTTAAGGTCATCATTTATTTAATAATATGAAAAACATTAAATATATAACCTCTTTTGTTGCATTCAGCAATACCCCTAGAGCTATAGAGGTTTGAAGATACAATGCACAAAAGTCAGACTTGTTTACCTGTTGTCCTAGTATCAAGTATGGTCCAGGGGATATTTCCTCCCTTTCGTTTGCCATGGGGGTTGTTAGTACCCCCTGATACGGTTGGCATCGAACAAAATTTGATCACTTATGTTGATTTTATACCTCCAAGCCAAAGAAAATGTCTAGAAAGCATTATTTCCTAGGGTTAGGCTGTAATATGGACATGTTGATGTCCTATCCTTGGTTGTTGCTATGGCGATAATGTGCTAGAGGGTATATTTCTTTCACAGCAAAGAAAATATATTCTCCTTCCCCTTTATCTTTACAAGATCACAGTTGAAAAATCCTCTGGCCTCTAAAGAATTAATTATCCTGTCATAATTTACAAAAGACTTGAAGATAATATACAGCCAATTTGAGCTACCAACGATGGGAAGAGGAGTTACGTGGGATGACAAGCTTGATGCAAAGGTAAGTATTTATGAATTTATGGCCTGCTTAGGATGCGGTAACTAATATATAAACACTGCAATAGCTTTTGTTTGCAATTATCTCAATGTCGGCGCCCAAAATCAATTACGATGCAGTGGCGAAGATTATCGGCAATGGTATGAATATAGCAACCGTTTTTCCATTGCAGTTCTTCCAAATAATTCAGATGGCTGACCCTTTACTAGATTGTACGCCGAAGGCCATTCGACATCGACTAGCCCGGATCAAACTGAAAGCTGACCAGGGCAACAGTGCATCCTCCTCTCCGGCTAAAACTCCAAATTCCAAAACTGGTGGTGGACATGGAATGAAGGCCAAAAAGCGCAATGCCAATGATATTTTTGACGAGGAGTCTGGAGATATCAAGAAGGTCAAACAAGAACATGTACAGGAGTCTGACACCGAAGAGTGAACATCTTCTACATATTCTTCTACGTTTAGTCAAGGGCCGTATATTTGGTCTTTGATATACGAAAAGCTAGAAGAGAACCCTCCATACATGTAACTATCGAAAGAAGTAGGAATTAATAACACAAGGAAAATTGAGAGACACTTAGTATGTCTAATATACTGTAAATAGTTGACAACGCTATTTGATATAACTCAGCCTAAGACAATACCTGGGGGTCCTACCTTATAGATCTTATAGGCTTAGATCGTAGTATAGTTATGTTTATACCCTATCTTAGTTGTTACCGCAGCGATGGTATACCAGAAGGCTCCTATATATTTCTTTCACAGCTAAGACCTTGCCTCCTTTTTGTTTTCACAACAACCCAGCAACCAGCAACCAGCAACCTCAATCTCTAGACTTGTTAGCAAGCTACCTTCTCCAAACCAACCTTGAGTAACCTTTACTACACATTACTGCTCAAAATGATTACCTGGGACGAAAAAGCACATATGAAAGTAAGTATTTGCCAGCCATTGAGGAGATCAACAATTGGCTAATCAAAACTTCGAAATAGTTGCTGTTCGCAATTATTTCCACCTCTGCCCCCAAGGTGGACCACCAAGCAGTAGCCAACATCATGGGGAATGGTATGCCTAACTCCTGGCTATTCGCCTTATAAGCGCATTGAATGTTTACAGGGCTGACTTGAAATCCAGGGTGCACGGCAATTGCAATTCAGCGCCGCTTAGCAAGAATCAAGACAATGGTCACTGATAGCAACGCCGCCTCTCCAGCAGCTCCGAAATCCAAGTCTGCCAGGAAAAAGGCCACCAAAAAACGCACAGCCGAGGAACACTCCGATGAGGAGTCTGGTGACGCTAAGAAGGTCAAAAAAGAACACGTAGAGGAGTCTGAAAGTGAGGAGTGAACTTCTACGAATTCTGGTCTCTCTGGCAAACTGCGTATATTTGGATCTTCGATATACGGCAGAACTAGGGGACTCGATGCATGTAATTGTAGGAAGAACTAGATATGCATAACAAAACAAAACCAAGAAAACACAGTATATCAGACATAGAATAACATTTCTATTATAGTTGGCAGTATCTAGCACTGTAGAGGATGTTTCTGGAAATAATAGGTATCATAGGTGGACAGAGTAGTGGTGCATTGTAGAAGCTTTAAGGACAAGAAATATGTCCATGCTTCATTGAAGGTAGAGGTTAGGTCAGTATCTCTAGTCAGTCAAACAAAATAGAGCGGCTGGGAGAGCAAAAAGTATCAAAGTTGGCATAGAAACACAAAGGGCTGTGTTCTTGTTATAATTTGGGCACACACAACAAATACTAGCATCAAAGGAGGCCGCGACAAAGCTTTAACTATGGGTTTCAAGCCTGGTGTATAGCTGGATCCTTCTTGAAACTAGAAGGGTATAGGGGTATAGAACAGAAAGCTACAGAGTGAGAAGACATAACTACCCTGCCTCTTCCATGCTGAGATTGCACATATGCTCATCAGTGTTCATATCTGGAATCTGTCTGACCATCAGGATACCTACATCCGCCAGCACCTGGAGTCACCTCCAAACTCTAGCTTTAGCCTGAGTCGATTCTTCTATACCGGGCCCCTGATAGACCAGCGTTTTGGTTGAGCTATTGCCTTACACCATGGCAACGGTCAAGCGAGGCAAAACTATGCCTGCGGATGGCCAAACAACAAAGTTCTTATACACAATCCTGAAGCAGCTGGACTTGAAATCAGTAAGACACCCAGGGCATATATCCAGTGGTTAGACGGGCTCTCTGAGCAATAGCTAATACTTGACCACCAGATCGACTGGAACTTGGTTGCCTCTCAGCTAGAAATTACCAACGGCCATGCAGCCAGAATGCGCTTCTCACGGTTCCGGCAACACATGGAAGGCAACACAACGAGCGCTCGCTCGCCTCGTGCAAAGAAGTCCAAGGCAGAAACTGCAAAGTCGAAGAAGGCCATGTTTGACGAACCGGTAAAGGGCAAGGAACGGTCTCCCACCGGAAGTGCTAGCCCAACGGTCAAGAAGGAGCCCGAACCGCCAGTGAAGCCAGAGCCAGCATTTCAAGTCGGGATGTCAGAGCCAGCTTCGGTTTCTCCCCCGCCCCCACCACAGTATTTCTATCCGCCGGGCATGGAGGCTGTCCCCAGGTGTTTCGAGAACGCAGCTATTCCAAATCCTAGCCCCTTTTTCGACTTCTCAACTGTCTCTCCAGCACAGCTGACGACTCCTTCTCTTGTCCCGGAGCCAGTCATCGGCTATTCCGCGCCGCCCTTTGGAGAGAACTGGGTCCAGATCAAGAGCGAAAGGGCCGATGGCGAGATTGAGATGCAGGATCTCTTTATCAAAACTGAACCAAATTTGTGAGCTGTTCAATTAACTAGTTATTTGTTACTTTTTTTTTACTGTGAAGACAAAGTGAGTGTCACGTGGACTTCTGTTTTAGGTAAAAAGGACTTCATGTCTTCGCAGTTTCATCTTTCTGTCTTCTCTCTGCAACCATCATGAAGGCCATGGAGACTGCAAGATGCAGCATGATGTATATGTTTTTTATTCAGTCGAAATACAAGAAGATTAAACCTTCTTTTCTCATGAGATAACTATGTCTATTATTGCCTGGGCGCGTTGTCTCGCTACGTTGAAGCCTCTGTGCTCGAGGACAGCCGGCTGCCCAGTAGGAATACTGGCCATATCTGATATTAAATTTCTTTTAGGCACTGTGATAATGATACCCCTTACTAGGCTCCTGTTTGACGAGATATCACCAATATTGCCACGTACACACTGTCAATATCAAATAGCCCAGGGAAGAATATTTCTTCTCTGCTCTGTGGCTAGGCAAATACCCGGCATGACATGCAGCTTTCACTATATCACTAGCTCTGACATTTCTCACCCCAAGATCTAAGCATATACAGATCAACAATGGGCGAGAATATTTAGAAATGCCTAGCTTATTCTTCTTGCTTCCCTACCCCTTAGTTTGAGAGGCACCTAGCCTCAATGAAATCACTTCCTACCTGCACTTCCATCACTTTTCTACGAGGCCGAAGTCGGCTATAGCTTGGCCACACGGTGCTGAGCGCACCCGCACTAAGAAAAGTTCCCTTTTAGTACCTGCTCACAGATTTCTCACTATAAAACCCACATCCCCCTTTCTTCTCTTCTTCTTCTTCTCCTCCTTTTCCCTTCCTTCTTACCACACCAGCCTCAACTTGACTGTTCCAATACACATACAATCATCAACTTGCTGCTTCTGACTACTTCTTAACAATACCTCATCTACGACCAGTGGTCAAAAATGGCAGACAATGTTGAGAACTCCGCCGAGGCAGGCAACAAACAACTGAGTGATATTGCCTTCATGGCTGAATGCTTCAAGTATCTCCAGGGACCCTTCAATGTAAGTCAACAATACGTATAACCCATCTTCAAAGCCAACTATTCACTGTTTTGCCTTTCTAGGTGGATCTGCCTGCTGTCGCAGAGCAGTTAGGGTACAAGAACCCTGCATCGGTTGGGAATCGTCTACGCGCGATCAAAAAGAAATGGGGTATTGGCGTCGCCGAGGGCGCGGAAACCGGCGCAGACACCACTTCACCAGCTACTACTCCCAAGACTCCTCGTAAGGGAGCCAAGGCGACCCGTGGGCCGATCAAGGCCAAACCCGAAGTTGAGGGGGAAGATTCGAAGGCGGGTGGAAGCCCCGCTAAACGTGGCAGAAAGCCCGCAGCAAATGGTGGACAGAAGCGCAAAGCTTCCGAAACCAATAAGGAAAACGAGGAGCCAAAGACTGAGAACGATGCAGCTGCTCCCGAAACTACAAAGGAAACTGAGGAAGAAGCTGCGTAAGAATTTGATGCCTCAAGTGGCACTGCATTGATATCAGGGTATGACTTTCCCCTTCCTGCTTATACTCAACCTCACTAAATTTATCCTAGATCTTATGACTCGCGCCCTACCAGTCTCCTTCAATGCGAGCCCATGAGCATCAAAATTTAATCGTCAATTTCTGTTTCTTATTTTCTTTCATGGACTATCCCATCCGAGGAACTTGTTATCACGGAGATTGTTAATGCCTCTTGCTCTCTATGAGCAGCTCTACTCTGTGTACTCGGCTTTTATACCACACACAAGTTCTTCTCCCTTTTCCTTGGACAGTGGATATCATTAAATGGGACTTCTGCTTTGGGCCAGGATATCCGGTTGGGTCTAGTCTACATAGCACAACTACAATTGAAGTGACCGTAACTCTTTCTTTTCATTATTCTTTACTTTTCTTGAGCGGTCAAATTGCGCAATTCCTGATACTCTATAGATTTTTTTGGTTGCTAGTTACGCTTACACCGTTGCTGCGTAGCGCGTCTATGTTTCTTTCATTTCTAGCCTGAACGCGCCTCACTGTTGTTTCTGCTGCTGCTGCCTCCCTCTATAAAAGATATTCTTTCCTTTCTTTCTTCCTTCCTTTCTTTCTTTCTTCCTTTCTTCCTTTTCTACAAACCAGATCATCTCTTCTCAAAGCTATCTGATATCTTCACCTTCCTGTAAGGAAGGCATCCAGCTATTAGCAGAGAAAGGTTTGTTAATCTCCACCTCCCTTACTGGACTTGTCTGTTCAAAACCATATCCCTCTATATTATACCTTGGCTTCAGCAGCAAAGAACTAAACAAACTACATTTCCTGATTTTTGCCTGGTTAAAATTCAGGAGAAGGCCAGTCTCTATACCACTTACAGCTCACTGCATCTCCTTGAAACTGATAGTTCAGCTTTCCTGACCTTGCCTGGTACTAAGTGATAGTTCAGTGTTTTGATTCTTAGCTTCACACCAACTGAATCCTCACATCTGAATTCTCTCTTCTTTTATATCCCCATATACCATTCTCCTTGCTTCAAGTTGGCCTCTTCATTCTTCTTCTTCCTCTTCTTCCTTTTCTTCTCTTGGCTTCCTCTCTTAACCACGTCCATCGATTATACTTGATTCACGGCAGCAGCTGATACCCACTTATAGCGCAAACAACCCTCTCGGTATTCGAATTAACCAATAATCTACAATCAAGATGTCTCGTGTTTCAGCTGAGGAGACGAATATCTTCTTGATCAAGTGCATCAAGTACTCCAATAATGGAAAGGTAAGCATTCACTCTCGTATCGCGTATGAGCTCCTTGGAAAACAGTCAGCTCCGTATGCATTCAAGTCTAACGACAGGTAGGTCGATTTCGCTGCGGTTGCCGAGGAATGTGGTATTGTCAGCAAGGGAGCAGCGTGAGTCCATTGACATATACGCATTAGCTAGCGAATGCTGATAAGAGTCACCTCAGCGCAAAACGCTATGAGCGTATCCTTAAGGGCAATGGTATTCATCCATCATCCGGCGAGGGAGTGGACGAGGACGGTGCGCCCGGATCCGCAAACGTGACTCCCAAGAAGAATGGGGCATCGACCAAGCCCAAAACGCCTCGAAAGACTCCGACTAAGCCCAAGGCCAACGGAGCGCCTAAGACTCCTACCAAGCGCAAGACCAACAAGGGCGGAGCCAACAACGAAAGCCCCACTAAGAAATTCAAGTCTGAAGAAAAGGTTTTGGACTCTGATGCGTCCGCCAAAGCTGATAATGATGAGGCAGAGGAAGAACTCCCGCTGCGTACGAAGAATGACCCATTCTTGCCTGTTCCTGGTGTCGATAAGGAGTCAGAGGATGCAATGTTCAAGGAGTTCTGCAACACTGGAGCCGTGGTCAAGCACGAGAGCGAGATGATTGAAAACCAGGTCGTTTAAAGGATATTGCTGTCGCATATTCGCCTATTTGCCTTCATTTAACCATCACAGATCACAAGCGCTGCATACGGCCGGACCCGAACACGAATTGAGGAGTTTCGGAGGAGATTTTACTTTATTCATGCATTTATCCTCTTGTAATTTCCCCCTATAGGTTGGTTTTGATATGGAGCATGGTGGTAGATATGCTTGATCGCTCTAGGGAGAAACATATTGAAGCAAATGAGGATATATACCGATTTTGACCCTCCGTTTATTTAAACAGGTTAACACCCACAAGAGAAGTCCAAGGAGATATGTCAGGAAAAGGCCAGGAGAAAAGAATGGAAGTCTGAAATTAAATAAGTAGTAATAATACAGAACTTCGGATGTGGGAAGGGGTATAAAGCTCAGAATTCCATATCGAAAATCCAAAACAGCTTAGCACTGGGTATCAGGCCTTCGAAGGAAAACTAAAAACGAGAGAAGGGGCGAAACCGCAAGGAAGTGTATATATAATAAGGAAAGATAAAGGAATTAATGTCATGGATCGGTCATGACAGCCTCTAGGATCTGTTTTTTATATTTCAAAAGCGCAGCATCTTTCTTGCGGGTTTGTTGTCGTAGGAGCAGGTACCGCTGTTTCCAGTCCCTCGCGGTCATGCCGATTTCAAGGCTAGCTTCATCATCAGATAACCCTTCTTCAACCCCAGTTGCTGTACGTTGATCCCCATGTCTATAGTGGCCGTGGCCATATTGAGCTGTGCTGTCTTCACCCAGCGTCATTTGCGATGGAGCATTACCCCGTATAGATACCTGGGATGTAACACCAGGGGTAGGAGAAAAGTCGTAAGAAAGCGTATAGCTAATGGGAAATGACCCACTGGGATCGCTGCTTGTAGGGCCGTCTGGTGGGCAATGTACGCGAATGGTATTATCTGACATGCCCGGTTCGATTCTGATTTTCATCTGATCAGGGGCCTTGCAGGCTAAGCCAAGCCTGTGGCCGAGACCAAGTGAGAAGGCACAATAGCTTGCAACAGTGCTTGGAGGGGCATCTGGGTGGCATTGTGACTTGATTTGTTGGATAGTTGCATGAGCAATGGCTCGTGATTCGGCAGGACTAAGAGGAGTGGTCCTCCCGAACAGAGTGGCTCCTTGTATTTCACGAGATAGAGCGTCATCAACTTGCTCAAGCGTCAAGCTAAATGGAGAGGATACCTCATTAGCGTTTTGAGGAATCTCTCCAGAATGAGTCCGTGTTGCATCGGGGTTCCCACCCGAGCCATTTTGGCCATTAACTAGCAATAGAGGCGGAGTTGCCAGACGAATGGGCGTGCCAGCAGACTTTGGCACTTGAAGATGTAATTTGGTAGGTCTCGAGGGAGCATAGTTCCTAAGAGGTTGGGCAGCACCGGTATTTGTACCAACTGGTGTTGCCATCGCTGCTTCATTGCTAGCAGGAGTTGCGGAACTGGGGGGCTCGGCGTGAAAATTAGTATCATTGGGACGAATGTCCGGGTGGCTAGTAACAGCCGTCGAAAGTGAAGACGACGGCGTTTCAGGGTGCATAGGTCGACCTCGAGACTTCCCGGCAGACGGGCTGTTTCCAAGCCACGCTGAAGAGACTGTTGGGCGGCCTCGCCTTTTCCCGCCCACCCTATCTGCCGAAGACGGAGTAATTGCAGACTGTGGCTCGTTTGAGAATAGCGCATCAAGATCACGGTGGCGGGGAGTAACTGCAGATTGTGGATATCGGAACGGTGGAGACCTGTGTATGGGAAAACTCCATCCAGATGCAGCAGTCTGAACGTCTATAGGTCTTTCTGGAGTTCCCATACGGTGTGGGTTTTTTGTGCTGTCAAGATGTGCTGCTGGACCTGGCGGCCAGCCGCCAGGCGGGTGTTCAGCGGAATCAGGGTACGCGCTCCAGGGCATAGAGCTCTGGGGTGTCTCGTCGGTGTGATAGCCTCCCTCTATCCCGGAGTTTGGTGTATATAGGCGAGTTCGCTTTTGTTGTTTGGGATCAACGCCAATGTCGTCGACCCTCTTTCGGCCTCGTTTAGGCTTCCATTCGGGCACAAGAGCACGCAGAGCCAGGTCTTCGTCTCTTGGCACTCCGTCACGACATTCTTCTTCTTGTTCAGTAAGTGGATGGACCTTCGTATAGTATGTGTGTTGGTGGCCTAGACAGTATTCAAAAAATGCGTCTATGTGCATTGCGCGCATCCATCGCTAGAAACGAAAGAGTCAGGACCACAGAAACCAGCAAGCCAAGCATGATACGTAAGGGAAAGAAATAAACAGTAGAAAAAGTCGCCAAATCTAACCTTTAAACGCACTGCATATTGCTGGACTTTTTGCGTGCTCTGTTTCTTTTCCACGGACGGCGGCTCTACTCCAAGCTCTATAGCGAGTTGAATCCAGGTCTTCAGCTCCTTGCGATCGAGCTTCTGTATCAATTCCCAGAGCATGAATGTGCAGAAATTCTTCCCTTCGCTGCGAGGCGGCGACCTAAACATCCGGCGCAGCTCCGATGTGTTTGTGGAGCTTGGTATGGTCGGGTTGCAGTACAAGATGAACTCGACGTAGGCATCGTCAATAGTCGCATTGGTGATATCACGCGAAGGAAGAGATCGCGGTTCGGTAGACGGGAGGCGTTCGTTCTGGCGCTCCTGGGATAACACGGACACTGGAGGGGACATGGACGCGGCGGACGGCGAACGTCGAGACAGGATAGCAGACCGAGGATCTCTGGGTGACGGTTGAAGACCGCCTGGTGCAACGTCACGGTTTACCTGCGGCATGGCATACCTATCACCACCACTAGGATGTGTACTGTTGCCGCTGGTATTGCCTGCTAGCGGGGGACTGTGGCTGTTGTTGGTCTCCGGCATTCCTTCTTGCGGCTGCTGCTGCTGCTGCTGCTGGTGGTGCGGTGGCTCTGGAATGTCGGGATATTTAGTATATGGTTGCTCGTTCTCGTTGTTGCTGGAGGACTGCAGCGGCCCATGGGCTCCATCCTCAGCTCCTGGCTTGGAGAGCCCATCCATACTGGGTCGTCTTCAGCCTTGTGCAAGCGAATTGCATTTCCTTTGGGGGAACGGAGAGGGGGAGGGAGAAGTAGCCTGGTACGGGTGTTGGATGTGCGCATTCACGAGGTACTGCCGGCGGAGCGGGAGGCTGCCATATGGCTGATCGAGAGTCAATTCGCAGGCATATACGAGAGGCAAGGTGCGGAGCCGTCGTCCGAGAGCGTTGTAGACACGACAGAAGCTCCCAGCATCCCACATTCATAATAACAAATCGGGGCCAAGTGGTAGCTGTTTCACCTTCTGGCTCGTTATAAATAGAAACATCTCCATCCTAAGACAAATTAATTTATGCACAGTCATCAAATCGCAGGCGTCATGTGATTCTGCTTGCAGGGTACCTAGGCAAGGTTTTCTTGGGCGCTCCTTGGCCCCTGTGCGCTCGTTGGTTGCGGCCTGAGGCTGCTGGCTCTCGTCGCGCACCGGCGTCCTGCTGGGCTGGCGTCTATCTCTCGATGGAGGGGTGGATGGAGGGTGAGCTAGAGCTGGCCGCAGAAATATCGCCCGACGGTAGAGATAAATAACGCGTCTGGCGTCTGGCGTCTGGCGCTTAGCACAAAGCAAGAAGAGGATGACATAAGCGCTGTGTAGTATGCAGTTGCTTATGTAATGAATTATCTTATCTTCGGGCCAACTATAGTCCGATAAAACTTCGCCGGGCGCCCGGGCACCGGGATGGTCACGGGACTGTCTGGTTTCCGGGAAAAACGACCTCCCGATGATGAATCCAACTCGAATGACGATATACATCCGAACATTAATATACAGACAGAGATCGAAGAGAGAGATGGTTTGCAGCGAGTGAGCTTGCTGGGTGGCGTTTAAAGGCGTTCTGTCGCTCATCCTTTTGGCTGCTGTATAAATTACCTTCCTGGTAGTTAGATCTTTCTGCTGCCCGCTGAGCTGGCTGCGGCAACTTCCTCGACTCTCCATCACTACTTCTACCTCGCTTCGACCTCGCCCGCCAATGATGCACTCGCCCTTGGACGCAGCATGGCTCCAAGTCTTCGTCCTTTACCGGCTAACCCTCCGAGACGCTCGGGTCGGCCCCTTCGCGCAAGCAGTACTCGAGTGAAGACTTACCGTGAGGATAGTTCGGACTCGGATGAGGTAGACATCTACAACGAGAGCTCGGATAGCTCCCCAGTCACTGTTCGACCACTGGTTTATCCTGACTTTATCCCTTCAGAGGAACCTCGGGCCGAACAACGCTCGCTCTCACCTTCACCTCGGAAGAAAAAGGCCCTCGGAGCCCGCATCACAAGGTCGTCATCAAACAATAAGAAGCGAGCTCTTTTCCTTCAAGCGTCTCGCAAGAACGTCCTGACTACCTCCCCCAAACAGCTCAAGCCAGAAGATGAATCTGAGCTCGAAATGCCATCCCCCGTAGAATCCACCAAAATTCCACCATGGCAGACCCTCCCATACCACGTTCTGTTTGACATCTTTCTGAGAGCTGCGCCGATGGGGAAAGGTGTCCAAGTCACCCAGGTATTGAAGTCAATACGGTGGCTAGTGCGCATTTCACGGCTCTGCAGGGCCTTTTTCGAGCCTGCTATAGCAGCCCTGTATTATTCCCCCATGGCCTTCACGATGGACTGGCTCGAGGAGATTAGAAAGCCGTTAGAGCTCGACCAGTCCACGTCTTTGACCAACTATCGTAGCAAGGTAAAATGTTTGGAAATAACTACCCATATGCCCAAAGTGGACAGGTTTCAGATACATTCTTTTCTGATGTTTGCGCCTCAATTAAAACATCTTCAGATTCGTGATCTTAGTGATACCCCACGGAAGATGTCGAAGCCCTTCCAACTGGCCTTTCTTGAACATTGGTTTGAATCGATGCCTCCAGATTACATCCAGCTTCGGAGCTGGGAGTGGAGCAGCCGAGTCCACCTATCGAGATTGAAAGAATTTCATCTCCATCCAATGTTCTCTTCACTCAGGACACTGAGGTTTCTTAAAATCTGGCCGTATGAGCCATCTGAAACACGGCTGTCTCTGGATGATAGCGAGCAGCCTCTGCCAGCCGAACATTTAGTTTCTTCACTAGTTGCTCTTCCAAAACTGTCGGTGTTGGAATTTACTGAGTGCTACCTTCCGGATGGGTTTCTTTTCAAGTTGCCGGTCGACTTGCAGACTTTGACTCTAGACCAGTGTGAAAATGTGGACTCGGAGGGCCTTGCGAGCTATCTGTTTGAACATGGCCAGAAAATGGAAGTTCTCAACCTGACCCATAACAAGGAGATTGACATGTCGTTCACTGTCGGACTGCGGGCATCCTGCCCTCTTCTGCGTGTTTTCAGGATGGATCTAAACTTCAGCTCTGGCGATACATTAGCTCACGATGTCGAGCCGCATTTTGAGCTGCTCCTTCACCCCGGTCAGGTACCGACATGGCCGTCCAACCTGGAAACGCTTGAGCTTGAACGCCTCCGCAAATGGGATATCATGACTGCGGAGGCTGTGTTTAGGTCTTTGATCGAAGCTGCTCCGCGCCTGAAGTATCTGCGCAAACTTACCCTTACCGCAATCCTGAAGACAGACTGGCGAGACCGTGCTCAGTTCAGGGATGAATGGGCCCGGACGCTGGAACGAACGTTTCTCAGAAGAAGCGAGCCTCCACTGTGCATCTCCGGCGGAAACCTGAGAGCGTCTTCAGCCCTGAGTCGTAGGCCATCATCAAGGTCAGACGCTTCCGACGTCTCGCACCTTGTCCGAGACGAGGCCACGGACGATAATGTGCCTAGGCGAAAGAGCCGACGTCTTGCCGAGCGCAAACCGTCCATGAGCGGTGACGAAAGCAGGCGATCCAGTGACGCGCCGTCCCCCAACGAGCTTCATAGTCGAAACGACAGCCCCCTGATCATTGGACGGCAAGGTTTTATGGCCAATGGCCCAGGAATGTGCAATGTGGTGAAAATCCGAATCGACAATCTCAGGCCTGCAGACGTGATCTTGCCCGCAGAGAATCTGAGTGATGCAGAACCCAGCGGAGACGACGACTGGGACGGGGACGATCTCGACTTTCTCAACGACGACTATGCTTGGTGACTAATAATAATGATGGAGATGGTCCTCCCAGATGAACTAAAACGAACGAAATTACAGAAACGAAGCCGTCGTAATCGTTTACGCCAGATTCTCTCGACCAGGTTTTGCAGGCCGAAAACCTTTTTCTACCCGTTTCCTCCTTTCTTTTGATCGCTAACTACTCACATCCGCCCTTTCTTGGCTGAGAGTCTGTTCTTCCAATTGTTGTCTTTCGCGCTTCTTCTTCTTCCTTTTCTTCTTCTTCTTCTTCTTCTTCTTCTTTCCTTAACAGTGTTACTCCATCTGCATCATCATTATGGGATTTACATCTGGGGTTACCAACTATCAAAAAAACGGAGCAAGGTTAACGGAGTTTCAACTACCTTATGGCGGGCGGTACTTATAAACTGGTCTATAGGCAGCATAGCAGGAGAGAGGGAGGAACAGCAACCCTGGGTGGTCTTTTTTTTTTCTACTTCTATCTCTATATAATCAAAACAATCTCTTAAGCAAAGTAATTTCCGTCTCGAAACATCGAGCCATCTGTCCGTGTCGCTTCCATGGTATATTATGGACCTGGATATATATGATACCCACGCGGACCCTCCGCAAACCTGCAAAAGATGCTTCCCTTGTACCGATACTCGATATAGTCCCCTTAGTTACCTTTGTGGCAACATACTCCATTACCAAGCATCTAAACTCGCAATTAAGCATGCAACTGCAGCCATGGAAGACAAGAAACCCCATGCATGGACGACCCCTTGCATGCGCGTAAATCTATCGCTGGAACTGCTCGCTACTGGTTATAAGCAACTTTGCCAAGGCCTAGTGAATGGACATATGTACACGTGCAGCATAAGTCGAGGGAGCAACTACTTAGTTAACTCGAGAATGATCGCGCCAATTGCATGACTACCTAGCTAACTTAAACGACCCGGATCTGCAGCCGCGGACGGGAGATGGCGCCTGCCAGAGTTAGTTAACCGACTTAACAAGCCCGAGACAGTCAGACTAACTACTTAGGTAGAGAGCCCTACGAGTAGCGACCTATGAGATAGACACATTTTGCAGCCGTTACCTTACTATATTTAGTAGTTACCGATATTATATTTAACCTCGAAACATTGGTATTTTGGTGGTATTACAAATCTACAAATTTCCGGTAACTATAGCAATAAGTCCTTACAAGGTAAGCTAGTAGAGAAAACGTTTCAGGTAAATATACTAAGGAATGTTATAATATTCTTGCTTGTGGCGCTAGCTAAAGGCTAATTGACAATTTCAGGAGAATTTCAGGGGGCAGGGGCAATGATTTAACGGTCCTAGGTCAAAAAGCGATGCAATATTGCTCATTGAAAATCAACCCTTGGCCACCGACTTCTTTCATCCCGGAATCTTATTTAGAGATAGGCGTTTGGCTTAGGAATTGCACAGTGCGAAGCTTGCCGTCTGGTTTCCTGAGTGGGAAGGTAATTTCGCAGGGTTTTAGTTGGGGGTCTTTTGGGCATTGGCGCTGAATCAATCCCTTCTGTGCATCGCAGAGACAGGTGAGGAAGTGTTCTTTGCCCTCCCCACACATATTTCTCTTCTGCGGACGTCCAGTCAAGCAGTAGACGTAAGGCGACTCGTCGCACATGCCCGTGACAGTGATCGTAAATGTCACGGTTGTGACTCGGCATTCCGTGTGCGGGGGGCACTTGCCCTTCCAGCTGACTTCGCGGGTTTCGGTAGAGGTCTCTTCCGTCAACTGGGAAATTTGGCCCGATAATTCGGCAGACGCAGGGCCCAAGCCCCCACTAAGACCTAACCCAATGCTCCAACCCTTTGTATTCCCCTTTGTCACTGCAGTTCCCTTTTTGACCTCAATGTCCAGAGGGTCGTCATTTGGATTTTCGAAGATCTCATCAACATGCGGAAATCCAGTGACATTGACTTCAGAGATAGTCCGGAGAACCAGACGTGTATAGGTTGCGGCAGGATTGCACGTTCCACTGCAGCCTAGCTTGCACTCAGTGGATGATGGAATAGGATCGACTTCTCCAACTGGCGGCCACTGGTTATCGACTTTATGGCTTTCCTGGAGAGCCTTTTTCAGTTCCTTGACGTACGGGTAATCTGGCACATCCTGACGTCTATGGAGAGTAGCCACGGCCTTCACAAGCCTCTCCAGCCACGGATCGCCGTCGATGATAGTGCGACTTTCTCCAGGGGCTTGTCGCGCAATGAGGTCGGTGACGTAGTCATTCGGCAAGAAGTTGCCAAAGACAGGAGAAATGCACAAAGCAACAAAGAACTTAGAGAACAACATCTTTGCGTTGGCTGGCTGTTATTCGGAAAATTGGGATTGGGTAAAATGTGGTATCCAAGATTGACGCAGCAGTGGAGGCTTGCAGAGCGTAAATTGAACCGAAGAGATCGACTCTGAAGGCCGTTGCTGGATGCTGGTGACGGATGGAATGGATGGAATACAGGCTGGGAGACCACCCCTTTTATAGCTTTCGTCAACCTGGGAGCGCAACTAGATGGGGCAATAGAGCCATCTCTATTGTTCGGACATTGCGGGACTCTGTCCGGTGAGGTGGTATAGCAGGATATAGACGTCTTGCCGCCATATTTTCAAAAAAATAAAATAAAATAAAATAAAAAAAGAAAGAAAGAAAAGGGAAAAAAAACAACGACAGGGCTCAATGTACGGAGTCAATAATAATAACCAGCTCAAAGAGTAAATAAATAGACTTGCGAATTTGCGCGCGCTAACGTAGATTTAAGAATTCGCTAAGCAAGGACAAGAACTCACTAAGGAAAAAGGAATAAGCACACTTTACCGGATACGGATGTCTCTAACCGCATATAGTAACTATCACGTGACCAATCCTAATCTTAAATCGAGATCGAAACTTTGTCCTGAACGAAGAGCCAACGACTTGCAGCGAGCAAGGACTGTAAGTATACTTACAGCACCCTGTGGGCCATTCCAAATGTTCGCTTGGAGGATGGAGTGCAACCGGGATAGAGCAGGGATAGAGGAGCGGGGACTCCTTGTCCAGAGACATTTCATTATACTTATTTACTGGCACCGACCCGCGTAGCTGTGTGCAAAATAATCAATATAACTATGATGCGTCCTTTTCACGCCACCCCGCCAGTCTTCCCCTTGCGCCGATATCGCCTCGAGACATCCCCATTTTCATTACCTTTGTGGCACATAAATACTCCGTAAACAGGCATCTCAGCTTGGAAATTATGTATGCAGCCGCAGCCATGGAAACCAAGGGGCCCCTTCCATGTACTCAGCGCACTCCCTCCGCGGTATCTCGTGCTGAATCGATACTTTGATACTCTGATACCTTTAGCTTCTGAAGATCCCCCGTCACGGGTAGGCTAAACGACAGGCTATGCCTTTTAGGCACTAGCTCCAGTGCCATTATTACAACTGCTTAGTAAGGGCGCTTCTGGGGAGAAGCAGAACGGGCAGCCAACTTGGCCGCATTAATTACTATTAAATTATTCTACTCCGAACATTCCATGAATATAAGTTATATCAAGCTAAAGGACGTCCCTCTGGTGTGTTTGTAAATGGCTATGGATGGCCTGCCCAATAGCTACCCGGTCACACCACACGCCTGGTCGCTCTTAAGCCAGCAGCATGCCCTTTCTCGGGGGGTATTCTTCTCAGCTGGAGGGCCTTTCAGTCACAGGCTAACTAACTTACCGGCCTCTGAGTGCATCGAAGCAGAGCTGGGGTTGAATAAGCATTCTAACGTCCGTCTTCTCAAGTGCTTGCGTTGCTTACCTTACCCGCCAAGTTCTATATGTCACTCTTATCTAGTCAGCCAGTCCAGTTGCCTGCCAAGTTTTGTGTCTGCCGTTGGGCATCAAGGGGGCCAGACGAGAGAGGTGCTGCTGCGACTAGCTCACACTGGCCGACTTGACGCCGTTCCTACCTGACCGTTAGGCACGAGAGCAGATCGTAGGGACGAAGCAAAGAAGCAAAAGAAGCCGTCTATTTATTTATCTTTCTCCGTATTTATTTCCATCGCCAGTCTCGTCAGTCTCGTCAGCGCTGTTGTGTCCTGGTCATCCTTCCCCCTCGTCTCCATCTGCCATCTCCAGCGATCCCCACCATCACCATCACATCACCACAGGGAAGAAATCACACAGCACATCGTTGGCTTTTCTGCCTCAGCGTTTCTTCGTCTGCTTCAGCTTCGTCGTTTTCGTCGTCGTCGTCGTCGTCGTCGTCGTCGTCGTCGTTGTCGCTGTCGTCTTTTGCCTTTGCTGCCTCTCGCTGGCCCTTGTACAGTAAAAAAAAAACGGACGAGCAAGTTGACAGCCGGACGCCCGCCTGATAGACCCGATTTCCTGTCCCGCGCACTCTTATCATATCGAACAATATATCGATCTACGACTAATCACATCACCATGCAAACTCAATAGCGTCCTTATTCCTACTCTCCGCGCGCTCCTCTGCCTGTCCGCTTTCCCGTCTTCCCTATATTTTCCCCTTAATATCTCCCGCGGGGACTCGAGACCTGCTGCTGCTTATCTCAACGACTCCGCTTTGGACAGCCGGATAGCATACATATACACGTACACCGACCATCCGCCTCTCTACTAATAAAATACCATCTCATTCGACATCTTGGCCGTTTGTTGCTGGCTCGACATCGGTGATCGTCCTTTTTTTTCGAATATAATCGGTTTTTTCTTCGTCCTGTCCGGGCTCCATAGCCAACAAGGTGTACTCTTCTTATCTTGACACTTAGCGGGCGTTGGCATACCAGACACAATCACAATGAGTCCGCAGTCTTCAAGGGTGATGAGCCCGGATGCAGCTGGTCCATCATCCTCTCCTCCCGTTCTTCCTGAAGGATGGTGCGTTTTTTTATTTTTATTTTTATTTTTTTTTATCTTTTTGTTCGCTATTTATTTTTGTCATGATCCTCGTGGCTGACTGTTGTCCGTGCTGATTCCCTCCTCTAGGCTTGCTCAGTGGGACGGCCGCCAGCAACGATGGTACTATGTCCAGCCAGTAACCAGGAAATCACAGTGGGAGATACCCACTGAACCGTTCATTGCGTCGACCTCCTCGACTCCTCACTCCGCCGCCAGTCCCGGCCCTTACCCCTCCCCTCTCACTATGAGTGCCACCTCGCCCGAGTCCGAAGCCACAAGAGAATTGATGGAAGTAAGGAATGCCAAGTGGAATGGAAATGGTAACTTTGCAGTATGTGGAACACCTCGTTGAGACTGTATATCTGGGATTGCATCAGATAAGTAAACAGTAGCTAATCAATTTCTCGGGTTTCGTACAGGCTACACAGCAGCTATCACCTCAGAGCACCTCTCCAAGATCACAAAGAACTCCGGTTGCTGGCGATGCAGTCCCACACCCCCGTTCTTCGGCTCAAACCACCCCAGTGCATGCCATCGCCGATATATCTGCCCTGGCCAGCCAAGACGAGATGATGGTCCAGCATAATAGTGTAAGTTTTAACCTACTCATCAAATAGAACAAGCGAGCTGATTCGCTTCTTTAAACAGCCAAATCACTCCCGGGTTGGGAGCAATACGCCACAGCAGCCGATGTCTCTGCCCGGCCAAGTACAAGGCTTCCATACTACCTCAGGCTCGCCAGCTAACCAACACCAAGCACAACATTTCCCTCCCCATCCCCAATCTTACAATGATAGCCACATGCAGAACTCTGGCCTTCCCTTGGGCCAACCACCCCACGTCAACAGTATACCTATGAACCCAAGCCCGCAGGGTCAGTTATATGGCGGCCAGATGCATGATTCCAACGCTCGCCCTTTCTGCGGCCCCCAACAGCCTACCGATCCTCGGTATACAAACCAGGCAATTCCAGTAACACCTGGAAAGTTCCCTCCTCGCGTGTCCCCAGTTCAAAGTCAGCGACATCAAGAACATGGAATCACGCTCCTCAATCAAGACCCTAATGCACCTCCCGTATTTCCCTTGTCTCATCGTGAAGCACAGAGGAAAAGACAGTCAGAACGACAGGAATCATTTGCAAAATACCAAGCTGGACCAGCGGGCCAGCCATATCCCCCTCGAGGACCCCCACCGGGAAACTATGACCACAGGTACAGGGAACCAGAAAGCCTACCGAGAAACATACCCCCACCACCACCAGGTTTTGGCTCAAATCCAATATACGATCCTCTCATCGACCAAAGCAGGCCCGTATATCATGAATCAATCCAAGGCCCTCCCGGTGGCCCGTATGGAACTTCAAGACAGCTTGGCAGTCCTGGGAATGGGCCGTCATGGCAGCAACAACCGCCACCGCCTCCACCACAGCAGTATGGAGGATATCAGTCTGGCATGCCGCCTCGCGCGGACTACGTACCACCACCACAGCAGCATTACGGAGATGTTGGCGGATATCCTGGCAATTGGGGGAGGTAAATCTGCTCACACAAGAAACTAAAATCGACGTTACCGGATGGAGAGAAGAACGTATCCTCTTCTTTCTTTTCCCTTTTCTGTTTAGCTATACCGAGTACTCGTCTTCGAGTTTGTAATTTGAACCCATCTGAATGACACGAGTTTGCGCTTCGAGGGCCTGTTTTTGCTCGTTTCCGCAGCGATACGCATTTGTTTGATAAATTTTTGGAAAAAGCAGAACGAAAGTTATCTATTATTTTTTCTCCCCCCTTACATTTCTTTTTTCTTTTTCCGTGTTATCTCTTCCGCTTGTTCTTCGTCTTTTTGTTTTGTTAAATATAGGAAAGCTTTGTGATATTAGGTTATTTTCGGCACGTGACTCAAAGCCAGTGCGCGCATTTAGAGTTTGGCAGTATCTTCATATCGTTTTTCTTAGAAAAAAAAAAAATTAGCTGATAGCTTAACGCAACTTGCGCAAACTAATAATCCCAATTTACTCCTACCATCCTCTTGCTTTAATTGTGTTTCTTGCTATATTTAACAATGGCATCAGTTTATAAGTCGCTTTCGAAAAGAAAAAAGAAGGATACTCCCAGGATCAATGCGGAGGACGAGGATGTTGACATGGATGTGATGGACGATTTCGAGGACGACAGCAGTGAAGAGGACGAAGAGGAAGAAATATCGGAAGGCGATTCAGAGGTCGGCTCGGATGATGACGATGAAGAAGATGGTGGCGTTAAAACGACACCCAAGAAGAGCTCACAATCGCAAAAGAACCCGGCTTTTATGCCAAAAACTAGAGTTCTCGTGCTCACCTCCAGAGGTGTTTCGTACCGGTATGGTTTGCATCTTCCACTACGAGAGAAAAGACACCAATCTCCAGGATGCTCAACAATTGCAATTGCTCTATTTGAATGATAGCTGACTTTCACCTCATAGACACCGTCATCTAGTTACCGATCTCACTGCCCTTCTCCCACACACGTACAAAGAAAGCAAACTCGACACCAAAAAGTCACAAGGATACAACTTCCTGCTCAACTCATTGGCCGATCTCCATTCCTGCAACGTTGTGTTCTTCCTCGAGGCGCGCAAGCAGGGCCAAGATCTATACCTGTGGCTCTCAAGGCCTCCCAATGGCCCCACGCTCAAATTCAGCGTTACCAATCTACACACAATGGGCGAGCTAGGCACTGGGTTCGCTGGAAACTGTCTCAAGGGAGGACGGGGCATTGTCGTTTTTGACCCTTCATTCGATGACAATGTTGTGCTACAGAAGGGCAACGAGTGGAGGGGACTGGTCCGAGAAATGCTACGAAGTGTGTTCGCCGTGCCCAAACGAGGCGTTCGAGGTATGAAGCCATTCGTCGACAGGGTAATTGGCATCTTCGCTGTGGACGGAAAGATCTGGATCCGAGTCTACGAAATTAGAGAGACGGACGTGGCTACTGCCACTAAGAAGGCGGAGGAAGAACTTCAAAATGCCGCGGCCGGGGAGAAGAAGAAGAAGTCCAAGAGTGCTGCTGGCGGCGGTAAGGGTGGGCCTGAAATCTCGCTGGTCGAAATTGGACCGCGGTTTGTCCTTACGCCAATCGTGATACTGGAGGGAAGCTTTGGTGGCCCGGTTATCTACGAGAATCGCGAGTATGTGAGTCCCAACCAGGTTAGGCGCGAAATACGGATGAAGAAGGCCTCTCGATACAATGCCAGGAGAACGGGACAGATTGATAGGAACGTCAAGAAGACGGAGCTGGGATTAAACACTGAAAGCTCAAAGGATAAGAAGGTCGATGAGCTTGATTCAAGAGTATTGTTTGCATAGAAAGTTTTTACTTCTGGTTCTGATTACCTGCTGTTATTGGTGGTGATCAGGTTTGGGCGTGGTATTTGCTTCTTCTGTTCTATCGCGATATCCCTTGTATCCTCAAAAAGCTGGCCGGTGTAAATAGGAGTAAATGAACCTCTTGATTTGATTGACCCTTTAGTTACCTAAGGCTTCTCTCGTCCAATATCAAATTTGCCAAGCCTGATGTATATCATTTATTATGTAATCAAAGTCTATATCTGCAACGCGCGATTTTGTCTTCGAGCTCGTTCGCCTTCTCTCTCCTTTCCAACCACGATCCCATAGCACCATGGCAATCCCCACCAATTTCAGCCCTTCGCGGCTTGGACACTCCTTCAGAATGAATATACCATCAGTTACAGATCATGCAGATGTGATCACCCTTTCTATAGCCCCCCGGGACGGAGGGGTGGTCGCCTGTTGAACTACGCAGCTCCGTGCACGGAGAGACTGGTTGATATCTTTACCCTCTAAAGGGGGTATATCAAACATTTGTCCGTGTCATATTGCTTCGTTACCACTCGATCCTCTCTGTCCTTAATACCACTCATCCATCTCCTTCCGCCGATCGATTAGACGAGTGAACAGGTTCTAGAACCGTGCTACGCCTAGACGTTCAACCACAACTGAAGCTGAATATTCAGAATATAAATTTGAAAAAAGTGCGTTCGTACAACTGTTGTTTTACCGTCTTGCAAAATGCCGGGGACCAAGCTGACCAGGTCTTCTATAAGCTACCAGAGATATCCCCTACTATTATTACAATGTTACCATATCTGTTCCCGACGGAGCTGTTGCTCCAGATATTTCAATCTTGCACATCCATTGCCGACATTCTAAACTTAGCTCTTACCTGCCGCCGATTCCACCAAATTTTTGCGTCCTCTCAAAAGCTGCCACTTCTTGCCTCTGCTGCAGAGGCTGAATACGGTCCATTGAAAGATATTATCCAATTGGTGACTCAGAACTCCAGCCAGCCCGCGCATGCGATTCGCGAAGCTCCCCTTTCAATTAATCTCCTTCAGCAAATTGTTGCAGTTGGGCGTGTGGCTCGAAAATGGGAGGAAATTTACCCTGTCAAGAAATGGAAAGTCGACTTCGAAGATAGACGACTATTGACCGACCACGAACGATACACCCTCCGTCGCGCGATTTATCGACTATGGCTGTATTCTAGGGCATTTCACTGCGCTCTCTACCCACGCGGGTCGCGAGCAGTTCCTGCCGTGGTCCGTGAGCGAGCTGAGTTGTTGCATAATTGGTCAACAGACGAACTAGCTGAGATGGAAGACACGCGCCTGGTCATTCGTGAAGTGGTTCAAAATCATATTTGTCCGAGTAACGGCACTATTCAGCGAAAGTTCCACAAGCGTTTCCCTGAAAACACTCAGTCCCTCTCGTTCAACATTCACTTGAATTACCCTCCATCGCACGGCTCGTCCGATTTTTACTTTGCGGATCCTTATCGTTCGCACACTCCACCGCTACATGACCAGGAAACCTTCTTCCTTAACCCCTCGAAAAATGATCGATCTGGAACCAGCCAATTCTCAACTTCCACAAACAAATATGCCACTAAATTTCGCTCGGATCTTTATCACGATCCAGGCGCAGAGGGTTGGGGCGATGAAATCCCTCATTATTATGTGGTAGAGGATATGTTGAAACTAGATCCTGGACAGGTCATCTGGTTGAGGGAGAACACGCGACTCAAGGAGCAAGTGGAACGGTACGTCAAGTCAATTGGAGACTGGTTTGAAAATAACGGAGAAACCTTTGGTCAGACTCTTGAGTGGGTTCTCAATGAGCGTGGAGAAGACATAGAGGCATTCAAAGACGCCATCTTTGACCAGGAACTGGGAATTGCAAAGTCTGATATGTGATGGTTCATTTTCAATTTTTATATCGTTAGCAAGCACCTGTCAGCGACGATTATGAGATGTCACACCTGTATTGTAATCTCTTGATTCTCTCTTGTGGCTTTTGCTCATGGACAATAATTCATACGAAGTACTGGGTAGATATCGCCAATTTTTATACCCAGTCTGCAGTGATGAGGGACATAGACTTCTAATGTACTTCCATTATTTGTTATTTGGTATAAAAGGAGCCATTAATATTCGTTCAAAATTAATCAATTTCCCGCCCGAGCCGCCTTTGGCTGAGAATTAAGCACCATGTTGTTTATGTATATATGGAACACAGGTGAAACAGGTGACTGCTTTCTTGCCCAACACAATATCTGCCTAACATCGTCCGTTGCCTCCCTGTATACCATTTAGTCTTGAATTCATCTAGATTTGAGAATTAAAGTTTTCGATCGATCGTAAGGATGGCTTGTGATTGTGACGAGCTGTACAGGAACGCAGTCTTGATATCAGCATGGCCAGTAGGAGTATACATGTAGTAAGGAAATCCGCCGGAGGTTAGGGTTAAGCCCACGGAATACCATGAGGATATAAGGAAATCTGATAAGTAATTAGAAGGCGGAAAAAGGGAAATATGAAAAAAGTAAGGCATCTCCTATCATAGAAAACAAGTTCGTTGTAGAATCCGATTGAAAAGGAATGAAAAACCGATCTTTATCCTAGGCCGGATGAGAAGGGACTGGAAGTAAAGGGGGGAGGGAGAAGGTGTAATAACAGAAATGTAAACGCAGCACAAAAAAAAAAAAAAGAAAACCAGGATATGAAGCTCCAGCCACCGGTACCCTTCATAGTTGCTTTGCACATTAAATGACATCCAACGTAAACACGTAGAAATAGGATAGGATTCGATTAATCAACAGCACCCTTGTTTCTTCTCGGAGTCTGGGGTTTTGGTGATTTCCACGACTTTGCGGTCGCCGAGCTGGTTTGCGGAAGAATCGCCACTTTCAAGGGCCTTACTTGATACAATGCGGAAGATTTCTGCCAGGAGATCTTAGTCACAAGTATTCCGAAAATCCAACAGAGTGATCTTACCAGTGAGAATATTTTGGAAGGCAAGCTCGACATTGCTTGCGTCCAAGGCAGAAGTCTCAATGAAAGATAAGTTATTTTCACCTAAAACCATCAAAGTTAGCTGAGGAACTATACAAATATTTTGCCTCCCTAAAAAGCGGCAACATACTCGCAAATTGCTTGGCCTCCTCAGTGGGCACAGCCCGCAAATGTCTAAGATCGCTCTTGTTTCCGACCAACATGATGACAATGTTCGAGTCGGCGTGATCCCGTAGCTCCTTCAACCATCGAGTAACGTTCTCGTAGGTCTGATGCTTGCTGACATCGTAAACGAGAAGAGCGCCAACAGCGCCACGATAGTAAGCGGAGGTTATGGCGCGATATCGTTCCTGTCCAGCAGTATCCCAGATCTGAGATTTGATGGTTTTTGAGTCAACTTGGATAGATCGAGTAGCGAACTCTACACCAATGGTGGACTTGGAATCGAGGTTGAATTCATTGCGCGTGAATCGGCTCAGCAGATTAGACTTGCCGACTCCAGAATCTCCGATAAGCACCACTATACAGGTACCAACACTGTCAGCTATCTCGCGCTAAACCCATAATACTGCCAGAGGAACAGAGGAGGGGGGTAGGTTTGTCTTCAACTAGGACTGCTTGGTGGCATGCGGACAGGAGTGCGGGGAGAGGCGACAGACCCTTAAATAGGAACTACATTTTTAACCATGTGTTAGATCATAGATTCCAGCAGCTGAGCGGTAAACCTTGGGATATAACTCACATCGTATTCGTCGTTAGCCATGAGTAGCGCTGTTGGAGGAGTGTGCTGGTATGAACAGGCAACAGGGCAGCTTGTAGTTGAGCAAGGGAGTTCTGATCTGGAGTAAAGTGCAGGGTCTGAGATATCAGGGAGGCCGTGGATGCGAGAGTAAAAACAGAGTGTCCTTCACTTGGAAGCAAGCTGTTGGTTTGTAGTATGGCTTTCGTCAAAGTGGGCAACCGAGATGCAGCTACAACGGAATGTCTCCCCTGACTTTTGGTGGATTTGGACGGAGGTCGTTGTGCTTTTCCGGAGTACGCAGAACGCACTCGGGCAAACGAAGTCGCTGGTACTTCACATAACATGTGACTTCCCACAAAAACTGAAGTACAAGTAACATTAGTCAGCGAGCTGAGTCATCCAGGCTGGTTATGTCATTGCCTGTTCCCAAAGGGGTTAAGCGTAGAAATTCACTTAGTTTATCAAAGAAATAATAATAATAATAATAATAAAAAATAACATATATATTTCAAGCTTTGCCGAAGACCTGAATAAAACAATGAGACAAGAAACATCTAAGGTGCGGAGTTGAGGAGCTGAGAGGCCAAAGGGGAGCTTTTCTGGGGCAGCACTGGCTGCAAGGGACTGACCGTATCTAGTGGATACCCCCGGAGTGACTTTCACCTCGTGAAGGGAGGAGAAGCAGCGCGTCTAGTTCTATCAGACACGGTCTGTCTTAGCTACGGCCTACATCTGCCTGCCTTGCACAACAGCTAAACTAGCTAAAGAAGAATTACGGCTGATTTAGCTATTTTGAATTGGCCTTCTGGTCAATATATCTGTGTTCTTTCTTTAACCTGATGGTCCCCGGATGGCGTCTCAGTGTGCCTTATATAGGGGTGAGGATGATGAGGATGCCATCTCGCTCACATCCACTGTGCCTAGTGAGCCGCAAGAAGAGTATAATATAACTGGCGTACTGGCTGAGAGGATCGCGGACAACGGCGCGACCGAATATCTTGTCAGCTGGGAAAACTATCCTATTCATAGGTCCTCCTGGGAGCCGGCAGAGAATTTTGGGGACCCTGAAACCACACTGAGAGAATGGAACCAGAAGAAAGAGGCAATTACGAAGGGAGATGCGCCCGAGTTTGACCTTATTGCTTTTGAAAACCTCCTCGCAGGAATAGAGGAGGCCAAACTACGAAGGAAAAGAAAACGTAGGCTCAAGCGGATGCGTCTTGGGCTGGCCTGCGGAAGCGAGTCCGGGGACAACAATCCAGAAAGCCACGAGGAAGATAATGGTGATGGTAGCAGCAGAAGCAGCAGCAGTGATGAACCCACGAGCTCACGCATTTCTCCTGCCTCGAGGAAAAGAGGGGCTGGGATCCTCCTGCCAAAGCAAGAGTTGATGGCTACTCGAAAGTCGTCCAGTAGCGCAGCTGGTAGCTCAGATGCAATCAAGGGACGTACTTTTAAGGCAGCTCTCCGTGGGGCGTCTCAGCCTCCAAGGCAGCTAAAGATACCCCCTTCCTCAAAACTAAAAGTACCATCTACGGCGCCTCCCCCCATAAAAGTGTCTGAAAAACGTGGAACTAGGCTACCGATCAGAACATCCTCTGTCAATGTTATAGAGCCCGGGAATGAGGGTCAGACGGTGCAGTCATCAACCGCTAATCCTCCCACCAGCATGGCTCCTTCAAGAAAGTCTGTATTCACTTTCGCACCTGCAACGGCTCGAAGAGGCGGCTCCATGACCGCGGCAGTAGGAAGCAGGCAGCCCTCGGGACCCCCAAACAACAGACTCTTTCGAACCCTATCAACTCAGCGGAAATACCACAAAATGTCTCGAACCGAGAGGCCCCCTGACATTTCTCAACTTGATCTTCGGCCTCCAAGCGAGTGGTTGACCGCTGCAGGAAGGTCTGCACTTCCAGAGATCTCTTTAGGTAGGAAACGTATCGGAGCAACTTCAATGTCATCGTCGATAGATGATTTGTTCGTCGCTGAGGATGATAACAACGGTTCTCTCCCAAATAACCCGCCTCCCGTGCTTTCCAAGGATTCTAACACGAACGCCGACGGCAAATCCCTATGTACAAGGATTTGGCGTGAATGGAACAAAGGGGATGTTATGGTTCACCTTGTATTTAGTGCAAAGGAAAAAGTTATTGGAGATATACGTATCACCGGTCTCCCTCATTCAGCTAGATCTTGGTTGCTTTCTTTAAAGCAAGGTGATCAAATTGTTATTGATCTTCAGGAACTTTGCTCCCCCAAGGAGTTTCTCCAGCTGGTACGTGACTAACTCTCTAATACAGGATATATTTTTAGGTATTTCTAACTTATTATTCTTGCAGGAGCCTAACAAAGTTAATCATGGGCATGTTATCCCTTATAACGATACGATGAATCAAGTAAATTACTTAACAGAGTATCTACTTAACAATCAATCAGCTGCAATCTGGCGTTCCCTAGTCTGGCCAAGTCGCAGTATAATTATATACCCTTCCCAAGCTTATGAGTGGAGATTTCTTCATAAGCAATCACCATCACATCTATCCCCAATGCTTCGGCTTGTCATTATAACTCTACCTGATACCTCCGAGTTAAGAAAAATACCGCTGCCTAGTCCAATACCAAGTTCTTCACATCAAACACAGTCAGATGTACAACTAGGGAAAGGTCCAGAAGAAGTTGTACTTGTCCAAGGATACTCAGAAATAGCTGTCGGCACCGCTACCGATACACCAAGTTTGGTTTCTTTGCAGGAACCACCTCGCACTATTACTCTTACTCCTCTTAAGACACCGCTGCCTCCGAATGAATCGACTTCATCACCAGCACAACACTCGTCACGAGAACTTGCCACTAAATCCCTACCCGAGAGGACCCGGGATTTAGATGTTGAGACTTATTTTCAAAATCACTACCGAATCACTTTCGAATACTTAACTCGTTCGAAGTATTCAAAGTATCGCAAAGAGACACTACCGGTGTTTTATCTTATATTCCCCTCAATAGAAAGGGAGGAACATGACTTGATTCAGCAACTATTAGTCTTCAACAGAATAGCTCCCTATTCCCACAGGAACCAAGGGGATTGGACAAAGTTTATCAAAGATGTGACCGAAGCAGAAGTAAAACCGCAAGGCATAATAATTGTAAGCAAATCTATAACTTCCCCCCTCCTGCTTGATATATGTATCTAACAAGCAGGATGCTATATAGTGTCATCAGAAGTTTAATGCCTATAATTGCATGCCTAAACTTCAGGAACTTCTTCACCACCAAGTAAATGTATTCTCTTTGTCGCTGGCGCGCCCATTTAAATCTGTGAATAAAAGGCACCATATTATTCGGCTGTTCCCTAATGGATGTGTGATTCTTATAACGGAGGACTTCATTCTTCACGACCCTAAAAGCGCATTGATGGTGATAAAATGGGTCTCTAATATGTTTTGGGATAATAATGCCAAACGTGGCCCTAAATTATTTTTCCGCCCAAATATACGACTTTGGCTACAACAGCTGTGGCCAACTTGGCCGGATGAGACGTGAGCTACCAGTTACCAAATTACCCACATTCCCTTGGTGTAGGGAACATTAACTAACCTCCAATTCCTACGCAGTCTATACCATATTTTTTGCATTCTAGAAGCTCTCATACCCGACTATCCCAGCGGATGCTACGTTCCTGGTCGCGAAGACTACCCCTGGAGCTTAGATGGAGAAACAGATGACGAGGGTCAGCCTCACGTCGTCATTTCTACCCCTCATATACCGAATTATGGCTGGAGATCTGAAGATGAGCATCCAGATATACCTAAGAATTTGACGCAAGGGGCGCGAAATACCGACCATCTTGTTGAATATTTCGCAGGCTGGGCCATCAGTAATGTCGAAAATTTCAGGTATTTCCCTGTGCTGGTACATTCAATGCCCCAATTACGATGGGAAAAATGGAGCCATGTAAGTTGTATCCCATGAAATTAATCTATTGTCTTCATACGGATAAAATTCCATTGCTTCTCTGTCAGTGATAAAGCTAACTATGTATCAATAGATTGAGATACTAAACTATCCTGCTTTCTATGAAATATACATGAAGGCTGACATAGCGGCCACTAGCGAGTCAACACGAAACCAAAAAGGTCCTTCTCAACCTGCGATAGCTGAGAGTCAAACTAATACATGATGGCCGAATTCAGGCGTCATATATTTCCTGATTCAATATCGAATGGCGAGGCATACCATACTCACCAATTTCTGTTCACAATATCAACCATGTACAACTTTTCCTTTTCTTTGGTTAAGGTTCAACCGTTGTACTCCTAGGACGTACATCTTTGGTTTCGGAGGCACTATAGTCTCGAAAAGGAGTATGAATAGGTGGAGGAAAAGGAAAGGAATAATAATAATAATATTCGTTGTCATCATTCGAAGGATATAATCACACCCATACTCCTGTTATATACAAACTCTAACGCCAAAAAAAAGAGCCATTCTCCCGCTAACTGTAAATTAAGATGCCCCTGCAACCGAACCAGCAGTTGAGCGTGACCGCCACTCCTCAAAACTATGCGGTTGGTTTCGGACTCTGCCTTCTTTCGAGGCGTCTCTCTCTCTTTTCATCCGCTCCTCCCACTCACCCTCCTCTGCAGCAATAAGCGCATGGAATTTCCCGCTCTGACCACGAGAGAGATACACGGCTTTCTCCTTCCGCGCTGCAACGGCTTCGGTGACAAGGACAAACTTCACGCTTGATCCCGGTGCTTCGAACATTGCATCAGCCAGAATTGATTCCATCTCTGTTCGTAAAGCGCGAGCTCCTGTGGACATCGCGAATGCATTAGCCGCAACTTTATGGAGAGCGGCGGTAGTGAAGCGTAGTTCTATTCCAGAAAGGGCAAAAAGTGTGGTATATTGGTTTACTAACGAATTGCGTGGTTCGGTGAGGATTCGGAGGAGGAGGGAATGGGATAATGGAGATAGCGCAGAGGTGATGGGGATACGACCAATTAATTCTGGGATAAAGCCATATGCCTGGAGGTCACTTGGTGTAACAAGATCGAGAGGGTTAAAATATACAGGCTCTTCATCAGGTGCCGTTGGTGTTTGCGTTGGTGTGAAAAAGGGAAGATACTTCTTATACAGAGCTTCTTCATGCGACCCAGGAAGTATCGGAATAGGTGCGTTGTTCTTCGTTTGCGTTGAATCATTTTGAAATGACGAGGCTCGAATTGGTTGTCCGAAGCCAATTGACCCTCGTGATATTCTGTCCATGATGACCTTTTGTAGGCCAACGAATGCTCCAGAAAATATGAAGAGTATGTTATCTGTTCGAATGTTGTACACTTCTGCCTTTCCGGAAGGACCCGAAGTTGAATTATATGAGGTCCCACCCGAGGAGCCACTACCTCCAGGGCTAGGGCGCGAGGCGTTTCGCTCGGGTTTTGCTTGAATCTGAATAGTTGTACCCTCGATGATTTTCAACAATGCCTGTTGAACTCCTTCCCCGCTTACATCTTTGCCGTGACTAACCTTTGCAGTGGCAATCTTATCAATTTCATCAAGACAAATAATACCTCGTTCGGCTTGTTCCACATCATAGTTCGCCGCTGCAAGAAGGCGGTGAACGCATACATCGGCATCTTCGCCAATATATCCCGCCTGGGTAAACGGTGTACAGTCAGACATACTGAACGGCACTGAAAGGACACGGGCGAGTGTCTTTGCCATCAATGTTTTGCCCACACCAGAAGGTCCTAGTAAGAGTATGTTGGATTTCTCCAGCATGTTAATGGATGAATCAACAAGAGGGTCTTGTTCTGAAGGTAAATTGTCATCATAATATCTCCTTGGGGCGGAAAGATGTATAGTCCGCTGCTGACCTGGGAATTCATCTATAGTAATAGTAGTTAGCTTTTTATACGGGGTCGGTCATTGTTGACGAATCTCAGGCCGAGCAGGAAGGTTCATACCTTCTACTGGATGACTCTCCATCGACTCCCTCCGTGCCCTCTGAGCAAGGAGTTCTTCATGTTCTTCTAGCCTCCTTTGTAGTTCCTGAACTCTCTGGTAATGGTTATAAACTGCCACACTCAACACGCGCTTGGCACGATCCTGTCCAACGACGAAGTTGTCTAAGTGCTGCTTCAGCACCTTCGGAGTGACTCGAGGAACACCGAACGAAGGTGTCGACCCCAAGGGCCCCGGCGTAGGTATCCCTGTCTCATAGCTATTTGTATACGGCTGGTTTGTAAAATCTGATCTGTGAAACTGGGTAGACTTCGATGCCGAAACTGAGAAGCTCCGACGAATCGAATGGAGCGCAAGGTAGGAGAATCGAGCTCGGGAGTGGGCAGTGGACGTGGTTAATGCCATAGTCTCCCGCCGTAGGAGTATATAAATGTATGGATGGAGGAACCTCATGTGTTGGGGCCTGTCGGCGTTGGACAGGAATTGCTGGTGTTGTTGTCATCGAGAGTGGCTCTTCCCAGCAGGCAAGGCGACTGGGAGCCGGGGTAACGCCACGTGACTCCCCGCGATCGTCCGCCATTTTATCCGTTTCATCTTATCTCCACGTGATCGAAAGTTTAATTAACCAAGCTCGATCAGATAACAAAACTACCAGACGCGGACTCCTCAAATCATCCATTCAATTCCACCCTCATGCCATTTCCTTATACTGCCGACCATACCTGAAGTATTACAGAGATACCACCCCTCCTTTTAAAATAGCGTGTTATATCGCCGTTTGAATATAATCATCCTTGAAAAAGGGGTTTATTTTCTAGTTGTTCTACTTCTAATTTTTACTTCAAGATTATATATATTATACAGACGTTTGGAATCTACCCCCAAAGTGATACTTCCCTTGGTATCTAGAAGCTCCTAGAGGTGTTATGAGGGGATATTTGTTTATTTTGAAAAATGACCATTCATATTAGAAATGTGGTTATTGTTGAGGGTGTATTTATGGTTGAGCTGGTGAAGGTAGAGATGGGTAACTTCTCACCTCCAGCGCTGGGTGAAGTGGGTACGTACAGGATAGATAAGTAACGATATAATTTTCTCAGGCTAAAACTAAGCCTCAATAATAAAGTAGAGCCGAACTGCGAAACTTAAAATAAATTAAATAAATTTGCATACATGTCACCAGCGGAATGGCTCATTTCCACGCGCTTTCTCCAGTAGTCGTAAAGTGAACGCCTGGAGACATGCGCCTAACAACAACAAATGGCCTTTCGACTCGGGGTTAAACGGTCCAAATTCACGCATGGCCATGAATGTGTCGTCGTCGTATTTCTCTCCCCTTAAGTATTTCACATAGTCTCGTGTATACTCTGCAATGATTATCCATACTTCGTGGCGGTCCTGGGAGATCATCAATCGCCTAAGGAGAGGTCAGTCTGCTGAGTCTCTATCCAGTGATGTTAGCGGGAACATACCTATACTTGCCATTTTCTGGCGGCCCCGCATCAGGCTCTGCATGTATCCAAGCCGCCATTTGTGCGCTCTCTTGCGCCTGAGGCCAAGTATTTGTTCGTATACCTGCTTTGACCTCAAGAATGGCCAAGGAGATGTCCTTTCCGTCTCTGTTGAATCTGAGATGCCCATCTGTTCTAGCTTCATAGAGCTTTTTTGAGGGGGTCTTAAAGATAAAAGCCTTGCGTTCCAAAGACCATGGAAAATCAACCAACCTTTGTCGACTGAGACAAACTGCATTCAGGGCTAAAATTAGAGCTGTATTCACGGTCTGTTCGTCGTCAGCTGGTGGGAATTGATAGTCTTCACTAGTTGCCGCAGGAGAAAGGTCGTCGATATCCATACTCTGCGGAAAGCTAGGTGTATCGTATTCATTTTCTAGTACCATGCTAACAGAAAAAGGCGTTTCGGGCGTGCTGGCGCCATGAGCAACTGACTTTCCTTTGGATGGCGTTGAGGGTGCCTGGGACGGATGTGGCAAGGGGTATTGGTCAAACTTAGAAGATGGTCTGAAAGTTTGTCCTGGGCTGGCTGTATGTCCCATGCCGCTAAAAGGGTTTTTACTAGACGAAGGTTGGTCGGTTTTCTGCCTTAAGGCTATGCCCATTCGTGTTCTCGAGGAGACCGGGGACGAAATCTTGTCAGATTCTCTAACAGGTTTATATATTTGCTGTACCTGCTTCTGAAAGGACCACAGCAGGTCGAACCTGCCGAAATTCGGGTCATTTCCAAGCCCTCCCTCGACAGTGTGGCAATAAGATCGCCAATGGTTCACATGGGCTAAGTTTGACGCCGCCTCGCTTATCGACAAGCCATAGTCGGATTTGGGATCTATCTGTCCCACAGTTTTGGCTGGAGCCCAGTACACACGAAGTGCAAGGAACTGTTCTTCCCCAATTTTAGAGCCTGATTTAAGGCTATCGAGGTTGTGAATCGCTTGAAACTGTGGACCGAGCGCAGCGGCGCGCATTCGCCAATCAGACTTGCTACTCGGGGGTATCATGCTGATTTATCGTGGAAGGATACCGTGAAGGCTAAGATATTGTAAGACAGCTGTTGAAGTTGTTGGGCCCAACAATAGAAAAAAAAAAAAAAAAAAAAATTCAGACTTGCAAGTGGAGGATGTATTCAGTTATTCGAAGTGAGTATGAGAGTTATGTGAAGGAAATGTGAGACTGCGTGAATGGAAAGCAGTATTTATAATTGTAACTCCGGAAAGCGGAGAATCATCCTTTACAGCAACTAGATGATGATAATAGATTTCATCACTACCTCCAGCTCTCTAAGCGCCGGGTTCACATGAATTGCTCAGTCACAACAATAACTAATGCATCGGGACAACGACTCCCCGAGACCTGGTTAACCAGGATCATACTGTGCGTAGGGGTGGGTACGTACCTTCTTATTTTACCCTTGCCTTTACTCCGTGTCTTTCACCAGTCTTTCATTCTGCCACGTTGGTACTCTTCATTTTGCCCGTTCTCTAATCTCCTAAACAAGAGGCCTAACATTGACTCCACCCCAGAGGGAGAGAGAGCAAGATAGCTAGGTTATGGAGAACGTAGAATATATCAGGGAGAAGGTATCTCACTTTCTTTACTCTCACCCCTCTATTTTTATCCATGGGGAGGGGTCATTATATCCCGTTCATATCCATCCAACACAGGTCCTGGTTTAGAAAAGCGAGCCAACACGGAAGTTTTACTTTTCCTCCGGAATCAAGGAAGCCTGGCTTTTAATTCGCCGTACCCAGTTGACCCCTCCTCCTCCCTGATGGAACTCCCCGTATATGCATGGTTCCATGATCAGGATCACACCAACAACGTGCGGACATATGGCGGGAGATGCCTGCTGAGATTGCTGATTTGTGGATTGACGTTGTCGGTTAAGCGCCCGGGGCTGAAAAGTGGAGACTAACCAACAACCAACAGCTAACAAACTTCGGGCAGCGCGCTAAGTGAGTTGGGCGGATGGGAAATTAGTCAGCTAACGAAACTATTATTAGCAATTTTGTTTTGATTCGTTGCTCGTAACAACCATCTTAACCGCTGTGACGCACCGGCTTTAATATATAGCCTCCAGCATTTCTACCTCCATTTCCCATTCCCTAAAACTGCATGTTAAACCTTCTCAGTTTTGGTTGAAAATTCACAGTCCGTCTTTACACGTCACCCTCTCTAATTAGCATCGACTGTATCCCCCACCATGCCACGCCCAATTCTGAATGAGAAGCCCAGCCGTAACGGCACCAAGGTTAAAGGGATATTAAACGAAGCGGTCAAAAATGGCATGAGACCAGAGCAGGCTCAGTTTATCATGGCCAAAGCCCTTATGAGTGACAATCTCATGGAGATCTATGACGCGGTTGACTACAATAAAACTCCTTACTTCACCCCATCCTCGGTCCCCACTCACATTGTGATGCACATGGATACCAAGCCAAAGTTCTTCATCCCAACAAGCGAGAAGGAGCTGGTAGAGAGATATAAATTCCCTGAATTCCGTCTCAAACGCCAGAAGGGAAACAATGTGGTTCCAGGAAACGCTTCTGATTCAGCGTATGAGCTCCTGCTGAGCTTCAATGAGTATTTTGCGTTAGTCGGCATGGGTCGGAAAGGATCGCTGGCAGACCAACTGGGACTGCAGATGCTAAGGTTTGTTTACCCAACTATGCCTACATTTCACTCTTTATCGCCCTACTTTTATACTTACGATTTTCTCACTATGACAGGGACCGAAACGGCGAGTACCCCATGATGATTGAGTATGCAGGGTGCGGCGTTCGCAATCGCCAGTATCAATGGTACACAGATATGATCTATGAATATAAGAATGCTCCTCATCTCATGATCAAGGCAATTCATCAGATCACGAGAGATGGCACCGAGAAATACATTCTTCAAAGCGAGTTGATGATCCTTCTTAGACTCATTGTGATGAAATCGCGTCGGTCTGAAACTCAATCTCATGCGATTATTCCTGTATGTCATTTATTCTCGACCCATGTTAACTACTTCGTCGCTAACTGTAGGCAATGTATAGGTTCTCTTGATCTCTATCCGTCCTCATCACTATGTGATCATTGAGGCATACTATGATGGCAAAAATGTTCACGTGAACTACGGTAAACCCATAGCGATGTCAGAAGATATGCCACCCAAAGAACAGGACAGGAGAATGAAGTACGTGATCGGCTGGGCAACAGCCCAGCCCTGTGGGAAAACCGCCAGCTATAAAGACAGCCCGCAGTAATTGGAGGATTATGACTAAGTTTGATGTGGTATGCGGACGAGTTTGCTGGGACTTCGCGCTTTCTACTTTAGCTTCGAAACTTGATTAAGCTACCCCAGAGATGATTTTTTTGGTTGGCTCGCACGTAAATAGTTATTGTTTTTCTTGTGACGCCAGCGATGGAAATTTGATTGCCATGTTGTATTTCATTTGTCCAGGCGTTAGTGGTGCTTTCTACATAGTTACGACAGAATAACATCAAGTCTCCATGTTTAACTGCTAAGTCCATGAATTCAATGTCTTGCGCATTACTAAAGCCGGTATTAACTCTCGTGAAAATTAAATTAAACCAATAGATGCTCAGGATATCATAATAATGAGTGTGAATTGGCTCATTTTAGGCCCGACACAACCCTTGTTTATCCCAAGCCTCGCTGCCTACTCCCGAACGGACAAAAAAGAGGCCCCTTGGATCCCATCTGTTCTTCACACGGAGAAGAGTATTATAATTCGTGCCCCAGAAGGTCTGTTGAAACCTTGGCTCGTTCACATCAGCCTCATTGGTATAAGCACCCATGTCAGGCTCCACAGCAGCGAGCAATGGTATTTCTTCCGCAGTCAATTTGGTTGAAATCTTCTCCTGTTCTGCAAATGTGGAGTCGATACTCCAGTCACGACTGATAACAAGGTGAACCAATGCTTTTCTCCATGAAGGATTGAGCGCACTTTGAATATGTGTGTTCTTAGCGACTTGTCCGCCAGCAACTAGATGTCCAATGGCAGGTTGCAGATTTTTAAAATCCAGCTTGGAAAGCGCAGCGGTGAGATTTGCTGCACCTCCTGGAGCCTCAAGGAGTTTCCTGGAGAATAATCTTGAGCCTAGGATATTTACTCCGCCGCCGTCTCGAGGTGGTTTCTGATCAAAAGCGGACCTGAAAGCTTCAGTTGACGACGAAACTGGGACGCTAACGCTGGCAACGTTGATTCCAGGGATTGAGGAGAGGCTGGCAAAAAGGGGCCTATAGAGGTTGTCGACATGTGCTTTGTCTGTCTTGTTTGCATAGTAAAATGCGGCAATAATAACAGCTGCGCTTTGTGGGCCGAGGGTAACATTGGGAAGCATGTAATAATAGCCTGAACAGCCACCATCGCTAAGGGTGGGCAAGTATGCTTGGAATTTCTCGACTGCAGCCCAGTATGACTCGTTTGCCTTTCCATCCATGGTGACGTTCACCTGTGACACGATGGTAGGAGGGTCCTTGAAGGTCCGGAGAGTAACACTGGTGACGACGCCAAACGTTCCTCCTCCACCACCTCTTAGAGCCCAAAACAGGTCTGAATTTTGATATTCATTTGCAGTCACGAATTTTGCCTGAATAGGTTGTCAGATACTTGTGTGGAATAAATGCAATACAGAATGGGTGGAAATGGCCGTGATTTATACTTACACCTGCAGTTACCACTTTGTACTCCAGTACATGATCGGTGGACATACCCTTCCATGGGCCCAGAGGTGAATGGCCACCACCCTGGATATACCCACCAGCTGCTCCAACTGTAGTTGACAGACCAATAACCTGCGTCAGTCCTCTCTTGCCTGCAGCCTCGTACAGCTCATTCAGTTGAACACCAGCACCGATTGTAACTGCTTGTCCTATGCCTCTACCATCCGGTTTCCCCTCTGGCACGAAGTTGTCGGTGAAGTTGATGCTTTTCATATTATGAGTCAATATCTGTAACGATTGTGGCCCAGTCGAGCGCCCGAGAAAGTCATGTCCCGTATTCTTAATTACCAGCCGAAGGTTATATTTGCTGGCGAACCGTACTGTCTTCTGGATATCCAATGGGGACTGAACGACAGCAGAGTATAATGGTATCCTACCCTGACCACAGGGAACTTGTCGAGGCCCGTCGATATAGCATGACTCGTTCTTCTCCGGCCATGTCTCCCAGTTGATACTCTGTACCGCGCCTGGCTGTGCGGATCGCCAGGAAGAGTCCGTCTGCATACCCTTCACACTGTCACAAAGGCCTCCATTGTATGTTGGATCGTGGCAAACGGTTCCCACGGGCTTTACTGCGACTAAATTTCCTGATAGGGTCTTGTTGAGCGTCTGCCAGAGGCCTGGGGATGGCCAGCAAGACTGGTCAGGTGTGCATCGACATCGAGGTCCCTCTGGGGCCGCATGTGTTGCCCCGAGGAACGACAATAAAGCCGTTAGGTATGCTGTACTTCTCATAGTATGCTGATGTGGTCGTGCGTAGGTATAGATCGCAATTCCTTCGGTAAACAAAACCAAGACAAGCCACCTTCCACGTATTTCGACTCAGTATACACCAGGAAAAGAAGAGTTCTGCGGTATATGCCAACCCGGGGAAGGTAAACTTATATAGAAAACTATACAACCTTCCCCCACAGCCAGGCAGCCTGGGAACTGGAGTTGATGTCGCTCCCGAAAAGACAAAAAAGTCTCTTTCTCACGGCCACGGCCCACCCGGCTCCAGGCTGCTTGTCGATTTGGCCGACATATCGTTATAGTTCAACCCTAATTCAATTCGCCTGCAATCAAGCGCAATCCTTGACTCAATCTGGGAGGGCAAAGTATAAGCCTTGGGGGGAGGATACGACTTCATTTCCCCATCGGGCGCACCAAGAGACGCCCTGTTGAGCAGTGCTGCCAGGCAGCAGCTTTATTTGAACCCCTATTACTCCGTAATCCATAGATATTTCTGTAGTTTTCTCTTGGGGCGAAGCCCCCCATGGTGACGGGGCTTGCAATCCTGGAGTAGTAGAGGAGCTAAGTATATGCATCTCCAGATGGGGTAACCAGCGCGGACGATAGTCAGCTCCTCCATATCCATCATCTTGACTCCTATCCGGGCTCCAGCCGAAGCTAAGTTAGCCTGTCAGCGCCCGACTTGCTTTGGCCGGGAGCTCACGGGCTCGTATTCTTTTTGCTCAATTTCGGCATCAACTGCGCTGACATCAAAACATGTGAAGCACAGCCCGGATGATGGTTCCACAAGGAACTGGAGCGAAGTTCCGAGGTAGCCTGGCCAGTTGAGCCTATTGTCGAGTTGACCTCTTGATCTGGCAAAAGGGTCGTATTTCTTCGTAGCAGTGCCATTTAATTCTGTCTTGGTGGCTCAGCTGGATTGCTGCTAGCTCTGTGTTGTCTGCTGCGATACTCTCAGCTCGTGTGTCTGGACGAGAAGCCAGCTGGCTTGGTTGAGATTGCGATGAAGGCTTCGACGATCAATCGTACCAGTGTTTCTGAGACAGGCGCCAGCGCTAGTTGACTAACTAGCTGCTGCAAGGGAGACCAGCTAGAATCTCTCTCGAAGGTGAAGAGTGGGAGATTATTAGTTCCTCTCTAGTGAGGTTGCCGTCGATGAGGCGATATCCGCCTGCTCCGGGTAACTAAATAGTTGGGCGGAGTGGCGACAGGGAGCGCGACCTAAGGAAGCCTTTTTATTATCTTTAAGCCTTTATCCCTGGGGCGGATTAATATCAAAGTCGAGGGCTGACTTACGAACGGCCATGTATGAGCAGCGACAGTTAACAATTGACATGGAAGCAAAAGGACGTTCTGACCTTTCATGATATCTATAAAACAGCTTTCGATCATGGAAATATCAAGTGATGCCCCGTCCATATACTCTCAACTTACAAAAAAAAATACATTTCTTTCGACAAATGAAAAAAGAGGTTTCCTGGGAGGACTAAATTAAAATGAACAGGAATCAAGGCTTGGGATACAAGGTGAGTTGGTTTCTTTAATCTACATATCTTCACACATCTATTGTTTTTCAAGCTCAGCCAGGATCTTCTCTCCCTTGGCGCGGGCAGACTCAATGTCTCCAACCATGTAGAAGGCGGCTGCACGGGAGTTAGCATTTGTTCAATTACCAGGAAGGGGAAATAAAGGGGAGAGAAACGGGAAAACGTACCTTCTGGGAGATCATCACATTCACCGTTGATGATGGCCTTGAAGCTTCGGATGGTGTCCTTCAAGTCGACAAGGGCACCCTCGATACCAGTGAAGACCTGGGCAACGGTGAAGGGCTGGGAAAGGAAACGTTGCATTTTACGGGCACGCTCGACGGTGAGCTTGTCAGCTTCCGACAATTCGTCCATACCCAGAATAGCAATGATATCCTGGAGAGACTTGTACTCCTGCAACATCTGCTGGACACGGGTGGCGGTGTTGTAGTGGTCCTCACCGACGATACGGGGGTCAAGCATACGGGATTTGGAGTCAAGAGGGTCGACAGCTGGGTAGATACCCAACTCAGAAATACCACGGGACAAGACAGTGGTGGCGTCCAAATGGGCGAAGGTGGTGGCAGGAGCAGGATCAGTCAAATCGTCAGCAGGGACGTAGACGGCCTGGACGGAGGTAATGGATCCCTTCTTGGTGGTGGTAATACGTTCCTGCATACCACCCATGTCGACGGCAAGAGTGGGTTGGTAACCGACGGCAGATGGGATACGACCAAGCAGGGCAGACACTTCGGAACCAGCCTGAGTGAAACGGAAAATGTTGTCGATGAAGAGAAGCACTAGAATATACTTTGTTAGAACGTGAATTTCTTAAAGTTCTATTAGCCATAAGAGACTCACCGTCTTGACCCTCCTCATCACGGAAGTACTCAGCAATGGTCAAACCAGTAAGAGCAACACGGGCACGGGCACCTGGGGGCTCGTTCATCTGACCGAAGACCAGGGCCACCTTGGACTCGCCATCAAGCTGAATGACACGGGTCTCCTGCATTTCATGGTAGAGATCGTTTCCTTCACGGGTACGCTCTCCGACACCAGTGAAAACAGAGTAACCACCGTGAGCCTTGGCAATGTTGTTCTATACAAACAATTAATACTCGAAATTATTTTTTCACCAACGACGAAATTGTCGAATTGTCCAATTTTCGCCTAATGTTGTTTCTTGGGGCAGGGTTTCAAATGACTTACAATCAACTCCTGGATGAAGACAGTCTTACCGACACCGGCACCACCGAAGAGACCAATCTTACCACCACGGGCATATGGGGCAAGAAGATCGACGACCTTGATACCAGTGACGAGAACCTCAGCAGAGGTGGACTGCTCAACGAACTCGGGGGCTTCAGCGTGGATGGGGGCCATCTTGACACCCTTGATTGGGCCTCGCTCGTCAATTGGGTCACCAGTGACGTTCATGATACGTCCGAGGGTACCAGGGCCGACAGGAATTTGGATGGGAAGGCCGGTGTCAGTGACCTTGGCACCACGAACGAGACCTTCGGTACCTGTAGTGCAGAGGCGTGTTAGCATTGAACGTCTTAGTTCCAGCTCGGCTCCCAGATCGGGTTTGATGCCAAGCCTTTGAGAGAAATATCGACACGTACCGTCCATAGCAATTGTTCGCACGACTCTCTCACCCAAATGTTGCTAAAGCGTCCAGTTAGCGGCCAACAATGCCATAATTGAGATGGCCGCCGATGCGAGAAGATACTTACAGCGACCTCGAGGACCAGCTTCTGGCCGCCGTTGTCAGTCACCAAACCGTTGAGAATGGAGGGAAGGGTCTCGGTATCGAATTTCACTACACGAATTCATCAGTTCCATCATCGAAAACGAGCTAGGTCCATCGCCAATGGCATTGAGCTCGAGATTTGATGCTCAATTGATGCCAATTGGTGTCCGGCCGAGATGGTGAAATTTCTTCTCGACCGTGTTTACGGGGCAAAAACGTACCGTCGACGACGGCACCGATGACCTGATGGATCTTGCCAATGTTGGCAGCGTCCGTACTGGCATATCGGGCTGTGAGAGCTTGGAGAGCATTGTTCTTGAAGGTTGGGCGGACGGAAGAGAGGACAGAGGAGGAAGGTCGTGCAAATGCAGACCTTCCGAGGGTCCGGGAAATGCCGCTGCGGCGGGGAGAAAAGCGTCAGCAAGGGCTGTCTGACCGGTGAGGATGGTCTATCGAGGGCATTGAGCTAGTATCTTACCTCTTGAACATGGTGAGATGCGTGAAGAGTGGAGGGTGGATGGAGAGAGTTGAAGAGGTGAGGTTGGAAGCAAAAGGGAAGAAGAGCGAGAAAGCTGCTCGGGTGTGGTCGCTGTTTTCAGATACGGCTAGTGGTCACAGTACGTAATTACAGGGATAGATACCGCCAGGGTACTTCCGGATACGCCCAAGAGCAGCGCCTTTTCCGCAGTACCGCCACCCAGCACCCAGCGCGTAATTTTACGTATTACGCAGACAGCCTCGTAAAAGGCCTTCCGTGCAGCCAAGTCTGTCCTTTTTGTGTGGTGGAAAAATTACACGCTCCGTCTGTTGCCGGTTCCACCTCGCGCCAAGGCATAGTTAGTGGCCAGGACTGCGATATCAAACAGGGCCAGGAGATGGATGGTGAGAGGCATGCTCAGTTGTTTTTTTTTTGACTACGGAGTACTTCGATGTGATATTAAGCCTTTTCTTGACGATGAGCTAGTAAACTGAGGAGGTTTTTATAGAATAATACGAGAGGTCGGTGCAATAAGAAAGAAAATACGTTGGCTGGGCTACACCCGCTACAGGGTGTCTTCGAGAGCGAGGACCTATCACAGTCAATATTTGGGGCCGTTTCATCCTGGATCAAAAGGGCTGAACTTGGAACTCACCAGGGCCGTTCTCGTGGGCAGATACAATTCTGTATAGTTTTTGCGCCCATTCCACTCCAGATCTGTGGTGAAGAACCTTGTTCCTTTGGCGTTGCGGTCGAATCCTCCAAAATCGCTGTCGTCAGTGTCAATGACAATCCGGTACGTTCCTGCCTGCTCTACTCCGACACGGTAGGCTGTAAAACTGTTGGTCGGATGGAAGTTGAACACCCAGAGCAATCCGGCGCGTTCAAATACCAAGACCTTGTCCTGTTCATTCTTGAGGCTGATGTAGGCCTGCGGTGACTGGAGCCACCCGTATTTCTCCTCGGTCAGCTGCATTTTTCTGTCGAACTCGTTCAAGAACTTGTATCGGAGGAGATGATCCTCAGTGAGATTCAGCTGCCTTCTGGCATACCAGAAGCTGTTATTATTGCCTTGACGGGGGAAATCGAGCCATTCGGGGTGACCGAACTCATTGCCCTCGAAGTTGAGGTAGCCTTCTCCTCCAAGTCCGTGTGTGACCAGGCGGATCATCTTATGTAGACTCATGCCACGCTCAATGAGGGGAGTGAGTTCCGTCAACACAGACATGTTTGTGTACATCTCCTTGTCGCAAAGCCACATCATCAGCGTCTTGTCACCGACAAGCCTATCAATCATTATTAGCACTTCTCCTGAAGGAGAGCCGTGGTAAAATGTCTTGGGATACATACGCTTGATCATGGCTCTCGGCATATGCAATCGCTTTCTCGCCATGTCTGCGGTTGGTGAGGGTGAATGCTATGTTTGCCATGTCCCACTCTTCATCCTTCTTCTCCTTGAGCAGCTTGATGTACATGTCAGGGACAGCCATGGCTAGACGATAGTCGAATCCTACGCCCCCTAGGGCCAAAGGTAAACACAATGCAGGCATTCCAGAAACATCTTCTGCAACTGTGATGCAGTTGGGGTATAGTTTATGCAGCATTTCGTTTGCCAGAGCCAGATATGCAACACCTTCATCGTCAACAGACGAACCAAAGTACTCATGATATCCACCGGAAAATCCACTATCCATATCAGCATATACCATGCACTCCATGGGGGAAAAAAAAAAAAGGTAGAAACTTACGTTCCGATTCCATGATGAATGTACAGCATGCTTGTGACCCCATCGAAGCGGAAGCCGTCAAAACGATATTCTTCCATCCAGAATCTCAGGTTACTGAGAAGGAATCTGAGCACCTCATGATTTCCATAGTTGAAGAGACGACTATCCCATAGGTCATGGTTACCCTTTCCACCTGAATGGAAATAGAGATGGTCCGTTCCATCAAACATGTTAAGCCCATCCAGCACGTTCTTGGATGCATGGCTGTGCACCACGTCAAGGAGAACCACGATACCCATGCTGTGAGCTGTGTCTATTAACTCCTTCAGGTCTTCTGGAATGCCATAGCGACTACTCGCTGCAAAGAAGTTGTTGACCTGGTATCCGAAGCTTGCATAGTATGCATGCTCCATGATGGCCATAAGCTGGATAGCATTGTATCCTAGGTATTTGATACGAGGAAGCATGACCTCAGTGAAATTCTTATATGTTGCAACCTCTGTCTTGGGTGATGATATTCCCACATGTGCCTCGTAGATACGAAGCGACTTTGGCTTTGGAGGGGCAGCGTGTTTGAACTGGTACTGCTCCTCCTTGGGTGGATGCCAGAATACGTTGTCATACACTGGAGAGACACTGAGATCCTGAGTTACTCTTTTGGTCCAAGCTGGTATTCTGTCAAGTCGCTCCCCCGATGGTGTGGTCATGGTAATCTGATGCTTCTATATTAGGACTGGCTTCTCTAACCTTGAGCACCGGGCATGTCATAGGGGATCATTTATCCTTACTTTGACCTTGCTGTTGTGCGGTATGGCAAGCTCTCCGTTCTTTGCAGGGAGGATGCCTTCCCACACTCCGAAGTCATTCTTCTTCAATGGTGTAGCAGTTGGATCCCATTTATCTTCAAACATGTCAGTTTAATTGTATAAAACATGGCATCTAAGAAGAACAAGTTTGCGGTTAACATACTGAAATCACCAATGAGATGGGCCGTGGTCGCGTTTGGAGCCCACTCTCTGTAGGTGATGTCGCCGTTACTCGCAACATTGAAACCAAACTTCTCGTAGCCCTGTGCATGACTTAGCATCTATTCAACACAGACTGAAGAAAACAATATCTCCAATAAATAAATAAATAAACACAGAGAAGAAGAAAAATGCGCGAAACAGACCTTGCTGAACTTGTCCAGCCCGCCCTCTGTCTCGTCAATCTTGCGGATCCAGTCGGTTGCCCGCTTGTATCTACTTCTCAGAGCGTCCTTGAACGGCTCGAGCCACGGATCCAAATCAACGACTCCTAAGCAAGATGATTTAAGTTGGTACCGCGTTGATCAAAACAGAGCGAAAAGTATGTTCTCGCAAACTGACCTGTGCCATCTGGAACTTTTGCTGCCATGGTTTGCGGCTGGGAAGTATACTGCGTGTATCTCTCTGATTTCATCCTAACGAAGGCAACTCGAGGCAAGTCAGTGCTGATGCAGTTTAGTTACTGGGGAGAAGCGCGTTCAGGAACAGCTCGGAGGAGAGGAGATGAAGAGAGAACTAAGGTAGTTCACCAGCAGAGCCCGCCGGGCCAACAAAGAGGGACAATAAATAGCTCCTCCCAAGGGTGCGTACGACGGCCAGAGACGAGATAACCAGTTGGCAACTGGCTAGTCAACTCACTAACCAGCTGGCCGGCTTGCTCTCGAGTGGCAAGCAAGAGTTCAACTTCCTGCTGTTAAGGCGAACTGCGGTCCATGGACTAGTTTACTGCTGTCTTTGCTTTTCTCTCGTCCCTCTGCATGGAGATAGCTACAAGTAGCTGAGTAGTTGGCGTCAGAAAGAGCGAGAGAGCAGTCTGCTGGGGAGGCGGCACGCTGGTTACACCCTCTTCCCCCCTTGCCCTGCCCTGATCCCCAGAACGTCATTGCTAAGCAGGAAATCTTGTTTTGCTGTCTGATAGCCCAGTCCATATGCAAAGCGGCGTGGGCAGCGCTATATAGCTAAGCTCCAACCACCCCCGAGCTCTCTGCATACCACCAGCATTTATCATAGGCTAAGCTATGGCGTTGGAATTGATGATTGGATGCCCGGCGGAATTATCTTTCCATGAGCGATTTCTTTTTGGCTGGCGTTGTTATGCAGGTCCGGGCCAGCTCCTACAGTTAAATAGAACTAAAGGAATATCTAACTATCCAGCGCAGGGTCTCTTGTAAAAAAAACTGTCCAGCGTCCACGGAGTTTTGTTCCTGGGGTAGTCGGCTACCTGTTAGTAGAGTAGTTATCTAGGCGAAGGGCGCATGTCGTTGGCACCAGATAACTGACTACTTAAGTTAGTTTCAGGAGAATCATACGATTACTATTTATATCGCCCCTTTGCCATCCCCCCGCAAGTACATGCAAATTCTACGCGAGGTGTCTAGGTCAAAGTAGAACAGGTACCGGTGTCTAGAACCCGATGTTAATATTCGTTGAAATGGTAATGATACAGTGATGGAATCGGACTCAAGGGTGGGAGCCACAATATGGTTGAGATAATGAAAGGATAACACTTGCTTTATATATAGAACACATGAGGTACAGACAGACGAGGGAGCAACAAAGGAAACAGAGGATGCACGGCTTGATGGAAGGGGAAATATCACCAGGAGAAGAAAGGCGGAGGTCCAGGCCCTCCATCTTCTGACAGTGTGCAGCATCGACACATGCTAGGAGACCGGACAATGCACTCCTTCCTTCCGACAGACCGAGAACAAGAAAGGAGGGAAAGGGGGAAAAGATATGAAGGGAAAAGAGGGAAAAAAGAGACTATACAGTTGTTCGATTCCATTAATACAGTTTTAATTGTTTTTCTCTGATATTGCACAAGTTGAGTAGATCTGGAAGGCGAGGTCCGAGGATATTAAAAAACTCGGGACACACTGACGAAAAAAACGGAAGAGAAGTCTTCATCTTTACCTTGTAGAAGGCACTCTCTTTTCTTTTTCCCTTGCGGAACTTCGTATTATGTTATCGAATCTATTTGCCAGCTGGTGCACTCTGTACGAAACCCTTTCCAGAGTATCCTTCGCTGCTGATACCGGTGATGGGGTCGAGCTTCTCTTTCTGTTGTGGTGGATAGTATGTTAGTGTGTGTTCACAGGCCATTGATAGGATATATATATTGACGTACCAGGGCATATTCGTTGGTGGCTTCTTGCCATTCCTTGGTCATGGTCTTTGGCGGGCTGCCGGCGAAGAGACGGGTGGCGTAGAAAATACCAGCAGAGATAACGACGTACTTCATTAGCTGGACGAAGATCTTCACACCCTCGCCCTTGGGGGTCTCAGCACGGGGGCCATGGGGACCGAAGGCGATCCAGTAAGCTGCTCGAACAGGAAGTAACAGGTTAGTATGTGATAATTAACAATGAAATACAGTAATTTATTCCTTTGGCGCAGTGCAATGGTATAAATAAACCATCTGATAAGGGGGATAGGAGTGATAAAGATGATGCCAGTTTCAGGTATGGATATCCATCCCACAAGACACCGACGCCAGGATGATTCATTAGCGTTCAATGGCAATGGAAATATCACCTACCAGCTCGCTTCTCTTGTAGAGTCATCTCCTTCCAGTCAACCTTCATTCGGTCTCTCAACTTCATCCACAATTCAGCCTGTTCTTGAGGAGGCATGGCTTCCCAGCGCTTCTCGATTCCAGCGAGGTGAGGGTTGGCAATGGCGTGTTCCGAGGAGGCAGAGCGGATCTGCTGCTTGGAAGGAGACGCAAGCTGGCTGCTGACGGGCACACGGGCATTGAGGCAAGCAATTGGTGAGGCCTGATTGCTTCGTGCAGCAAAATTCGAGCATGTAGTCGAGACGGAGCGGACGGTGCCTGCGACGGCCCGTGGAGTGGCTCGGAAGGACATGGCGAGGTAATTCGAAGAAGACGGAGCGGGAGAGGAGAGAAGAGGCGTAGATGGAGTCTGATTCCTGGCGCCGAAAGAGAGAGCGAAAGACCTGAAATCAACGCTTTTGCAGGAGCGAAGTCGAAGTTGGGATGTTGTGAGGTTTGATGATTATGGCTGCGAAAGTTTCCGTGGTGCTGACTCAGCGTGGAAATTGCTATGTTCTGATTGGTCCCGGCCTCTGCGCCCAAACGGCGAGGATCAGACGATGCTTTTCGGCACAGCGAAGGGGTATCAAAATCAGATGCCTACAGCTTACGGCCATTGTGGTTTGTCGAAGCAACATTCGTTGACTCGGAGATAGTGTAGGTTATGTCGTACTGCGGCATGCGCCCTTCAGCACCTCACAGCTCACCCTGGACAGGAAGATGACGGCCCTCCACGATACCAAAACACAAGCATCTACGATGTGCCTACGGGACCACTGGAGAAATGGGAAAGCAGAAGCCTCCTACTGGGACTGGAGATCGAGGTCGAGAATCTCTATAAACAACCGAATATCTACACACACGCAACACCTGGGTTCGTATAGGTATAAGGAAACGAATTCGTACCTGTTTGCTTGGTGTTCATATTTGCATTATTGATTGATATGGTCAGAAGTGAAGGACGAAGAGGGCTTAGAAACATATCAGCCACCAGCACGCTGTATCATCACACAAGATATCAAAACACTGGCAAAATGCTATTTGTGTGACGGCGTCAGATGCCCCTTGCGTTGATTTATTTATTTTTTTCACACGGGGTTTTTCTGTGTCTTTTTTTCTTTGCATGCTATTCTACTTGGAAGTAGCGTTCTTGCCGCCAGCCTCGGCCAAAACATGGTTCCATTCGATTTCGGAAGGGTCGTCAGCCTGGATACTGACGTGTGGGTGGAGGGTCTCCTTGAGTGTCTGTCGGGTGGTGGCATAGATCATGGACCACTACAAGATGTTATCGTTAGTTCTGACTTCTTCTTGGTTTAATATGTTCGGAGGAGTAAGTGGAAGCTCTTACCAGGACAGGAGTCTCAGCCGGAACCCAGGAGATGAAGACAATCTTCTGTCTGTTTAAGCACGTCAGTCGGGATTGTGTCCAATGAAGTTGTCACTTCAAAAACGCAGCACAAAAGAGATAGGACATACCGCCATCCCTCGCCAGCCTCGAGCTGGAACTCAACATCGTATGCGGCATATCTTGGGGCAGGTCGTCCCATTGAGTCCTTGCAGTTGGCTAGTTTTTCACGGAAAACCTCGTAGTCATCGTTGGTGGAGACTTCGTCGACCACAACCTCCTTCTTGTTGTCCGAGATCTTGAAGATGATGTACTTTGTTCTGCCGGCACCCTTTCCAAGCCGTAGCTTTTCGAATGCTTCGATACATTCGGGGTTTATGGTAACTCTGTTGTATGTCTGTGGTTAGTAGGCGTGCCCCGGTTCTTCCGCATAGATCTGATCAATCAATTCCAGCGCCTTCTCCGATATTGAATCCCAGGATCCTTTCTTCTTGCGTATTGTGCTATGTGTGCAAGGCGGTTCAGAAGGGAGGGCGGGGGAAACGTACCCTGATGCCATCTGTATGGAGTGGACGCAGCGTTAGCAACGATAACACTTATCTGACGCTTGATGCAGGAGAGCCAACATACCGACATGATTGCGCGTTTATATTGCAGAACCGGGAACTCCTTGAAATGGTTGTTTTTATATGTCTATGGATAGGTAAAGATCCGTATGTCAGTCTGATTGAACGCACACAATAGTGACTTGTCTTCGGAGCGGTAAGAAAGGGGTGCGGGAGACGAGGAAGAAACTAGCTGCTAACTAGGCGAATCTGGTGGCGAGGGGTCAAAATAACGCCAACCTACAGTTTGAGAGGGACGGCCGTCTAGGGAAGAGAGAGGCGGAGGTGGATAGCACGTTAATTCGCAGCGACAGGGGGATATCGGTGGTTGGCAAGCTGGCGTGTTTTTGTGATGGAGGCAGCAGAATAGTAATGGCGGGGCTGAGGTGTTTCTTATTCTGCTTGTTGGTGGGGGGACAGCTGCTAGTATTATTAACTACCTACTCCTGCTATTACTATTAACCACTACTGCTAACTATTTAACCAACGACGAGGCACAACTGCCGCGATACGCTCATGCAAAAATAGAGAAAACGAAATCAGCCTGGCAGTAATGGGCCCGCCTGTCGATTCCACAGCCACCGGGAAACACGTAAGCGCCGGATAGGGTCCTGGCTGCCCGCGAGATGCAGGAATAATGGTTATGTTGGAGCCTGTTGCGGCGTTTTGTGTGCTGGTGCACCTCGCCGCGCATGGAACTTCGACATCGAGAATCAACAATCTGCCTTGCGCCTTTCTTGGTCAACCTTGATACGGACTCGGTCTGCCTTGTTGTTTAGATGTTGGTGGACTACTTTATGCGCCCATGTTGCTCAGATCAGTCGATTGTTGCAGCAATTGATCAGGGTTGCAGCCTCCACTTCCTCATAGTGAGGACTGCCTTTGACCATATGTTAGAGGGTGAATATCAAGCTCATTTCATGAGACAATACCCCATGAATGACTTCTGGAGTCAGAAATTTGACCGCAACATATATTTCGCTTTGCAAGCGCCAACTGAAGTGTTAGCAAGAGCTTGCGAGACAGGATTGAGCCAAGCTCCACTGCCATGCTCGAGTTTGGTCAATATTTGATACCCAGAATTCCCCAATTTGGGTCCAGTCAAAGCACTAACTATCAAATAGCTGAGCCAAAAAAAGACGAGCCTACCACTGGGCATCAAATAGTAATAGCTGTTTTATTACGCTATCACACGAATAAACTGGTACTGTGGAATGGCTCAAACACCCGTGGCAATGTCAATAGCTTTGGCGTCGTTGGAAGAGATGTCCAAGCGCAGGTTCAAAGCAAATGGCCCCGTGATGCTGTTCTAATCGTATAGCCTGGTTCGGCCTTCTAGACATATAGGCCTAGATTAAGATTGAAGATAGATACCTACAAAACAATAGGCTCGACGAGCTATTTGCACAATATATATATATAAGCGGTTGGCTGGTGGAGATGCCTTCCGCACACACAACTTTACTTGAATAGTTTTTCTTTCTTTTTTATAGAGTGAGTTTGGATTCATATTATATAAGTACATGGCCATGAAGACGTCGGCAGGAACCTCACAAGTCCATGGTCCATAATGCCTGTTTCCGCCCTTCCTCTCTTCAACTGCAGCCTTTTGTCTACCTTAAGGGAACAACAAACGTACAAAGTTGAAATGGCAAAGAGGACAAGAGTGGAGAGGTGCTCATCAGTCAGGTCGAGGTTGTATGGATGTGGTTATTGTACAAATCTCTGGAGCTGGGGGAGTATCACAACAGATTCGAGAAGGATGAGTGAGACGGAGTAGTCAGGAAAGGTACATAGGTTTACAAAGAAACAACCAGTAAGAAAAAAAAAAATGGAAATGCAGCACGCCAAATAAAACATTTTAAGACATGGGGGGAGAAAGTGAAGAGGGAAAAACATGGAAGCAGGGACGCATTAAACACGTTATTCTTTTTAGTACATACCGCCCATGCCACCCATGCCACCCATTCCAGGCATGCCACCTGGAGCAGGAGCAGACTTGGGCTCAGGGGCATCGACAATGGCGACCTCAGTGGTTCCAAGGAGCGAGGCAACACCACTGGCATCAACAAGGGCGGTTCGGACGACCTTGAGGGGATCGACGATACCGGAGGCAATCATGTCAACGTACTCGCCCTTGGAGCTGTCGAAACCACGGTTGAAGTCACTGGCAAACTCATCGGTGAGCTTACCGACAACGACGCTTCCCTCGAGACCAGCGTTCTCGACGATGGTGCGGGCTGGGCGGGTGATGGCGCTCTTCACAATGCTGACACCAAGCTGCTGGTCAAAGTTGGATGGCTTGACATCGGCAAGGCCGTTGGCAGAGGCCTTGAGGAGGGCGGTGCCACCACCGGGGAGGATACCTTCCTCCACAGCGGCACGGGTAGCATTGAGAGCATCAACGACACGGTCCTTCTTCTCACCGACCTCAACTTCAGAGGCACCGCCAACCTTGATGACGGCAACACCACCAGAGAGCTTGGCCAAACGCTCCTGAAGCTTCTCCTTCTCGTAGTCAGAGGTGGCAGGGTCAGCAATGACACCACGAATCTGTTCACAGCGCTGAGCAATAGCATCCTTGCTGCCCTCACCATTGAGGATGATGGTGTCCTCCTTGGTAATGGTGATGGAGCCGGTGGATCCGAGCATGTCGGGAGTAGCCTTGTCGAGCTTCATGTCGAGCTCGTCGGTGAAGACGGTGGCGTTGGTGAGAATTCCGATATCGCCGAGGATGCTCTTGCGGTTGTCACCGAACCCAGGAGCCTTGACAGCAGCAACCTGGAGCTGGCCACGGAGCTTGTTAAGAATACAGACGGCAAGAGCCTCACCATCGATATCTTCAGCAATGATAACCAATGGCCGGCGAAGAGTAGTAGAAGCCTCGAGGGCTGGGAGGATGTCTTGGACGGCAGAGATCTTCTTCTCAGAAAGAAGGATAAGAGGCTTCTCGAACTCGACCTTCTGGGTCTTGGGGTCGGTGATGAAGTATGGGGAGGTGTAACCACGATCAAAACGCATACCCTCGGTAACCTCGAGCTCGTCGTCGATGGTCTTTCCATCCTTCACGGTGATGACACCTTCCTTTCCAACCTTCTCCATAGCATTGGAGATAAGCTTGCCAACGTGGGTATCTCCGTTGGCGGAGATAGTAGCAACCTGGGCAATCTCCTCGGTAGTGGTGATGTCTCTCTTGTTGGCTTGTAGGTACTCGACAACAGACTGGACGGCGGCCTGGATACCCCTTCGGAGATCCATTGGGTTGCAACCAGCAGCAACGTTCTTGACGGTCTCAGAGAAGATGGCACGGGCAAGGACGGTGGCAGTGGTAGTTCCGTCACCAGCGACCTCGTTGGTCTTGGAAGCGACATCCTGGAGAAGACGAGCTCCCAAGTTCTCGAACTTATCTTCCAGAGCAACGGCCTTAGCAACGGTGACACCATCTAAAATTCATTCGAGTTAGCAAACACTGAACCAAAGCTAGACGAAGGGTTTCATCGGCTGTAAACATACCCTTTGTGATCTTTGGGGAACCATAGGGAGACTCTATTAGAACATTTCGTCCCTTGGGGCCCAATGTAGCGGTGACGGCTCTAGCGAGGGTGTCAACACCCTTGAGGAGAGAGGCGCGGCCTTCAACACCAAATTTGATTTCCTATATCAGACGAAGAGCTTCTGTTAGCCCATGTCCAGACACAGCGAAAAAAAGAGCTCCAATTGAGGCTGTTTTTGGGCAGAAGAAGATGAATCTCATACCTTATGGGCATATCGCTGCTGCTGAAGGCTTATACCGGCAGCAAGAGCTGGTCGGAACTGAGAGAGCTGGGTTCTGGTAGAAGCAGCAGATGCAAGGACCGAAGCCCTGGAGGAAGCAGAGAGAGCTCGCTGCATGGTTGAATGATATTATTATAAAGGGAGCAAAAGAGATGCAAAATCAGCCCACTGAGAACCAAAAAAACTCCTAATTAAAGAAGGGTATAGAAGACAAGAGAGATTGAAGCCGTGTCAGACGTCGAAGAGTGAAGGAGAAAAAAAGGCGTTATGAAGAAGTCGAAGAAAAAAAAATTGATGTTTCGAGCAACTTCTGGAGAAAGTCTTGGCGGCCTTTCTTTTTTGCTAGTAAGTCACGTGAAAGGTACTGGGCCCAGCTTGTTTCCCCTTTTGGGTCATCCAACGACGTCCGATAGAAAATACGAGCAAGACGGCGAAGACGCACACGAGCGAGCAAGCCCATCTTGACCAGGCTATGGCGGGCGCATGCCGGTACTATAGAAAGTTATTGTTTGCCTCGAAAGCGAGAGTGGACGGAAAATACCCCCCATTAGAGCTAGGAGTCGTCACTTTATACAGGTGTTATTCTACCGAAGTGACGGCCGGCTGGAAACGACTCTCTTAGGGACACCGTATTTGAATATTATCAGTCATTGCTAGGAAGATATGTACATTGCTGCCGTTTGCCACAAGACCTAATGGCAAAAAGCTGTAACTTCCTTGACCAGCCAACGCCCAACCTAGCGTCCAGATATGTGAAACTGGAAGCTGACCCAACCTGGCCTGTATGAAGCAGGTGAGAGAAGCAAATGACAATAAAATGAAAAACAGAATAGACGAAAATAAAGGAGAGACAAGATTTTATCTGAACTAACTAACCAGCAGCTTAGGGTTAAGCCGCTGGTCTCCACATATGTGGGAACTGTCAATGTGATGTAGTAACCGAGCTCTATGTGAACTTTTCAGGATATGAGTGTGCACCTGAGGTCAAGATGGCAGATAGATACCCGAGTAACCAATGTTTGAATGAATCTCAAAGCAATTCAAAGCTGCTGGATGAACTTGTTGAAGTCGTTTTCGATTTCTGCCTCTCGGGCAGAACGCAACGCCCAGTCAATGTCGTGGTCCAATACCCCGGCTTGCATCAAACCATCATCTTCCGTCATGGAACTAGCCAAAGAGG